ACGCCGCTCTTATGGGCTGCTGAGTGTGGGCACGACGTAGTAGTACGGCTACTACTTGAGAAGGGGGCTAGTTTCGAAACGGGATAAGACGACACAGAGCCCGAAGCGCATTCATCTTCGCCGCAAGTTTGAAGATGTCAAAATTAGTCACATGAATGCTCTTTACCCTACCAGACGAACATGCTATTGGAAGAATGAGCAAAAAGCTAGGGGGACAACGTCGTTACACATTTGGGGATGTTATAGGGTACTTGAGCAATCTCAATGGGACTGTTGATCATTTTCATTCTATTCGAGGCCGGGCTGATGTGGGACGAGTTTCTGACAATCCGAACGCGCCTACCCAAGCCGAGGACCTACAATCTCGCATTACACAACCTAGGACCAGGCCACAATCATTCGGCCAGCCCAAGACCAATCCCTTGATTACCACTTCTAACTAGGCAAAGTTGCTGCTCTGGTCACTTCTATTCTCGCTTTCGAGCCATCGTATTACCTCTTGGACGTCATACCGCTGCTTTTTACCGCCATGGACTCAATACGTGCCTCCCCCTTTGCCTCCTGTTTTGGCCACACCATGCAAGTATATCTCGACAGTCTGGCCCAATACCGACTTGTGTTATTATTTCGTGCGGTCCATATTTTCATTTCAAGCAGTACGATTTCGCTGTTGTTCTACCTCGAAACACTGCATCCGCTGCTATTAATATCATGCCCACTAGTGTGATTCTCGCCACCTACGGTCATCCGCGCCACGTCAGTCACGATTATTTCCAAACTAGCGGCTTAACTCTAGTATGACTTCCTTAATAATTTTTATACATTCGGTCGGTTTTAAGTAATTGCTTAATTTTTGAAGAAAGTTAATGGTCGTAATATTAATAAATACAGCTCTTCTTAAAGTCACGGAACCCTACGGTACAGTAAGTAGAAGTAGAAGCTATAGTGTATTGTTTACAGAACGAAGCCAAGGCGTCTATGGTGGGCGTAAAAAGCCCGACAATCGCGTGGGCTATAGTAATGACTACGGCCGCTACGAGAGTGCTGGCCACAAGAAGCGCCCTCCCCCGGATGCGCATAGCTTTAGAGTCTATCAAATTAAGGACAGCGTAGGAGCCCCGCGAAGAACAATGGAAGTTATAGCGTGTATCAAGCTAATGTCGTGAAACCTGTATAAACATAACGACTATTTTTCCAGATATCCGAGCTGATTTTTATAAGGAAGCTCTAAAACTCGGCCCCCCTAGCTACTACCAAAGCTCTACTGCTTCGCGTTAGTATTGCTTCTCGCTGCGCAAATTATCAAAATTAGAACGTTTCTTTTCACGATACATATGAATTCGAACAAGATCAGGGCTGAAACGTTGTGAGGATTAATTTATGAGGAACTCAAGCTTAGGTACCCAAATGACCAAGAAAGACCAAGAATGTCGCTGTGTTTCTGGAATGATGTTTTTCACTCTCTGATACCAACCTGGAAATCTTGCTAGCTCACGAAAGTCGTCATTCAATTCCACTAACGATGTTGATGATAATACTCAAATTGCAGCGCTCTGTGTAATTGTGAATATAGTAAGGACTACATCACTTTACTGCCGATTCAGCAAGCCCATCATTTTATCCCCGGTGCACTCTGAGCAGTTCCCCCCCTTGCTCTATTTACGCTTCCTTCCTTTTTGCTTGGCACGGTCCTCTCTTGGGCGGCCTTACTACTCCAATCCTTCTCCTGCACCAGCCCCACATGACAAAAGCCAGCAAATATTGATCGGACTATCTACATTTAACTTCCATCTGCGTAACCCCAGTATTGATGTCCTTCGGGCCTCCCTCGGATCCTAGATCCTTTCCATGCATGAGGACGAATTAGCGTTCTGTGCCTTGTAGATGGATTGGCTACTGGCTCCTACGAACATTGCCGAGCATACTACGGTACTACTCGGTGATCTGGCTCGAGTCTGGGTTGTTATGTTGGCATAAAGAAGCGTTACCTATGACCAACTTTGATTACACCGGGAGAAATAAAATCACTGTCGCAGGCCAGGGATCTTGCTCGCGTTATCTTCATGGTCATCAGGCCAATTAATTTTTACTGGAAACGGGAAGGCTCGCATGAGGGACGAAATTTGGAATGGGTGCTTTATACATTTCGGGAAAGTCCTATCTTTAGCGTTCCCAATCTGTCGAGCGATTTGCATTCTAAACAATGTATTTTATTTTGCTAAAGGTAGATAAAAGATAACAAAATTTCGGTACATCTTGTTGATTATTCTTTTGTTTTTCGTTTCGACTCTTCTAGTTGTCGATGCGAGCTGGCAGGCATTTAATGGCATTTTTGCGTCGAGCTTAAAGCAAGGGACAGCAATGTGGCGAAAAGGTCGTCAGGAGTGTACGTCTGTATAGACAAGATAGTATAATGAGGGGTGAAATATTTTATGTAGGATGAAATACATAATTAGGGTTTGATCCTTACAAATAAAAATGAAATGGAGTTGTCTTTTTCAAAAGTTTAGATACCGGTTTCCGTGGTAAGAGTATGAATCTAAAAAATTCCCAGAAAAAGGGATTTGCTATAGTATATCGAAGGTTGGGTGGGTGTACATGAAATGCTAACATTTGCTGCTAGTCTTGAGTCCTTGACGCATATATTGGTTTGCTGGTATTGTTACAATGTCAACGGGTGCTGTTCAGACAGCACAGGATATGGAAAAGTACAGGAATTGCAGATTAAAAAAAAAAGACATAGGTTCTAAATATATTCTTTAGGTTTTAAAGTAAAATAAAGGTAGCTAAGTAAAATCGGCTGCCCCTACTTAACTCAACCAAAAATAGTACTCTACAGTACCTAAACTCCAGATATCCTGTAAGTACACAGAGAAACCCTAAAACACTAGAACGCGAAGGCAATCAATATTAAGCTCCTAGTAAACCCACTATCCAGACTAACCATCACGCCCCTATGCGTCTTAAATTTCTATACCTTCTATACCCTTCGGTCACTAATTCCCTATCTACCACCGTACCAAAAATTCTCTCTATATATCTCTCCCTCGTGGCCGTACTTAATCCCTTACTCTTCCCCCTCTCCCTTACACTATTAACACCCTTTTTATCTAAAATCGTCTTTACCCGCTGTAACACTATCTACCTCTAATACCACAACCCATGACACTTCTCCGCTCTCCTCCGACAGTCTTTATCTACTTTAAATCTTAGGATCACCGGCCCTTCGGCCTCGAATCGCATGTTATAAAGGTTATATAACCGGTATTTAAATACGAGAGTAGAGGTTAGGTTGGCTTAGGCGCCATAGGCGTCATAGATAGATTCGTGAGGCATACTAAGCCGGATAAAGATACTAGGGTAGTATTGTAGAGAAGCGAGAAATGAGGGTGTCTAGGAGGGGGAGGAGAGGCTAGTTGTAGTTTTAGAGAGGTGGGAGGCGAGGATTAAGGAGGAGCTTGTGAGATTCGAAGGGACAGTGGAGAGGGGGTTTAGAAGACGGTAAAGGACGAGGTAGATGAGAATTTTGTAGTAGGAGAGGAGGTCAATTTGTGTTGTTGTTTTTCCTTAGAGTTTGTTTTCGATACGTTCAACGTCTGTATTTCCGTTCCGAGTGCTGTTTTGGTTAGAAATCGGTCGCTGCGAATTCTCGGAATTTTCGGAATTTTCAGACTTCTCTACTAAGTCCGTATTAGATAGTAGTTGGTTCTCGTTTTTGACTAGATTTGTTCTTAAGGTTCTTCTAGTAGCTGGTTGTGTAATACGGTTTTTGACCTCTACCGACCGCGGTAACCGAGTTTTTCCGTTAGATATTGGTCGTCGAAGGAGCTTATCGTCATCGTTAGAATGTAAAACAATCCCCTAGCCGTCTTCTCGCTTACTCGCCAAGTGACGTCAACAAAAAGGGGGGGCTCACGAACCCCTCCAAAACACCATCTTACATACATGCCAAGTCCAACAATATATACTCACCTAGAAAGATACCTACGACCTTAAATCCCCCCCACCAACCTTTATTCCGAACCGTTCATTGCTGGATTTCGAAACGGAAGGATGCCAGATCCAGCACAAACAAACCGTTCCCTCTCCACCATCCGCACCGAGCTCGAATTCCTAGAACAATCTAAGATTCTTTCGGGGGCGCAGATGGCGAGTATATTGGCACAGTTACCTGTATGAAATGCTTCTTCTTGAACTCACTATACATCCCATCCCTTCTTCCCCTCCCTTCCTGCCCTCCACTTAACCCCCTCCTCCTCCCCTCCCTTCCACCCTTCCTCCCCCCCCTCAAACACACCCCTCCTAACCTCCCCCAGCAAAACAACACCCCCTCCCCCTACACCGACCCCCGCTACTCGCCCAACGGCAACTTCGACCCCTCAGCAATATCGCAACAAGCACAGAACCCGGACAACGCGGCGCATCCGAAGAACCCCAAACACCACGAGTGGGCGAAGAACATGGCGAATAAATTTGGGAACGCGGCGGTTTTTGGGGCGGGGGCGACGTTCGGTGGGGATTGTGAGTTATGCCTGAGAGATGAGAGGGGAAGGGGTGGGGGAGGGGATTGAGGGGAGGGATGAGAGGAAGATGTGCTAATTTGTGTACAGTGGTTAATGATGTGATGAGGAAATTTTAAGGAAAAGTAGGAGGGGGGGATGGTGTGTAGATTGCAATTAGGTGAATATGGTATTAAAAGAGAGGTTAAGAAGATGGCTAATTTATGATTAGAAATCAAAGATAATGCGGATGTCTTGATAGTATGTGTTGGTAGGTTACATGTATTTGATACACTTCCTAAAAATCTATATACATAAAGTACAACTCCCCACCCCTCCACCCATCCCCAAACACCCTCATGAATATATATCTGTTCGACAGTCTTTCAAGAAATTGAAGTTTTGGTTTATACATAAAAAGGATAAAATATGTGTAAGTTAAAAAAATGCTCATCAACGCTTTCGTACGTTCGTAAAGTCTAGCTTTCTTTCATCCCCAAGTCCGATCAGAGAGAAAGTTTAAATGCACTGAGAGTAGTAAGGGTTCATGACGGTACAAGTACCAGCGGCGCAGGTAGTAGAGCCAGTGAAACCCTGTCCACCACATTGGCCGTACATGGCTACACCAGCAGCTGCTGGCTTGGAAGGAGCTGGGACGGCAACGGTCTGGAGGGTTGTTGGTGCGACGACAGCAGAGGTCTTGGATTTGCAGGAGTCCTTGGTAGAGACGGCTGCGGCTGTGGTCTTGCTCTTGCAGGAGTCCTTGGTGGAGGATGCTGGGGCGGCGGTTGCAGCTGGGGGAGCGACGACTGCTGAAGAGGCGATTGGGACGATGACGGCGCTGGATACGGAGGTGGCGACTGGAGCGGCGACGGTGGTTGGCTTCACGACGACTGGAGCAGAGGTTGCGACTGGGGCGGCGGTTGTTGGCTTGACGGCTGCGGTGGATGAGGCAACTGGTGCTGGGGCAGCGGCACCTCCAGTCTTACCGTCCCAGACTGCTGGGCCGGGGATTGTGTAAGAGGTAGCGCCTCCGTAGAGGTTGAAGACGACTCCTGGGTCGGTGTACTTGTAGGTACCTGGGATGGCGACACCAGCTGGGAGCGTGGTGGCTCCGGCTCCGGTAACGTTGATTTGGATACATTCCATGTAAAACTGGGCACCGCGCGCAGGGTTCACATTGTATGCCACATCGGACTCGTGAAGAGCGATGATCTCACCACGGAGGAGGTATTTGCCTGGTGCAAGACCGGCTGGGATGGTGACATCGTGCTTTCCCTTGTTGGCGATGAGGGTCTCGACAGCCCATTTTCCTCCGCTCAATCCGGCTTCGGCGAGTTTGACCCAGACATCGCCAGCTCCGTTGGAGGCGGTTGGGGCGATGTAGGCCATGACTGGACCTTTGTGGGATGAGTCGATGATATCGTCAGAAGCAGAGTTGCTGTCGTGGTGCCATTCGATTGTGACCTAATAAATTAGCGAGAGAACTATTAACAGAAACGTCAAGTTATTGAGCTTACCTTGGATCCAGCAGCGACATCAATGGTCTTGGCAGTAGCAACGTTGTTAACATTGCAAGTCATAGCCGATGAAGTGATGTCCTTGACTGGGTTGTTGTTTGGTGGGGATCGAATATAACCAGCAGCGCTGTTTCCAACACCTTGGTCAACACCATCGACGAAAGCGTTCCAGATGGTGGTGTGGGCATTGGCGACGGCCACAACAGCAGCAGCTGCGAAGAATCCTGAGTATCTCATATCGACGGTTGTTTGAAACGGTTCTTTAGATCTGATAAATTGACTTTTTGGATGGAAAAAGAAGATTTGAACTGTAAAAAAGAACGAGTTGATTGGAGCAGCAAAAAATGAGTGTGGTGAAAAGAATGTAAATCTCAAGTAAAGAGTGTCAACAGCTATGAGCGACTGGCGCGGTGGTGAGAGAAGATTGAGAAAGTAGGAGACGGATGGAATATATACTCTTGACCATGGTTCAGAGATTGAGCTGGAATCGACCCACCACTTCCAAATTGTGCCTCCCTACGAAGGGATATCCATCGGATACTTTGTGTTCATGAAACAACTCCGGTGCGTGATTAATATATTTCACTGGTGCACAACGCCTGTCGTCGATCGCCAAGATCAACAAGATTAGGTTTCTTTTGGGAGTGTTTGAGAAAGTCTCGCTTAGACCAGCACGTTGCCGCCAGGGAGCCGCAATCATCTGTGCACTCGCAACTCCACTGCTTCCATGCTAGAAACAGAATCCAGTTAAGCGTAAAAGGTTATCCTGTTTTGAGCGGTGGAAAAATACCCCACTCCTCGCAGGACCCGGCAAACGGTACCACGCAAGGTTGTTGAGTGGATGTACCGTTGAAACGTTCATCTCGGTCGAGCCATGCAGTCCTCGGATCTGGGCCGGCGCTTGTTCGTCGTCCCACGATGGCTTGAGGAGGCGTGTGATAAATAGATTGAGGTGACCACTTTTCGTCCCTTTTAATGTGCTGTGCCTTTTTGCAGCTGAGGTTCTGGCTCGGATGGTGGGGAGATTTGTTTTTAATAGCGAGGGAGGGCAGGAGAGGTTAAAGCATGAGTTGATAGATGATGGTGATGGCATTTCAGTCTCATGTTGAAATGACCAGCTGAACCCAAATCATCATCTTGATCTAAACGCCAAAAACCAAGAATCCAACTTCAACATCTCAAACTACACGGCGCTTCCATATCCTTCAATCCAGCCCTCTCTCTCTCGATGCAAGGTACCTTCGTACCGCCGTACAGTATTTCTGCCCTGTGCGCTTCCCCTGCATCAGCTGTATTTTGTTTTTACATACACTTCCCACCAGTCAGATTATTTCTCGTAGACTTCCCTCGACCCTCGAATCTTGATTCATGACGAGCTCGAAAATGAGTACCGCTTTGTGCATCGAAATAGATGAACAAACAAACAAGATTCAAATATCCCAGACGTCGATTATTGGACAGGCTGCTCGAGCTGAAGGGCTAGAACACATGTAATACAAAAAATCTCCGCACAAATAGAGTACCTCGGCAGAGAAATGGCATCTGAAGCGAATACGCTTGATGGACCTGTCTATATATTTCGAGTTCCCAGGCGCTCGGAGCGTTGGTGAGAGAACGAGGTTTTATCTTGCTTTCCCTTTCCCAGCTCAACTGCCAGATTTCCGTCCAAAATAAGAGGCAAGAATCATCAACTCCCAACATTCGTTCGGGGAATTCCGATATGAATACCCTTGAGATGTGAATTCCCAGAATTTCACACGATTTTTGCAGATACTTCTTATTTAGTTGTGATGGTTGAATGATTGAAGCCGTGGGATCAATTGTTCGTAGAGTTCGGATGATTAATGTGGTTGGTAGGTTCTTCGTGCGAATTTTCTTGAGTTCGGATTTGCAAGACCATGTTGTGTGATGATGTACTTATGCTGATGTGTCGATGAGCATGTATCTTCTTTGTTCACAGCCCTCTCCATCAACACAGATCCTCATGTTTACCCTCAACCTCACAACCAGCCAAATTCTGCTTCCCCCATCACCCTCCTTCATCTCCTCCCCCAACCCTCCTAACCCTCCCCCACGCCCCCTCAACCTCCCCGGGCACATCCACATGCCCAATAAACCCCCTCCCCCTAGGTCCATACCCCCCCTCATCATCTCTCAACCTCGGAATCTCGCCTACCAGCAACTCCAAGAACCGATCCATCTCCCACAACTCCTCACTCTCTACTCCAGACACATCGAACACCACCTCCTCACCCCCAAGATCCGAATTTCGGACTCGAGGGACGAAGACCGGACAACTTAGAAATGTTGGAGGGTTAGGAAGGTCGCGAAAGGTATGCACGAAAGAAGCGTGGGTGCGGAGGGACATGGTGGGATCTTGAATCACAACACACGTCTTCGGCATCTCAGCACCAGCGTTCTCGAGAACCTTTCGGCATTCATACGCATTAGCACCACAATTCGTCGATTGATCCTCCACCAAAACCTTAACCCTCCCCTCAATCCCAGGATAAAACCTCTTCATGATCAATTCCAGCACCCTAGCTTCAGGTATTCCGTTTATTTGGTCCGCGATAGCAGAGTAGATTGGATGTCTGGCCACCGCCTCCCAAATAAGTTTTGTTGAGTGCCCAATCCCACCACACAACACGAGGGTGGTTGTGAGATCAGCCCGTGATTGAAGGGTTTCGAAAAGGGTGGTGGCTTGGTAGAGCACGGAAGATGCGCAGATGACGATGCAATCCACCGGATCGCACGTATCCAGCGACGTGATCTGAGGGTGTGCGAGGAAATGGGAGAGGGTGTTTATGTCTGTGGTGGTTTGGGAGGGGGTCATGATTGTGAGAGTGCGAACTTTGAAGTTTGAAAATTGAATTGCATGAGCTTTGCTCAACAGAATTTAGTGAGGTCTTATATAAAATGAAAGTTACTATTGTATAAAAAATTTAGGTTGATAACAGTCTTGTACAAATACCTCGTAATGAAAATGATCTAAAAGTTGAAAAGTATCCCGGAAGATTAGGAAAGTCCGTCCCGACTAATACGAGTACGAGTGTGTAACAAACTCATAGAGAGCTTTTTTTCCCCTTAAAACCTTCTCAATCTTTATATTTCGAAATATACTTATGGAGTAGAAAATTAAAAGGCTACCATTATGCAATAATGGATCTGCCTACTTGCGGCATGCAAGATGTTCAAGATATAATAGATACTTTTCTATATATAACAGTAAGCAACACTAATTACCTACCTGTCTTGACCTCCCGTCGCTCCCCCTAAATAAAATCCTGACACCCCGATCCTTTTTGACGCCTTTCAAAACCTATCCCACATAAAAGTGACAGGATGCGATGTTCAGTTGTGCGTCGTTGGAGTTTGTAATAGCGGAGCGTCCGGTAGATCTGTTGTAGGACCACCTGGTTTTCTACCATGTACTATAACACTTTAAAGGAGAAATGATCAGCAAGAGCACCAGAATTAGAGCCGCTGTGGAAACATTGTCCAGTTTGCTTCAACTTACAATTCAAAATAAGTATGATCTATATAATCATTAGCACACAAAATCCCAAATGCAAAAGAAGCCATGAACTTACACTTCAAGTGTGCTATATCTTGCCTGACTTTGACCAGAAATAATTCAATCTGCTCCTGTGACCATCCATAGGCTTTGTTAAACATCCGAAGACTCATGCCACTGATGCCTCTTAATAAATTATGCATCTCGAAAGCACCGATAAGCTTCATTCGTTTGTCTTTTGGCCATGGAGAGCTTGGCATTTTCATACGCTTTTCTGTTACGTCTTCGAATCCTGTAGCGGTCATCCACTCGGCGTAATCGACGCAAGCACTGAGTGGAACACCAAGTCTATTGTATGTCAGTATGCAGCGTTAGATTTAGCTCGTCAAAAGATCGTTCAAAGATCCGAAGATGATCAGGAAACACGATAAGTAGAACGGGTAACCTACACTTGAGAAGCATCCAAGGCGTTTCTACTAAACTCCATCAAACCACTTTCACGAGGTGCAGAGCCATCGTCACATTTTAATTTTGGCCATACACATTGAAGCTCTAAATAACCACCAGGTTTTATGTGACTACGAAACAATTAGCTTAATCCGCAACAAAGAGAAGTCTAGCTTACTCGTAAGATTGCTGAATTAATTTTGGCCAATCGCGGACAGACAGCAGAAGATCTCGAGCGTGTATAAAGTCGAAACTATCCGCATCCAACGTCCATGGCATTTCAATATCGTCAATCTCGAATCGACAGTTGGGTGGTACCCTTTACGTATAAGCATAATCGTAAGCACTCTTAAAGGACGTCTCTCACCATTGAGGTTGAACTGGTGCGATATCTAGACCAAGAACCTGTATCGGTTAACAAGAGGCATAAATAGCACATTTGAGAGTAATGTACCTCAGCGGAAGGATAAGCGTCAGCCATCTATCGATATCGTCAGCAGTGTCTCTTGGATCATTCAATTTGCCCACATTTATTGCCCATATACCTGTCCCTGTCCCTAAATCCAATATTCTTTGAGGAATTTGTGATATCGGCGCCAAGAAGAGATTCTTCTCCATCAACATTACATACTTCGCATGCGACATGTCGATCCGGTCCAACTCTTCTTCGTCAATAGGCAGACCATACTCTGTCAATTCCGTTAGTATACCAAACACGAATCCCCACTTGCGACATGCCTTCATTCCCATATGCAGCATAAGTTCTGCCATGTTCTTCTACTCCACGGGCTATCGCCGAGGCTAATGTCTCCGTTAGACTGCCAGACCTGTTTTCCAATCATCAGCGACGATTCATGATCAATACTGCTGTGAAAGATGTGGTTCTTACGTGGACCCGGCGTAGGCCGAATCGCCATCGAAACCCTGTCAAATTATCAGTATGTTATGCTTCAGCGCCCCGTTTGTTGCAGGCTTCATTGACGATCTTGCTGCGGGGATTGACAACGCACATCTGAGCTTTCGGCTTCAATGTGTTCCTCTTCGTCGTGCATCATTAAGATAAGGTTTCACCAGGAAATGAAGCGATGGATATTCTGAATGCTTCAGCTGGACGATTGTCTTTGTATGCGGTGGGCGCGTTCGTATTTGGCCAATTCCGAGGCTATCTCGAGCAGGATTCCAACGGGCTCCGTAGAAATATTTGTGCGCGCAATGGAGATAAGTAGTGTCAGAGCAATGTTGCGTCAGCGTCTTGTGAGAATGCGATGTTGGTGTTGAAGTAGAATGCGACGGATAAGTGATGATTGGTACGGCAGATGAAGCTCGTTGCTGACGGAGGCTTGATACTCGACTTGCTGCAATGCGTATCACGATGTCCTTCTTCGCAACCGTTGGGGGAGCACGGCAGGTAGGGTGGATGGAAAAATGCCACGAGGGAAAGTGACGAAAGAAGACCTGTACGATCCTGTAGGGTTTGTACCTAGGCAATGTAGGGTAGGTCCAGTCCAAAAGGGAAAGATACGACGAAACTTACGACGGGAGTGGAGACGGCAGCAGCAGCACGGGGAAGACGGGGAGTAGGGGACCCTCGAAGAGATCGAGGGAGATCATGAGATTCGAGATGGATACTTAGTTGAATTAATCATTATCCTATATGATTTTACATACTTGATTCAATTCAAACGTTTGATTCTGTTTTCTAAGGTTCTTTCTTCCTACCAAAGACGGGCTCTCGAATGACGCTCCGCTGGGCCACTGCCGTGGAGGCTTTTGCTCGCTGCGCTCGATGCCGTGCTGCCAATTGAACCTCGGCGGAATGATACATCACGACGCCTGCAGCATAAAGCCGTGTAAGTAATCTATTCCGTGTAACCAACTGCGTAAATCCTCACCTTTTCCATCAATCATCCCACGTGAAAGTCTGACTGATGGATTGGAAACGCATCCATCTTGATGTCGAGGGACAATCACCCGCATACGCAGAGGCAGTCGTACAGTATCGGTCTCGGCACCGCAACCTCGCAATATGCACGTGTTCACACGGTTCGCTGGCTCGCCGGCCCGAAGCCGACCTCCCCGCTCGATTCCGTATCGGGCTATCGATAAAGATAACGATAAGACATCGGCATGCAACCTGAGGAAATGAACCTAAGGCAGAAGGTTACATTCGCTGCATTCGGTTGAATCCACGGAATCGCGGGTGACAACCTCAACAGTCGCTCGCACATCCTCACTCATCGCTTGCCGCGCATTTCGTGCAACGAGTCGTGTCAGATCGGTCGTCTCGCGTCTATTCAGATTGGCATCAATGTAAAAGAGGTTGAATTCAAAATACGCAGAAATACAAACATCTTTTCTACAGCGCGGCCTGCAAAGTCCCCACTCAGCCATCGGGAGAACTTCCAGACCTGGCCATCCATCCAAGTGCCAGCAAAATATGCAGGAGCCCAGCCCAGCCCGCCGGTCGAGGGGCAGGTATGATTGTTTGTTTTTCTGCCGCCAGATGAGGGATACTTTCTTTCTTCAGCAACATCGACAGAACAAACTGAGCTGGATCGTCAATCATTCTGGATTGCTATCTTTTCTGATTTGTTTGTTGACAGTCAAGTGACTCAGGTCTGTCGTGTTCTTGAAATAGCTCAAATTTGACAGCTCCTAATCCAGCATTGCCACTTTCACAACGGAATATCTTCAACAATGGGGTCAACAGAGTCTGATGTCGTGAGCAAGGCCGAGGCAATTCTCGCCGCTGCAAAGAAGTACAATGGCAATCGTCAAGAGAGATACGAGTTGATGAAGCAATTGGATCTTTTGTATCTGGAGTTGGAAGATCCTGTGGATGCACTAATGAGACAATGGACATTTGTGAGTTGACTTCATCCGCTTATGCAAAGTTTGAGACTAAGATTCCGACAGATGAACACATCAACGTCTTTAGATGTCATGGTCAAGATGGGAGCCTTCGAAAAAATGCCTAAACAAGGAAGTATCACCGCTGAAGAGCTTGGTAAATTGATCAAATTACCTACTGGTATTGTCGGTAAGTACTTTCATCCTCTCAGATTCGACCTCGCTAACAACTTCAGTTCGTCTCATGAGAATGCTCACCGGAACTGGTGTCGTCGCCTTGACTGGTGAAGATACCTACGCGCATACACCAAAATCAATGGCCTACCTCGAAGGCGCCGCTGTAGACTTCTTCAACTTATGGTCGGTCTACGCTTAATATATCATCACCTGACTAACCATCCCTAGTATCAACATGCGAGCCTGTTACTTCAAATGGCCCGAATACTTCAAGACCAAATCCCCAGAAGACCTAGTCGACCTCCGCAAAACCCCCTACTCATTCGCCTACGGCCGCGAAGGTCTAACCTTCTACGAAGTTCTAACAGAAAACCCGGAACGCTTCAACATGTTCAACAAAGCCATGATGCAGCAAGAAGCCGGTCTTCCAATCCTCGGCATGTTCCCTTTCAAATCGCTAGAAGAACAAGTCAAGGCCGAGCCTGACCGTGCTTTTATGGTTGATATCGGTGGTGGACGTGGTCAGGCACTTCTTGCTATCGCCAACGAGACTGGAAATGTCTTTGGTATGAATTCGAAATTGATCTTACAAGACAGACCGCCAGTTCTAGATTCCGTACCTCAAGATCTTCTTCCTGGCGTCGAAAAGATGCCTTATGATTTCTACACCGAACAACCTGTTAAAAGTACCTCCCTCCCTCCGCCTCTTTCCCTCTCCTCTTTCGTCCCTTTCCCCTTTTCCTTCCCCCTTTTACCTCACTAATCCCTTCTTTCAGACGCACACATCTACTACTACCGCCGCATAATGCACAATTACCAAGACGACGTCTGCATTTCCATCCTCAAACAAGCCGTCGCCGCCATGGGACCTACCTCGCGTCTCCTCATCGCGGACCTCGTTATTCCCGCCCAAACCGAGGTCGGCGAGGATATGAGTCCGTATTGGATGGACATGGTGATGATTGCCATCGGCGGCAAGGAGCGGAGCGAGAAGGAATTCAAGCAGCTACTTGAGGATGTGGGGTTGGAGTTTGTGAAGGTTTGGAGGGAGGAGGGAGGGGGGCAGGCTGTTGTTGAGGGACGGTTGAAACAGTGATTTGGAGTGGAAGGAGGCTTCATACGAAAGAATGTAGCCCTCTCAGTTACACCTCGAAACCATCTTGGGTTGATTGAAAGCTGATCAAAGTGTCTATTCGTCAAGTACTGACGTGGCATAAAATACAAGATATCCTTCGAAATCAGCGAAGATGGTTAATTTGCTAGATTCTTTTTTCCCCTCACATGATAACAAGCTAGCTGTTCAGCCGCGCTATAAATTTATAAACATTCTACCCATCGATAGACTTAAATATATACATCGAACATCCACCCGCATCTCGCAGTCGCCTCACCTATTTGACACTAATAGTATATGCCGAAGTAGTAAACACACAATTCGAACCTACAATCCAGTACGTTAGCATCATCTCCCCCTCCATTACCCATCTCAGAACATCGACTTACCAACAAAAGGTTCCGTCCCGGCCTGCAAACTCGTCACCACCATATCACTACTCACCCCCTGACTCGCGGTCAAATACTTAAAAAACAAATTCAAATCGCCCGCAAAATTCCCGATATTGGCCGGCGCCACGAACGAGAAGACAGTCGTATCCCCATTCGGCCCCTTGAACAACTTCCATTTCGTGCCCGCGATAGTCGGACTCGCGAGCGGCGTGCTGCCCGTCGACGAGATGGGTCCAGCGCCGCCGTAGGAGCCAACCCAGATCATGATCTCGTATTTATTGTTCGCGCCGACCGAGGGCGCGAGCCAGAGGTCGTAAGACACGTCCGAGACCATCGATGTACCCGTATACCTATACTCTCTCCATCAACACCACGCCCACTACCGGTACCGGGGGAGTACGTACCTCCACGTCCACGTCGACGGGATCGACGTAATCGCCGATAATTTCTTATTGACATTCTCCAGCGCGACGTTGCTGTATGATTTCACGTTCACGTTTCCGCCCGCCCAACTCCACGACGTCGACCACGAGAAGGATTTCGCGGCGCTGACCGAGTTGAACGTCGTGCATTGCGAGCCCGACGTCGCGGCCCCGGCGCCCCAGTTGTTGTGGTAGACGGTGAAGCCGGCGGTAGGGACGGTGCCCCAGCCGCCGCACATGGTGGTTGCGCGTTTCTCGACGGGCGTTGGGGTCGCGAGGGCGCCGGCGAGGAGGAGGAGGATGGGGAAGAGCATGTTGGGTGGTTGTGTGAGAGGTTGACCTGCAAGTTCCCTTTTCCCTTTGGGATATGGAGGTCTATATACTCTTTTCCACCTCGGAAATAACCCTCATTTCCATCAAGATCCCCTCCGAAAGACCCTCTCCCATCCATGTTCAAATGGCGCACCTAACCTTTTTCCAGACTGCCGCGTCTCGTTTATTTGTGGATAGCTTCATTTCCCGCTCCCACGTCTCCACCTCCCCGTCAATGCCGAAAGAGGGGTCGTCGTTCGAGATATACGATCCAATAAAACTTTATTCCTTAAATTCCGTCTCTTTCATCCTCTTCATCCTTTTGGAATAGGATTCTCTTAGGTTCGGTATACCGAGTCTGAACGGCTCCGCACCTACGATATCCAGGAGCAGCAACAACAAATGTCATCGCCCAGGAAAAATCCGGTCGCATTTCTCCATCGGAGCGATCAATTGTCCGGAAAGCTTCGATGGGTGTGATGTTGAGAATTCGAGATCGTGTTTAGAAAGGCGGATCCTTACTAGTCGGGTGGGGAAGATCGGATGAACTGTTTCGTTTTGGGGGATCCCTTGACCGAATGACTATAATATGTTTTGAGTTTATTGTGTCTGGGAAGATGGTTTTTTGGAAGCGGAGGATTGGAAGAAGATGGTGGATTAATGAATCTGGCGATTTTCATGTGGGAACAAACGGAGAGGGATGTTGTTGAGTGGACAGGGTTACTATACTTTGATGATCAGCTGGATGGGAATGGGATAGGAGACGGAAGACAACGGTGAAAAAGGGTCGTGGTGGGTACTTACTTACATGACATATAAACCCAACTAACCAGCTTCCGAAATTATTTGGATGAGAAAGCTGAATTGTCTCCGACGGAAGCGAATATTAACATATTGCTAAGTGATCGAAAAGTGGTATTTTGTCGCCAGAATCCTCGGCTTTGCAATCTCAACAGAAAGCCTTTCGTTGGAATGTTGTTCAAAGGAGTATTAAACAGACTAGGCCAATATCTCCTTAGCGGAGAAAGTGTCCATCCATGTCCCTCTGAGCTTAAAGAGAGGAGTCCTGCGGCCAGAAATTCGTTTCTCGAAGAGGAATCCACTTAGTGATTTAAATAGATACCTCCTTATCAAGTGTTTATTAACGTTGAATGGGCCTCCGCCGAAATGTCTCATTCTAGGTAGATAAAGTATCTATAGATATTATTTAGAGCTTAGAAAGAATAGTCGTCGGTACGTTTAAGATAAAAAGCTTATCTTATATTTCTCTAGAGTACTTTGCCTTGATAATTTGAATGGTACGCACTATACAATAAAATTCAGCTCGAATAAGCATGAAAACTAAAAAACGCCCATACTTCCAACATCGACGATTACTCTTGTATTCTTTTAGCTAGAGAATCGTCTTCCGAGAGAGTACCTCGTCGGAGTCTTCCACGTGATGCGCAACATCCGTGGATCTTTCACAGTTCGTCATCTTACAACCCACAAAACAGTGAACTATAGACTTACTTTCCACACCTCTGTAAGTCGCACCTCGCGCTACATACACTTTTTAAATATCGATGGAGTAATTCGAATGGATAGGGATCTTGGGAGAAAGTGTCGTTTGTGTGAGGATTGGACGGACGATGTTATGATGATTCGAGGTATGTTGTAGAGAATGCATCTATCTCCTAAGGATGTATCGCGACTAAGTTATTTAGAAATAGGTGAGGAGTAAGGGATTGTCGATTAAAAGGCCTATTGGACGGACGATGTTGATATATTTCGAGTATCCATGATGATTCTTTGTTTTTAATCCTTGCGTCACGATGTTTGGTACGTTGCTTTAACGAATGAGTATCTCGAATAAATAGATCAAACAGACATCCATCTTAGTACGGAGTGTCGGGCGAATAAGTATGAAAGCACGATGCGAATATCGATGATTATTCTTGGGTTGTAATGCGCGGTATTTATATGTTGGTAAGACACTCGTCTCTCAAGCGCATACCTCGATTTAACGTCTTGGACAGGTACCTTGCAACAACTCTCGATTGAATATAGAGTTGAAGGGCGATGCGAAATACTTCCCGAATATCCACGATAATTCTTGGCTTGTAATCCTTGTGTTACAATGCCCGGTACGTTGTAGCAAGACACTTGTTTCTCGAACAGATACCTCGAATACCTCTCATAACGACGTGTCGATCGAAGAAACATCAAAAAACGATGCGAACATACTTCTGATACACAGGATACATATGATATCTCTTGGATCGCCGCAGTGTGTGTAGATTGAGACTTTGTATCCCGACGGGCTATCTTGACTCAGCAATCCGAGTAGAGTGATACCTCGTAACGAAGTGTCGATCAAATAAGCAATGGAAAAACGATGCGAATCAATACATTTCGAACATCAAAGATAATTTGTGGATTACGGTCCTCGGCATGTATAGACTGAGAATTGTATTCCGAACGCCGAATAGGAACCTCGACAGCAATTCGAACACAAAAAACCTCGCAACGAAGTGTCGATCAAATAAGCATCAATGGATGATGCCAATACATCCTAACCATCCACGACCATTCTTGGACATCCATCACGTCGTCTTGGTCGTTCATCACGTCCGTCCTAAATCCTAAATCTCCGACCGACGTCCATCAAGCCATCAAGCCTCCCCCGCAAAACGTGACATGTGCGAGCCGTCCAGTGCTGTGCTGTGCCATCCCCACACTTAGGCTGAGCGCCAAACGATTGGCACAAACTCTTGGATTGACATACAAGAACAATATAAAAAAGACTTGGATGAACAGAAATTTTCGCGATGAATTTTGGGTGATGTGATGGTGCTTCCGGATGTGCCGAGCGAAAGGAGGATTTAGCCAGAGGAGAGAGGTGTAATTTGGAGGTGTTGGTGGAATGAAATGATGAAAAAGGGAAAGGAAGTTGACACGGGATGAGAGTTCACCACTTGGTGGACTTGATGTGCTATGACTTGTCGGACTTTGAATGATTTGAGTTGTCGGAAGCTGGGTTGAGAAAACACCAAGCTCTCGTCCGGAAAGCCACATGCAAGTAACGAAAGCAGATCCCGCGAAAACACGAAGATCCATCACGAAAGCTCTCATCCACAATAAAGGAAACGAAAATCCAGTGGCAAGACCAGGAGAAAAGGAAACATGAGCAGGAAGTATCTCTAATGATATCCACTTCTCACTCTGACCACCATGTCACTTGATATCAGAGCCTATTGCGGCTATGAAGCAGTTTGATTGAAAGTAATACGCCCGAGTATATATCTCATGCAATCAGCAGTCTATTTGATATTGGGTGTGTCCCATCGCGTGGTTCAAATACCCAGGGGTGGACCAAGAATTTGGGTTGGAACAACCTTACCGACCTGTATGGTGTAAGGATACAGCTCGCGATTCCCCTTTGAGCTCGACCGAAGCCACGTGGGATGAAGTTGATTTAGGCACTATCTCGGACAGATCGTGAAACGACACCTATCAAGGCCATTATACGTCCTGGGGAATTATAAGGTCTGAGGGATATCGTATTCCGTCAACAAACCATTGGCCTATAAGAAACGATCAACAAATGCCGAACTCGCTGGGGAACGGGGAATTTTGTCAATCAACTCAACCTCACGCCGCTCGCCGTCGATCATCTAACAGTCAGCAAATAAAACACGAACGACGGCCGCCCAATTCGCCCAAGCGTACGGATTCATCGGGTATTTTGCCGTCTTGGCCAGCGCCGCATTCTGCTTTCAGGAACACGAATTAGTGATACAGCCGCGTGACAAGCGGCTCGTGGACTTGGCAATTGTTTATTCTGTTCTTCCCCCGCTTCTCCAGGTCGGGCATGCATCTCCATATGGGGAAGGGAGCCAAGGTGGCACCGAATTGTTCACGATATTGCTCGCATTTAGCCTGATTGTTAAGCGAGGAGTACCTCGCTCGTAACCGGGACGGGTCATGGCAGGCACGAGTGAATATACATACATAGATGAATGCCTCTTCCACCGAGGGAGATTCACCTGTCTTCCTTTTCAGCTCATCGAACCTTAAAAGCTGGGAGGATTTGGTTCGAATCAATCTGACAACCTTCAACTCGGAAAACTATCGTCAAGATGGGTGGTGCCGAAACTGGTTTCTCGGACCCAGTCCTCACGCGCATGGTCGCGGAGGATAAGGTGCCTTTTTACAAGAAGAAGACGCTGAGACTCATGTATCTTTACCTGTTTCTCTGCTGTATGGGTGTGGAAATGACTTCTGGTTTTGATTCGACGCTGATTGGAACTTTGCAATTCTCGCCGCCGTGGAATAAATGTACGTATAAGTTACCGAGGGATCAGATGAAAGCTAATAGATTGTGATTAGATTTCACCGATGGTGCTAAGGATGCTAAGGGAAAACCAACTCTCTCCCCAGGTCTTCTCGGTTTCGTTTCTTCTTGCTACCAATTGGGTTCTATCCTCGGTGTTCCAGTCGCGCCATATGTAAATCAGAGATTTGGTCGAAGATGGGCTATCATGTCTGGTTCTGTCATCATGATCATCGGTGCAATCATTCAAGGTTTTGCTCAGAACCGTAAGTTCTGAATCCTAGATCCCTTCATCTCTAGCTCGAAACTTCACATTATTATCTTCCTAACACTTTAATAGTTGGCATGTACATCTTCTCCCGTATGGTCCTTGGTTTCGGAATTGTATTCTGTATCATTGCCGGATCAGCTCTCATCGGAGAACTTGCCCACCCAAAAGAGCGAGCGCTGTTGACATCCCTCTTCAACGCTTCATACTTCATCGGTCAAATCACCGCCGCCGCAATCAGTCTTGCAACATCTGAAATCGCAAACGACTGGGGATGGCGTATTCCCTCCCTTCTCCAAGCCTGCCCGTCCCTCCTCCAAGTCGCATTCGTATTGTACGTCCCCGATTCCTCTCCCACAGCTCTTAACTAACCCATCCAGCCTCCTCCCAGAATCACCCCGCTATCTCGTCTCCAAAGACCGCGACGACGAAGCCTTCGCCGTCCTCGTCAAATACCACGCCGAAGGCGACGCCGACTCTCTCCTCGTCAAAGCCGAAATGGCCCAGATCAAATCCACCATCATGATCGAACTCGAGCACTCCAAATCCTCATGGCTGGACATGATCGCCACAGCCGGAATGCGTCGTCGTGTTTTCATCTCCGGGTTCCTCGGTCTGTTCACGCAAATGTCCGGGAACACTTTACTCTCCTACTATCAGAACCTGTTGTACATCATGATGGGCTACACTTCCACCTACGCTAAGACGCGCATCAATCTCGCTAACGCATGCTGGAGTTTCGCGACTGCTTTGATTGCCGCTTATGTGGTGTCGAGGTTCAGACGAAGAGTCATGTTCATGTTGTCTAGTGGTAGTATGTTGACGGTGTTCGTTTGCATCACGATATCTTTCGAACGACTCCGCGCCGCCAAGGATGGTGGGTATACCAATAAAGCTGCCGGAATCGCAGCCCTGTTCTTCTACTTTGCTTACTCGCCATGTTATAACATTGGAAACAACGCCTTGACATACAGTAGGTCCCTCCGTATCCCCTCATATCACAGAACTAACCTCCCCCAGCCTACCTAATCGAACTCTTCCCCTACGCCCAACGAACCCGCGGTATCGGAATCGAACAAGTCTTCGGCAAGATCGGCGGTTTCTTCTCGCAGAACGTAAACCCCATCGCCCTGACCGCCATCGACTGGAAATACTTCGCCGTGTACAGCGGCTGGATCGCGTTTGAGTTCTTGTTCATCTACTTCTTGTATCCTGAGACGAGTGGACGGACGTTGGAGGAGTTGGCTTTCTGTAAGTCCATGTCTTCTACGATGGCCTGTCGATGCTGCAACGCCTTCTACGATGGCTTTTCATTTGTTGCTGGCGTGAGCGTGATGCATCAATGGCTAACAACCCAATAGTATTCGAAGACAAGGAATTCGCCGAGAAAGCCGTCATCGCGGTCGAGAAACAGATTCATCACGAGGATATGGATGAGAAGAAGGTCGCTGTTGTGCATGAGGAGGATAAGGGTGTGGATCGTATCGTATGAAAAGCCTTAGCTGGTTGTGCTTCTTTGATTTTTGGGGACGTGAGGGGGGACAAGGAGGGAAGAGGAGAGGGGAGGGGATAAGGGGGGTTAGTTAATATGATACCTTTTGCTATTGCCTTTTTTCTGAGAGGGGAGGAAGATAGTGATGGTGATGTACCGCGTGACTTATAACCTTCCTAACAGCTTCGTAGCTTACGATGTAGCCCTATCGATACAACACTTCCAGACGACGAACGTAATTAAATAACCATACCTCATAACCACGCAACCAAAAATCCATTACCACCAGAGCCACGAAGAACACTAACATCTCAATCCAACGAACCATAAGCTTCTTACCCAGACCAGATATTCCCAAGCGTATATCACAATTAAGTTTCAGACACCAACCATGCCTAGCTCAAACTCCCGTGGTATATCCCAAATGTAAGGTTATCATACTATGAACTTCGGAGTAGTTTTGTTCGTAGTGCGTAGAAGTAGACTAGGGTTTGATAAACCATGAACTTGATTTGTGCTTATTATCGTCTCACACTCCTTATACTCATACAAAAGCTTTATTCCTAAATCACGTATTCATATCCATCCCTACTCCTCCCACCCATCACCTCCTCAACCCTCACAACCACGACTCAATTTCGCAAACTAGTCACCCGCCATGAAATCAACTACCGTCACAACCCTCCCATGAACACCCCATCCCCTACCTCACACCTTAGAACATATCAAACACCTTACAGGATTAGCGTTCATTCCTGTGCGAGAATCAAAGACTGATGGGTTTATGATAAATATGTATAGTTGAAGCGGTAGAAGATGATAAACTAAATTCGGGGGAGAGTGCTGCTAATGTTCTTTTTGTGGGGGGGGGGATATAAGTTTTACGTGAAACGGTAACAGACTTGCCATCGAAGACGTAATCAACATACCGACCCCCAACTCCATGACCGATATTTTATTTCGACACGGTTGGTTAGGTAATTTGGTGGCCGATGTAGAAACCTAGGTACATTCGATGACATGATAGGGACGGTATTTCTTAGGTTGATAAAGAAATTGGATATAGGTTATATCAATTATCATCTTAAATCCAAACCACCAAACCTCCCAACCCGTCCAAAACTTCCACAACTTATATTTAACTCGCACAAGGGTATCATACAACGCTCAAAACCAACCCCACTACCAAGCCTCCCACATCTGATTCCCCAACGCAATCAACCGATTAAAAAGCTCCTCCCTCAACGCAATAGCCGTCAAATGTTTCTTCTCCCCCACCTTATCCACCACCACCAACCCATCAGCAATCTCCCTATCCGTCGCCCACCCCACCACAAGTTTCGTCTTCCACCCCAACCCCCCCACCTTCTTAATCTCCATGATATCCTGAATCGCAACCGAGAACACCGGATCGCGATCATCGAGCGCCGTCGTCCAGCTGAGCGCCGGACTGGTCGCAGTGGTCGTGATGTAAGCGTGGCCTTTGCGGCCTTTGAAGCGGCAGGGGAAGGCGACGGGCCCGGCTTCGCGCTGGAGACCGTTGGTGAGAACGCCGAGACGGTTTTTGGCGTGGCCGGAGCCGGCGGCGGCTTTGAGGCGGTCGGTGCCGAGGATGGTTTCGACGGAGCCTTTGGTTGCTGATTTGAGGGCCGCGACGATACGACGGCCGGCTTTCTTTTTGGGGGGGTGGACTTCGGCGGGGGTGGGTACTGTGGGGTCGGGGTTGATGGCGGCGGCGATTTCGTCGTCGGGGACGCCTTCTGGGGGGGTTAGTTGAGTAAATTATTGGTGGGGAGATAAAGAAGGGAGAGATGCTTACCGAGGTGTTCTAGGTTTTGACCTGCTGTTTCGTGAGCATCGTGTGGTGGAGGTGGTCCTGAGTAGGGTGGTGGTGGTAGGGGAGCTTTGTTTACTTCTCCAATTCGAAGAAGGGTGATTGTAAGCTGGGCGTTTGTAGGGACTCCTTTGAGCAATGTATTTCGGAGTTCGAGAAGCTTTTGCCAGTCTGGGTATTTTTCGTTCAAATAAGTAAGTCCTCTCCAGATGATAGGATCAGCAAAGAATCCAAATCCGATGAAAAAGCCATTCATCTTGTAGAACATATATGAACTTGTGAACATCGAGATGAGCAGAACAGGAGCGAGACAGCCTGCGAGTTTCATTCGAGGTTTGTCCTTTGGAAATGGGGCTGTTGGCGAGAGAGCATTTGCAAATCTTTCAAATCCATCTGAAATGTCAGCTATGGTATGCATAACTGGTCTCGTTTTCGACCACATCGCCGCGGACATGGGCTCTTTCGTTTTATCGTGGGTGGTATTTGGCTTCCCACCTGACACATTATCCTTGGCATTTGCAGCACCTAAAGCTAGATTTGTTGGATCTGGAGCTCTATCTTCTATACTGCTAGCTCCTTCTTCTCCGGCATGAGGATCACCTTGAGGATGCTTTCCAGCAGCCGAAGAGATGGCGATCGATGTGAATCCGTTGACAAAGTTGGCCGCCTCGTTTTCAACTGCTTCGCCGTGGTATTTTTCTGGAGCGCCTGTAAGACTGTTGTCACTTCCTAGAACTCCTGCTGTAGGTTTCTTGACTCCTCCAGTTTTCGAATCGATCAACGCTATTGGAGCTGGTGGAAAGCAATATTGTCGAGACGGCGGGTAAACAATGAGGATCATCAAGAAAGCCACGATTGTTGGGACCAGAAAGTCAATCAACCACGCTACTGAGTAGACGCCCAGAAACGCAAGAGTGCGATTACGCTCCCGCCAGGAACGGAGTCGAGCGATATGTTTGTAGAATCCAACTGCCGTGATGATTACGGTCATGTAAAGCCGTTCAATATTCGATCGAAGTTTATCAGGTGAAAATTCCTCTTCATCGGCAATTTGTAAATCTAGACCGCCGAGTGGTGGTTCTGGCAAGCTTTTGACATGGTACATTTGCTATACATCTTTCTTAGCATTTTTTTCAACAACCCCTTGGGAGAAAAAGACACCTACTTTATTAAACCGTCTAATCAACGTCCATAATTGCTCATTTGGAAGCCCACCCACCAATGGCACAGGTGCATCTTCAACTGGGTGACTCCATCCCAGATCTTTAACTTCTGTCTGATCATGGTTCAATTGTGCAGCACCCTTTTCCTCATGATCCGCAGTCGCAAGCTCGTGGCTCACCGTTAGCGGTTCGGCGTAATCAGTTTCCACCATCTCTGGTTTCCCAACCGGTCGCTCTGGCTGTACAGCGACATCTGGAGGAAGTGCTGGTCCTTCTGTACCCGGTGCAGGCGCAAAACCTACGAGAGCGGGGTCCGTACTCGACATAATTCCTACAACCGTCAAAATAGTTGTTGTAGAGAATTTTTCTCTCTGATGGGAATTGAAAATGTCGATGGAAAACTGATGGGAGAATGGCAAATTCCACGCGTTCGTGGTCCCTACTAGTATCTGCCAATCTCGACTGGTTGTTGCACCGTCGACGCCAACCACGTCATGACGGCTGGGCGCATCCCTGACAGCGGCAGAGGCGTCGGTTGACAAGTAACCGGTCGCGACTAGAGCAACGGGCAACCAAGAATCCAAAGTCAATTGGCCATGTTTTGGCGGCAGTTCTCTTTGTTGTCTTCTTTTTGTTTTCATATCTCCATATTTCAGCTCGGTGATGGTTGAGAATGGGGGTGAAGTTGTGGGTATGAGATCATCGCAGTCGATCAGGGTCGCGGGGAAGAAAGCGCACCCGTCATTCGGAAATCTGATGATCGTCCAGAACCATGTACAGATTAATTCCCGGATAAAAATAAATGCATGCAGGTGAATATCGATCGAGAATAGACTGGCAAGATTCGTATGTAGACTCCTCTCTTTGCAGCTCGTCGTTTATGTGACTTTCGAGTTAAAGCGCAAGTTCGTCATCGCTGTCCAATATTTCTCCAGTTCCAGTCTTCCCATCTTGCAGCGCATCATTTGGATTCATCTCATCAGGTTCCTCGACATCGTTTTCTTCTTCCTCTTCCGCTTCGATTTCTTTCTCCTTAGGATCTGGAATTAGTATATCCTCACTTCCCTGCCATTGCGGTGGCATCACCGGCACCTCAACCTCATCCTCTTCCGCCCAGCCATAATCTTCATCATCTTCACCCTCACTATCCGGAATTTCCAGGTCCGTAAATGCTAATTTTCGTTTTTGAGGTAGGACTTGAGGTGTAGAATGTGGCTGTCCATCTTGGAAGTGTCTTGGATTGAATGGCGGAACAGTTGGTGGGTTGAATACTGCGAAAGTGGGGAGTGGTAGTGAGCGAATTCCAGTCTGCACAAGCGCTTGGGTTAGTTGTTTCAGGAGATAAGCATCACTTGCATACCTCAGTAATAGTAAACCCAGCCAACCACCCTCTCCCTTCTGGCAGAGTCAGACCCTCCGCCTTGACAACCTGCGCAAGACGTGCTCCATACACAGCATCTCCCCCCTCATCATTCCATCCCCAATCTCTGAACAACACCACACGACTTGACAGACCCTGATCCCAAGAAGGTACATTTATCGCAGGAACCAAAACAGCACCAATTCCCGGGCGCATCTTGGTCACACATTGAGACAAAATAACAATAGCGATATTCCGCGTCGCAGCAAGTTTTTGAAGTGTCCCTAGAAGATGTTGGAGAATTGGAAATTTTCGAGATGAAGGATTTGTAGGTTTGGGTGCTGGAAAAAGTTAGTGCTGATCTTGAATCTTGAGTGGTAATGCTTACCTCCCGGTTTCTTATTAGCTACAGCAGGAGGTTCAGCAGTGCGAGGAAACGCTGTACTAATAAGTGTCGAGAATGAGTCTATTACTATGAGACTAGTATTCGGCGCAGGATGATTTGCCGTTTGCTGCGAAAACAGCGCGAGTAGATGAGCCAGCGTAGGCACCGAATAGTGAGTGAGATTCTCGAGCGCGTCTTCCGCAGTGCGAATTTCCGATGAGGATTCTTCTTGTGACGATTTGGTTTTCTGGAGATGAGAGTCTAGTATATGCATGAACCGGATTCCTGGGATGGGATGTGATGCGTCTGGAATCGAGGAGGTTAGTCAGAACAAAAATCCCATAGCAAGTGAGGCGTAAGCAGTGAAATCAAATAACAATTCAAAAATCGCGACAAGAGAATAGAGAACTTACCAACCCACATAACCCCATCCCCACTCCCCAACGCACTCGCAGCAATCTGCATCCTAGACCACCGTCAGCCTCATCCTCAAACCTATCTCCCATCCCATCCCCATGCCCTCCCTCAAAATCAGAAAAACACATACCCAACCCCCGTCTTCCCAACCCCAGGCGGTCCATAAATCTCCATAACTTTCCCTCTTTCCACACCACCAATTCCCTTCCCAGTTCCCTTCCCATACTCACCCTCTCCCTTTCCCTCCTCCCTACCATCTCCATCCACCTCATCCCCACGATTAACTAACCCCCCATCCAGCCCCCTCACACCCGTAGAAATAAACCGTCCAGACCCCTTACTTTCCTCTAATGCTTGGGCTAGGGAGATGGTTGGGAGTCGATCTGGGTGTGTGTTAGTTATGTGATAGTGAGTTTACGAGCTTTTGAGGTTGTGAGCGTTTGCGAGCTTTGAGAGGAAGATGGAATTTTGGGAGAGGGTATGGAGGTAAGAAACGGGACTTAGGATAAAGAATGAGGAAAGGGGTTATGAGAGGGGGTATTTACGCGTTGAAGGAAAATTCGAATGGCCTTCGCCATGGATGGATTCGTAGTCCATTTTGTTTGCATGGTGACCCGTTTGGTTAGAGGTGAGATGAGTCGCGTCGCGTGGTGGTGAGTGAGGGTGCGGGGTGTCACGTGAGGTGAAGAGGGAGGATGGTGATGGGGAGCTAGGATTTTTGTGATTGGGATTTGGGTTTAGGAGGTTTGGGTTGAGATATTATAGTGTTTTGGGGGGGTATTGAGTAGTAGGAGGAGGAGAATTGTGGTGTAGTATGGGTAAGATGTTATATTGAGCTGCTTCTACTCGCTTAAAATCGAGGGATATTGACATGGTAAATTCCAATTAACATCTTGAGATTATTAGATAAATCTACTCGAGTCTAGATTTAGAGAAATTTGCCTAATATGTAGGTCAATTAACATTGGGAAATTACACAATGAAAAATCTACTGTTAAAACCCCCAGTTATGTTAAATGTATAGCCTGAGATAAAAAAGGTAGTACTACATGGACCTAAAAGCATCAGAGGTTTGCTATTACAGCCACATCATTCGAGTAGCTTTGTTAAATAAGTCTAATCAAAATACCGAATTTACGACGCTTGTGAGATACCTATTCGACTTAACATATTAGAATTCATATTATTCAACACACCAGATCCATTCATCTCCTCAAAACCTAAACCTCACTCCCCACACTCCTCTCCAAATACCTCACCCCCCCCTCCACCTTAACACAACTACTAACACTCCCCCCGTTCGCGCCCGCCTCCACAGGCACCCCCTGCCGTCCCTGCACCCGTCCAAAAACATGCATATAATACCACACCTCACTCAACACCGTCCTCCCATTATCTGCACTCCCCTTCCCCAGTGCCGTCTCATTCCATCTTGGCCCGCTACACCCAATATACGGCGTCGCTCCAAACCCGTCCTTTAACGCACCTTGCAGTTTACCCAAAGAGTAAGTAGTAGAGTTCGAAGGGTAGATCCCAGCGGCGCCAAGCCAGCCCCAGGTTGGTAAAATGCGGTAATACGCGATGGCCGTCTCGAAGAAATCGACGATTTCGGCGTTGGGGACCGCGGAGGGGCCGTAGCAGGGGAGGTCGAAGGTCGAGAAGCAGGTTGCGTGTTTGCTGAATTCGTGGGCCCAGAAGTCGGGGTTGGGGGCTCCTTGGTTGATCCAGTATCTGTTGTTGTTAGGAGAGGAATTGCGGGTTGGGGGAAAGGGAAGCGTACTTGTTCATGTAGGCTAGGAGGTCGAGTTTGCCGAATGGGGCGAGGAAGGTGGAGATATCGGGGCCTTTCCAGGCTGGGACTGGTTTTCCGCTTGGGGTTCCGGTTGTGGTGTTGGGTGAGGGGACGGGGTCGTATTGGCGACTTTCGTAGACTGTCAGCAGGACTTCGTTTCTGATATTTTAGATAGGTTTACCTGAGATCACAATACTGAGTGTAACTTCCATCGCAGTAATCAGGCCAGAGACCATGCAGCGTCCATGAGTCTTTGGGTAAGACTTGACCTGAAGATTCTAGTCCGGTGTAGGTATTCCAAAATTGGGTTGCGAGGACTAGACCGCCGTAGGTTTCGGTGCAGCAGGAATCTGTGGTGTTAGGATTTGCTTGAGGTGAACATGATAGATATGGTGTTTCTGGTGGTACACTGTTAGCTTATAGATAATATTTGATTGATGCTTTTGAAACTTACGCAAGGCACAGGTATGATTTAAGTTACTCTGTCCTGGATACAACGAAGCACTTGCGACTCCAAGAATCACTTGCATTGAAAAAGTGATAGACTTCATTTTGAACATTCTGGCAGATATGGAGCTGCCTCTAGAATTCAAAATCACGAGGAAAACAGCTTCCTCACCTACTTATAGCTTACCAGACATTTTCTGCCCCGCAGGAGCTTCCTGCAGTGCTACATTCCCAGTACGACCCTACAAAGGCACACGATGAAATTGATTGGATACTAGAAACCAATTGGAGTTCCCGAGCAATGATATCATGGGCCATGCATCTAAAATATACCGGTGAGAGGAGAAGGTAGTCATTGTGATAAGGACGTTCTAGGCTTGAAGCGGAAGGTTGTTGCTGCAGTACAGCTTAGCGAGCACGTGGGAAGTGCGGTGGATGAGGGGGCCTTTGAGAAATCTGATCGGAGTAGGCCGAAGAGGATAGTATGGAGTTATGCGACTCAAGACTCGCCTTGTGTGCCAAAACATACAGTGGCCGATTATTGAAAATGAAGATAAAATGACAGTTGTAGACATAAATGATGAAAACTTTCCGAGTAGAGGCGAATTACGAGCAAGAGGATGCTCTGAATGTTTTGATCGAATGCTATCAAATATATCTTCTATGCAGCATACAGGTCCAAGAGATGTGATGTATCACTGAATGCGCCTCTGGATTATACACCCCCAGACCGGTTATTACCTACTTCCGCAATAGTCTCTGTTGATAGATGTCTTCCAACGTGATTCTATGAGGCGTTGGCCCATCTTCGATCATGTGCTGAGCTCACGGCTCGACATGTTTAGCACTAGTAAGTGATTTTTGAGCTCCGACCCAATATTGGGCGGTATTCAGTGTTCTGTTCGTGAAAAAGGACAGGATTGAGTTCGTCCAAATTCCCATATCACCCATCAATCCCGACCAAAGCGACGATCAAAAAGCTTCAGCACACCCATAACACTTGCAGCCTCCACCTCCATTGGAGCACGGCCAGCATGGTGAGGAGGCACAGCATGAAGTCTGCCAAGCCAGCTATTTAAGTCATCACTAGCTTGGTCGAAGTTCTTATGTGTAGAGAGTGTCTTGTAAGTATCAGCACAAGATAGACTGGGTGGCGGTTCAGATGGAGCAGCTGTTGACATTGACTTGCAACATCCACCGCCTCCAGCATTACCACCACAGCATCCATCTGGGACAGCTGATGATGAGTCCTCACGCTTGGCGGCGAGCGAGCGACAGAAAAGTCCAGACTTCGGATCAGAGAGACATTGCTGGCAAGTACCAGGACCATTGATACATGAGTTGGGTGCTGCCTGAGCTACGATAGGTCGATGCATTTGGAAGGGTTGCATTGATGGAAGTTTGATATTGCTCCCATCAACATCGTTGTCAGATGGCGGAGGGGTAACCTCACTGAGGAGTGGTGCCAGGCGGATTTCATGGTCACGCTCATTTGCAGCGGCGGCGGCAGCTTCTGCACACATACAGTATGTGCCTTCCTCACAGAAACCGCAAGATTCGTGAGGTGGTCTAGCTTGGGGTACAGGCTCAGCTTGTTGGTGTAATATAGGCTTCGTTGAGAACTGAGCCGTGAAGTCAATCTCAAGTGGCGTAGACGCATCTGATTGACGTCGACGCTTTGCCGCCTCTGTTGATGGAGAATGAGGTCTTTTGAGCTCCATAGATTCATGATTGTTTGATGCATTTATGGTCTCTTCAAGACACTGGCAGTGTGTATCAGCTGTACACTTTCCACACCCCGACGTCACAAGAGCCAGAGCTTCTTCCGCACATGCGCAACTGGTTGAGGAAGTGCAGCCTCCACATCCAAGTTCCCCCATATCTGGCGCAGGTGAAGGTATACGTTGTGTATATTGAGGCGCCATAGGAGTATGTGACTCGGTCTGACGAGAACGTCTTGGTGGTAGCGGAACGGCCTCTGTCCCTGTGGTTCTTGCACCATTTCGAAGGTATGATAATTCAGCCAACGCAGCCTCCTTCTCTCTCTTTTCATAATCCGCAATTCGATCGAGCATTTCACATCGACTTCTCCAAGATTGAAGCTCCCCATTAAATCTCTCCAACTCAGCCTCAAGTCGTACGATCTTCGCCTGCATTTCCACCTCTTGCCTCTGGTGTTCCTCCTTTATCTCCTCTATCTGTTCTTCGAGTTCACCGACTCTTGCAGCTCGTCTCTCTCGGAAAGCACGCTGTGCAGCTCTGTTCTGCGCCTTGCGCTTCGTTGGTGGAGTGTCTGTTGCGGGCTTTCGGCCAGGCTTTGGTCGAGGTGGGATGACCCATTCCTTTCGTGTGATCATACCGGTTGGAGTTGGAAGACCGCCGGGTGAAGCAGCGATTGACGCCATAGTAGAATAATCCGTGGTTTTGATTGCAAGAGGTGGAGGAGCTGGTGCAAGTGGAATAGCTGGAGGCGAACCTGCGGTAGAAGGCGTGGACACAGCGGGCGACGCCATCTCACCGATGTTAGATTGGAACACGGAAAAAGGTGTCAGGTGGTGAGACGTCGAGGAAGAAGCCCAATGGGCTTCACGATGTGAAGTTGCACACGAGAGTGGAATCCAGGCGACGTGAGGCTCGATCGATCAGTAAGTCGATTTTGAGAGATGGACGAATGAAAGAATGAGGGAGGGTTCGAATTCTTATCAGATTGATTAGATCTTCCATTTTCAGTGGCTCTCGCTTAGCTCATTTTTGCTTGCGAGTTCGGACCGGATTTTTACGGGAACACGTGCAAGTCCCACCTGGATACCAATGCCTTTATAAAAGGGATGTTAAATTATAGTGACTGCAAGCTCTATGTAGGAAATTATAATTAAATTACAAAAATAAATAGAATACCCATTAGGCAGGCTGTTGAGTACATCCCTCGCTGTGCACTCTTCTCCGTTCTCGGGTATTGAAGCGGGGTCGTCGTACGAGTCCAAGACCCATAAAATTTGGATTTGATCTGATAACTTTCAGTCACATGATATCGATTTCTAACTCAATCCAAGTCAACACGAATCAAATCACATGAGTGTCAAGAAACATAAAACTAAATCCCAAATCCCTCTTGAACAACTCTCAAAATGAGCAAATTCTACTTTGGCACCGCCTCCGGCTCCATCTCCTCAGACGACGAAGACAACCTCCCCTACCCAGAAGCCCTCCCCCGCAGCGACTTTCTCATCCCCAACTTCGACGCCCCAACATACCTCTCCACGCTCTCCAACCGCCATCAAACGCTCGAGGATTTACGCACTGATCTCAGAGAGCGATCACAGGCACTCTCAAAGGAATTGCTGGATCTGGTGAACACGAATTATGAACAGTTTTTGAGTCTGGGTTCGGATTTACTGGGCGGGGAGGAGAAGGTGGAGGATGTGAGGGTTGGACTACTAGGGTTTAAGAGGGGCGTGGAGGAGGTTAAGGGACGGGTGGGGGAGAGGAGGGTGGAGGTTGAGGGTTTACTGAAGGAGAAGAGGGGGGTGAGTGGGGAGATTGCGGCGGGGAGGAGGTTGCTAGAGGTAGATGCTAGATTGGAGGAGTTGGAGGAGAGGCTTATGGTTTCGTCGCTCGGAAGGGCGGTTGGTGATGATGATGATGATTCGTGGAGTGAGAGTGAAGATGAGGAGGATGATGATGAAGAGAATCTCACTTCGGGTCCTGTGGCTGGGACGAGTATTAAGAAGTTCCAGCGGTTGGTGAGCGATTGTCTTCATGTGGAGCGGTTGGCGGTTAAGGCTGGTGAGGATCATCCGTTTATTAGATCGCAGCAATCGCGGATGCTTAGAGTCAGGAACACGATTTTACTGGATCTGAACACTTCACTGAAGCAGACTGCCACTGGGGGCGAGGAAGCCAAGTCAAGACTCATCAAGCTTCTTGGCATCTATAGAGCATTTGATGCGAACGACGAAGCTATCAAAGTGCTGAAGGATTTGAAATCAAGATGAAAATTTAGCATGACTTGTGGCATAGCGTAGGAGTTGGGGAATATACCATGGCGCTAAATGGATTATGTTACATCTAAAAATATACAACAGTCTACTATCATACCAAATCCTTCTCTGTCACATGTGTCTTCCCATCCGTGAGCCCTCCGTTGAGCGGTATTCCGGGACCATGAGTCGAACTCAACACCACCTCTGCTATATTCTTACTGATCTTGTCGCTCAGCCTTGACATATCCTTCTTAACCGAATCTACGAATGACTTGAGATTCTTCGTCATCTGTTCTGGCGTAAATCCAAGCTGTCCTACAGCCATCCGAACAACACCTTGTCTCTCCCTATACTCTGACGCTCCTATCATTTCCCTCATCGCTTTAGCTGGATCAGCTACAATCGTACCAGTCTTGTGATTTGGCATCAAGCTCTTAGGACCCAAGATTCTCGCTATGCCAGACTTGTTTAGTTTCGGGACCGAATCGGTTTGACATAAGCATCGTTCGAAGTCAATCTTTCCCGCTTTGACAGCATCAAACACCTCATCTTCTCCTACAAGTACAGCACCTGCAGCCTTCGCTTCTGCCGCGTATTTTGAATCTGGTGGGCAAATAACACAAACGCCAAAGTCGGTTTTCACTGGATGAGGAAGCCGGATTCGATTTCGTACAACTGGCCCGTTTCGTACCCCTGATACTCTCATCGCAACCTCGTATTTGACTGATGTTGGTTTGTATCCTACTTCCCAGGCTCGTATTATTCTGTTGCACATATCAGCGCAATCCTACTATCTCACAACCAAATACCATACCTCATAGCTTCTAATAAGGAGAACTGCTCCTCTCCCTTCAAATCAGGATCATTCCAATATATATTGGTCTTCTTCTTCTTCTTCTCTACAGCAGCCTTCTTCCCCTTTATAACAGTGCCGGCTTTACCAGCCAGTTTCCTCTCAGTCTTCTTTCGCGATTGTTTGACAGCACATGGCGCAGTCGAGCTGAAGGTTCTGAATGGGATAGTCGATTGAGTTTGGCGCAATGAGTATAGACACGTCCTGCTCAATTGAGTCAGGCATGGTTTTGCTGTGGCCATCGTGATGGGAATGATGTTCAAAAGCTTAACGCAGACCTCGAAATAATGTATGCATGTCGCGAAATGTTGTCTTCTTTTGGGCTAGCTTCTCCGGACCGGATAAACATGTTCGCGTGCCCAGCACTCACTGTCACTGAGTCAAAACACCCCGCCATAATTTTACTCACCCCTCTATTTAATAATACCTAAATCGATTCCTTCGCCATGAAGACCGAAGAAGTTGCACAGCTCGCAAAGAGCCTCGAGCCGGTAGACTTCAAGGCCATCGAGCCACATTTGCTAGCATTGGACAAACATCTCACCCTGAGAACATTCGTTGATGGTGGTTATAAATTGAGCGAAATCGATACCAAAATATGGGTCACACTTCGAAGCAACAAAGTTGCCAACGCCTTTATTAAGCGGGGAGCTCTGGCAAATGTTTCAAGATGGTTTTCATACATTGAGGAAACTCACCCAGAAATTCAAGAGGAGATCAAATTAAAGGATGAAGCTGCCAGAGCTAAAATCGCGGCCTCGAGTAAAGCTGGCGCAAGTTACAAGATGGCGCTGCAAGATACTGAGAAGGGTGTAGTAACAAGATTTCCCCCAGAACCTTCGTAAGTTCGAGATGTAATTGTCATGAAATCTTCTAATTCAATCAGTGGATATTTGCACATTGGACACGCGAAAGCAGCACTTCTCAACGATTATTTCGCACACGAGCTTTACAAAGGCACGCTTCTTCTGCGATTCGATGACACCAACCCAAGTAAGGAAAAACAAGAATACCAGGACGCTATTGTTGAAGACTTGGCGCTCATGGGTATCAAACCTGACAAGACCAGCTATACCAGCGATTACCTCCAGATACTTTACGATTATGGAGTTCGTATGATCAAGGAAGGACATGCCTACGCAGATGATACAGATCAAGCAACCATGCAGAAGGAGAGGTTTGACGGTATCGCAAGCAAGAACCGAGATTTAAGTGTCGAGGAGAATTTGGCAATTTTTGAAGAAATGAAGGCGGGTACCGAGAAGGGAGTCAAGAATTGCCTCCGAGCAAAGTTATCCGTGGACAACCCAAACAAAGCTATGCGAGATCCGGTAATTTATCGCTGCAACGTTGACACACCACATCACCGAACTGGAACCGTGTGGAAGATTTACCCAACTTATGATTTCGCCTGTCCAATTGTCGATTCCATCGAAGGCGTCACACATGCTCTGAGAACAACCGAATATACGGACAGAAATCCTCAATACCAATGGTTTCTTGATACCCTGAAACTGAGACAAGTGCATATGTGGGATTTTGCGAGAATGAACTTTATTAGAACAGAACTTTCAAAACGAAAACTTACCAAATTAGTGGACGCCGGAACTGTTTGGGGTTGGGACGACCCTCGAATGCCAACTATTCGCGGAGTACGAAGGAGAGGTATGACAATTCCTGCGCTTCGAGATTTCATTTTGAAACAAGGACCAAGTCGAAATATTGTTGTCATGGATTGGACAAACTTCTGGGCTTCAAATAAGAAAGAAATTGATCCGATTGCACCACGACACACTTCAGTTGATGCTGCCAATGCTGTCAAGGCGACGGTCATCAATGGGCCAGAAAAAGCATATACCGAGGACAAGCCAAAGCACAATAAGAACCCGGCCGTTGGAACCAAGAGAGTTGCCTACAGCAAGAACCTCCTGTTCGACCAGGAGGATGTGAAGTTGTTTAAAGAAGGAGAGGAAATCACTTTGATGAACTGGGGTAACGCTTTTGTACGAAAGATCAATGGCTCAAGTCCCATCACGGATATTGAGCTCGAATTACACCTCGAGGGAGACGTGAAGAAGACGGAAAAGAAGGTCACATGGCTATCAGCCGAAGGACAAGATCTCATCAAGGCAGATGTATGGGAGTTCGATTACCTAATGTCGAAGGACAAACTTGACGAGGGTGACAACTGGGAGGATTTTGTCACTCCAAACTCAAGTCACAAGGTCGAAGCGTTATGTGATTGTAATGTTACGGATTTGAAGGAAGATGATATTATCCAACTTGAGCGGAAGGGGTATTTTAGGGTTGATAAGGCGGCGAAGGGAGACCAGCCATTGGTTCTCTTCGGTATTCCCACGGGAAAGACGAAATAGGTGGTATAAAAGTTGTGTTGATGTGGCGTGGGTAAACGAAGTGTCTGAATGAATTGATGATTCTATTCCACCATTTATGCTCTCGAGTAAACCGCACCCCATTATCACGCCTTGCATTTTCTATATAAGAACGTCTCTAAATTTCTCACTCCCATCATAGCAGTCCCTTCCTAGCCAACTCCACTTTCCTCGCTGCCTCCCCAGCCTTGAATCCTCCTTTAGATATACAGATCGATTTTCCCTCTCCTAGCTCGAATTTCTCTTGGTAGAGCGGGTGTGGGCAGGGACAGTGGTGGGGGAAGTGGACGCAGGCTAGGGTGTCGGGACAGAGGTAGTTTGTACAGCGGGCTGGAGGGTGTTAGTGATGGTGAGGCAGAAGGGGGTAGGGTAGGGGTATGAGGAAGTGGTGGTAGGAAGGAAACGGGATGGGGATAGGTACCATTTTCGTAGTTTTGCTGGTACCAACTTGAATCTGATGGGACGTTTTGTGGTTCTTGTCGGTGTTGCTGTTGTTGCTTGTGAGGTGTTAGCATGTATCACTTTGAACTATTTAGATATTGGGCGTGCTTTCTGCCGTTCCTACTGGTCTTTGACCTCAAGGCCAGAAGTAGATGGAGAATCGCGCGTGCTAGGAAACAGAAAGTGGATTTCGAAAAAGCCATTCAAGTACATACACCTTGTCCATTGAACATCTGCTCGAAGAATTGGAATTGAGCGTTTGCGCCTGCTATTAGGAGGAGGAGGGTCGAGAGGAGGGGGAGTATCGATATGCGCGCCATGGTTTTATGAGATTGCGGATCGAATTTGGCGGATGGCAGTGATGGTTTTAGTTTATTCGGTGTCCTAAGTAACGACAATCGAATAGGCAATTACGGGATAATGGTTGCAGTCGTGAGAAGTGTCTGTTCAAAAAATGACATTCTTAATGCGAACATGACAGCTTTCCCACATACCGCTTACATAATTCCGCACACCCCTGTCATACAATGCATCTCGGCATCTAACTTTATTTTCGAACCTCAAACGACGACGACCTTGACAGCACAACACCACAGAAATGCTCCTCCCACGGTTACAACCGCCATTGCGAGCGGCAATTACATCAATCGGACGGTCGTCGCAGCAAGGATGTCTCAATGAAGCTTTTGCCGCGTTGGCAATTCGACCAGCGGCTTCGAGCGTTGGACCGGCGAGCTTAACATTCGTGAGACATGCATCGCATGCTCAGCAGGGAGCTGTGAATAAAGGAAAGGATGGACCGGGAAAGAGGTTGGGTGCTAAGAAATCTGGAGGTGTGTAGCTTTCAATCTTGGGGTAATTGATGCATGCTGATTAGATAGAACAATATGTTATCCCAGGAAACATCATCTTCCGCCAACGAGGCACACATTGGTTCCCCGGCGATAACTGCGCAATGGGACGAGATCATACTATCTACGCTACTGAATCAGGATACGTGAAATACTACAAAGATCCGGAGAAACATCCAAAACGGCAGTACATTGGAGTCACATTCGAACGCGATATGGTTCTACCTTTACCGCGCAACTCGATGCGAAGGAGACGTTTAAATATGACGGCACATAAGATGGAAGTCCCGCCTGTGGTTGTACCGATAGAAGGGCTTCCTGAAGTTGTGGAGAAGGTGGTTAAAGGGGAACGAAGGGGAGAGGAGGGAAGGAAGTTGGAAATTGGAGGCGGTTATGTGTATCGTGAGGCGAATTGGGAGATTGGGAGAGCAGCGGAACGGGCGAAGGTGAGAGTTAAGTTGTTTAAGCCGAGGGATCGGTGGGCCGCGAGGACGAAGACTTGGAAGAGGAAGATGGCGAATAGGGAGAAGAGGGTTGTGAAGAGTGTTAAGAAGAAGGGGAAGAAGAAGGTGGTGTAGATGGAATTAAGTGTTTTGGGAATGACTGTAAAATATTGCGAGGGTATTGTTACGATATTGTTTCGTTGTGGGTGTAGATGAATGGAAATTGATATACAAAGCCCGGGTTTCTTTGGACGTAGCATTACTAGTATTTTCAGGTTGTATTCTCGGCACTTGCTGGGCTTCTTATTCAAGTTGGTCGTTTCATTAGTCTCTGGTGCGGGATGTCAGATATCATGATCGGCCAAAGGCACCTCTTTTTGTTCTGGTCTCTCTGCCGGTCACCTATTATTGAGGGGTGGGAGGTCTGTGAGCGTTGTTTAGTAGGTAGTGAGCGTTCAACTTGCTTTTATCAAATCCGCCCGCTCTTCTTCAACCTGTCGAGTCTGTACTCTTCACTTCCCGCTTACCTTCTTGAGGATTCATCTCCCTACTCCCTGTCCTGACGATTCATGTTCCTAACCACAATATTCATTCCCTGTTCACAGCATTCTTCTCAAAATTACATCCGTCTTTATAAAGGAGACGACATGTTTATTCACAAGCGCTTCTCTACCCCCCTCACTTTCTAGTGATTCGGCTCTCCTCACTTTCTCCATGATGACAATATTTCTCTCATTTCCTATTTTAAAGACAAATCATGTCATCTTTCAACAAACCTGTCAGAGTCACAAGCCTTAGCGATCTTCTCCCCAACCCAGATATTTCCGCATTTCCTATCACAGCAGGACTCACAAACTCCATTACCCAACCTAACAGCACATCGTCTTATTATTAGCGACGCGCGAACAAGTTTAGGAGTCACCAATTTGTCTGCAACCAGTAATTTCCTCAGACACAACATTCATTCCCTTTCCCAGATTTATTCAGAAGTCCATACAACCCATTCCAACAACAGGCCATCCAACAATTCACGTCCGACTTCTCACAATTCAAGCTTATTCCACATGTAACTACTAACACTCCAACAGCAGTGATTCACAAACTGCAGAATCTGAAACAAATAACCAACGTGTGTAAAAAGACGACACCCTCTCCCATGTCTTCTAATTTTTCTTCAAATCTACAAAGTGTCTCCGAACAAGAAAGCCGGTTAGAGTTTAGACATCGAAGCATCAAGTCAAGATCCATCCATCAACCACAACAAAACGCCTCTAAACACCATGTCATCCCTGTTCCACAGAAAATCCCCTCTCGAGCCCGTGGAACCCAGCCACAAACTCACTCCGCCGCCTCCCCCTTTAACAAAAGCGGAAGAAAAACAACTTGATAAAGAAATTGAAGCCCTGTACAACTCTCACGCCAAACTTCTCTCCGAAAGATTCTTTGGAATCGCCGAGGAACATCTCAGGCAATTCCCATTTTCTTTCAACAACAGCAAAATGAAAAGACTTCAAGAGGAACATAAAAAGAGGACTTTGGAGATCTTGAAGGAGCATAGGGCTAATGAGAATGAGGGTCTTGTAGGTGAGTGTATGTATTGGGCGAATGGGGAGCTTAAACATCGTATGGCCAAGGTGTATGCGGTGAAGGGGGGGTCGATCAGTGGTGGTTGTGATTTTTAGGAGTGTGCGATTTCTATTTGGTGGGTTTAGGGGAGTGGGCGAGATGGTAGGAAGGATAGATGAGAGGGAAGAGGGAAGGTTGGGTTTGGTTTTAGAGGTAGAGCCGCTGGGACGGACATGTGATATTAAGTAGTGATAGGTGTAGCATGTGAGGAGATTGTTCTTATGCACCGGAAGAAAGCATCCAAGAAAGAACATACTCTAAAGGGATTAATTACTTCTACCCTTCCAACAAAAAATGTCCACTCAGGATTATTGTTTTAATAAACTTACCACCACATTTCCTGAAGCAGAAAATTACAAGAATTCATGTCTTCTACGAGATGGTAGCTGAGGCTAGAAGTTTAGGTAGCAGTTCTTAACTTCATGTGGTTCAGGTTATAATGTACATATAGCGCAAAAGTTCGGCAACTGTCAAAATATAGCTCAAGGCTATTCAACTACACCCTTGTTACGACACTATACAGTAGACAAAATTCGACGTGCTTTCCTAACGAAGTGTTTGGGAAAGCCGGGTTGGGATGCATCTCATACTCGTTCTGTCAAAGGAACATCTCGCTTCCGGTCGCCTACACTGTCTTAAATTCATAATTATATTTAAATCACCAAAGACCCCAGAACCCCCGAACTCTAGAACATCACAAAATTTTACCATTCCCAAAGATCATGTTTACTATCAACACAAGAGAAATTTATATATACGTTCCATTCATTATATACAACAAACAGCAACAAATATTTCGCCTGCGCCCAGCCCTCCAAACCCATTGCCCGCATCATCTAACTACCATACCTCCATTTCAATCTACGTCGCCGTAGCCTTCGCAGCAGCAGCCGCCGGTTTCTTCGATGACGAAGAAGCCTTTGGACTTGTCGCTCCAGTTGGCTTTGCGGCACCTGAAGCAGCTTTTGCGGAGACGCCCTTCGAGGCACCAGTCGCAGCAGCAGCATCCTTGACAGCACTTGTAGTAGACGAGGAGTTTCCGGAAGCAGCGGCGTCATCCCCAGTTGCGGCGTTGTCGGTCGCATTCGTCGTGCTGTTCGACGCACCACCTGTAGCCTTCGCTGACGCAGAACTCTTGCTAGCTCCCGTGGCGTCGGCCTTGGATGCTGAGCTGCTTGATGTAGCATCTCCTCCACTGGCTGCATCACCAGTTGCGCTACTTGCAACCGCAACGGCGGTCTGAGACGCAGTGCCGTTACCGGCTGCTGGAGCGTTTGCGGCTGCTTGGTTGTTGATCTCCAAACATCCGGTAGGTCGGACAGACTGGACAGTCGCGGATCCGGCCGCGGCAAAGTACATGTCGATGTTTGGAAGTACATTTACACAGCGGTTGGCATTGATTTTGTCGACCATCTGTTGTGCGGTATCTGGACCTTGCTTGACCATGGTGTCCAGATCATCCACAACCGATTGGAAATTTCCCTTGGTGGCTAGCGTGTCGTTTGCAGCTTGCACTGAAGGTTGATCCCCGAGTGCTGCGTCCAGAATCATCTTGTGGTTGAGTTCGTCGACTTCGGCGTTGAATGCGATGGTTGCTTGTTTGGTGAACTCGTCGCCGGTAAGACCAGTGGCGGTGTTGAGAAACTTGGTGACCTTGCCGGTGTCGTTCATCCAGGACATGACAGCGTTTGCAATTTGTGTGTCACTTGGAGCCATCATGGATGCTGGAGCGTTTGGAGCGGGGGCGGTAGCAGCATCGCCACTTGCTGCGTTTGTAGCTGATGCTGCCGCGACTGACGAAGCCGATGTTTTGCTGCTCGTCCTGGCCTTTGATGCCGAAGCACCAGCTGCAGGTGCGGCCAACCCAAGTGCTGGAAGCAACGCAAAAAGAGCGAAGAGAGAAGTTGAAAACTGCATTATGAAGGTGAAATTATAAAGGAATGGTATCTGGAAATTAGAAGGAATAGACACCAGAAAGATGATACAAGGATATGGTCGGTATGAAGGACTGTAAGCGAAAGAAAGAATATGATACAGCGATGGTCCAGCCTTGCCAGAGAGAAAGAGAGAGAAAGACACAAACCGGAAGACGGAAGTAGGAAACAACTTATAACGATGAGAAGGTGAGACGAGTCCCGAGGGAAAACCCTCTCCACGTCCTCGAGACAAGCCAAGCTTTGTATATAACATATGCTTGAGGCCCATGTATGCGATGAGGCCAAACATGAGTCCTCTTTCGGTCGACGCTTGCCTTGAAAAGTCATGGGGACCTACAAAAGCATTGAACGAAGTGCTTCAGATCGTCACGTGCTCGGTTAGGCCCCCTATACAGCCAATCGCAACGCCGGGCGATCCGGGGGATCTGCTGGAATTAAGCGAGAAACAAGAAACCGCCAAGTGTTCGACTAAATGTTTCTGCATCCGTTCGCACGCTCTTTCCATGCGAACGATCAAGCAAAGCAGTTCGTCAGAGTCAGTTCGCGCGAAGAGCATTCGTGAAACTGTCGGACTCTGTGGTTGGCGAAACGTCCTAGGAGCCTCTTTCTTCGCTCGCCAAGCTTTTGTCTCGTCTAGAACTACTTCACCAGATACTTTTTCCTTCTCAGACTCTTTATGGGAAGCAGCCGGGACTTGCAAATGCCGTTTGCTTGATAGAGCTGGAGAGCTGGGCATCGAATGTTGCTCCATGAGGCTGTGAGGATATCCATTATGCACTGTTGCCAGTGGTCGGGCTTTCTCTCAACGGATGACAATAGTTTCTATACCCGTGCCCCCGCCTAGCCTCATGACTTGTACTTGTATAGCTTGATCCGCCACTACCCATTGGGACGGTTTACTTTTAATATACCAGCTTTGCCATCTTAACTTTCTCTTCAAGTGGCGTCAGTCTCTCATTATTATATTCTATAGCCCTGGCGGCCATCTTTCGCTTTTAATAATAATGTCGTCCTTTCGATCATCTTTCTCTTTCTTTCTTAGCTTGACGCTTAGTTATTCTGTTTTTGCGCAGACTCAAAATGTTCAGTTCAATCAAGTAATCAACTTGAATGGTGATGTACGTAAGCTCTCTCCACTTCTACTCATTCTCTAACATCATTGTGTAGATGCAACTTAATTCACTCCAGTTTCCTGATAATTCTAAAATCGAAACCTTCTCTCAAACCCAGCGACAGATTCTTGTTAACCAGAATACGAGTCCGCTTACTGCAAATCATGTCGTTGGTTCTTCGGGTCAGCCTTTTGTTCAGCTTTCGCAAAATGCTATGACTATCGAGACGAATAATGCTACGGATCTTGTTGGTGCCCAAATCGAGTTTCCTATTGATCAGGCGACACTTGATCAAGCTGGTGTCACGGCGGATAATACTTTCGTTGCAAAGTTGTCTCCTGATAGACAGGCTTGGATAGTTATGGAGGGCCAAAAGAGCGTTAACACGTAAGTCTGCATGTCCCTTGGCTGTATCAAAGTCACTCGACCATGATTCTTTATGTACCAGTATTCTAATGTATGAACAGCACTGACAATACCGTCCGCTTAATCAAGATGAACAACATCGACGGCGAATACATGGCCATTGGCAGAAAGACTGTGGAGACAAGCAATGTTGTTAGTCCCTTTGGTCAATCACAGCAACAATCTGTCAATGTCACTGGGTCTGGTATTCAAGAGCTTGAATTCCAGGATGGTTTCCGAATGGCTGTTATGGCTACTCAACCAATGACCATCAATACCGATGTTGTCAACGGCGTCAGCTCATCGATGCTCGGCAGTGGTGAGATGACAGTTAGTAAGTATTCCCTTTGCTGGTATCAATAATTTCCTCGCTAACTGATCTTCCAAAGACAACTACAGATATCTGGTCACAAGTAATCTTGCAGGCGTCAACCCAGGTCTCAACCAAATGATGACAGTCGTCCAACTCCCAAGTAAGTCCCAAACCACAACTCACCTATCCTCTCACTAACAACAACAGTAAACGCCCAACGCATAATGGACATGGCAATCCGCACCGGCGCCGGCCCAAACAGCACCGTAACCCTCGCCATCGCCCAACGAGTCGTCCTCCCTAACCCAGGCGGAGCAGTCGGAAACCTTTCACCCCAACCCCAACGCCGTCAAGCCGACAACACCACCGCCGAAGCCCCTGCCGCAGGTAACACCACCGAGCCAGCTACAGACCCAGCATCCTCAACCGCCGCTTCAGATCCAGCAGCAACATCGGCAGCCACAGACGCATCTCAACCCCAACCTCAAGCCGCTCAACCCGCCGCCTCAAACCCAGCAGCAACCCAACTCCTCCTCGCACCCACCTTCTCCACTCTCACTTCCGCAACCGTAATCGACGCCGCGAACGGCCGCATCGCAGCCGCTGTTCCACAGGTCGACGGTGAGTTCATTATCACAATGCAGATGGGCGGTGCAGCGGGTTTACAACCGGCTGCGGGATTACAACCAGCTGGAGCACCACGAGCTGCCTCCGCGCCCGGGGGAACGACGATGTCGATGGTTGAGTTGACGCGTATGGTGAAGAGTCAGGAGAATGGAGGAGTGATGCCGGTTTGGAGTATGATGAGTGAGTTGCAGAGTCAGATGGCTGCTGCTGCTGCTGTGAAGCCTGTGGGGTTTGCGAGACGGGGTCAGTTGTAGATGTGACTCGGTCTTTTTCTGTAATGTGGGATTATGTTGTATATAGAATGGATTGCGATCTTGAAGGTTGCATAGGAATTTATATATATATTTAGATTGTGGGGGGGGAATCGGATTGGTTGTTGGTTACTACTTTCTCTCCCTATATCTTAACACCTTAGATTACATGCCCTCCTTTTCCTCAATTGTCTCTTTCGACTCATTTAAGTCGAATAGGAGTTCGCTATCCTACAACATTCGCTTAGCAAAGGGGAGGGAATGGTTCACGCACAGACTCAATCGACCTCGTCTCACAATGTCACGCATGAACTATCCGTGCGGTCTTTTGTGTTTTGTAGATCAGTTGAAACGAAACGTATTGCTGCGGTTTCTTATGGAATGCGAGACGGGGGTGGGGATTGTGGTTCGTTGGGTTTGCGAGTATGCTGCTTATTTTTGGACCTTGAGACTCGCCGTTTGAGATTGGTATATAGCTGTGCTGGGGACTCGGTTCCTGTAAGTAATTTGGATGAAAGCGTTTCCGAAGTGCTAAAGTGTAGCTGAATGGATGCATTTGTGGTGTTAATGAATATGTTCAAGTAAGCTTCTCAACTTCTCGGCAATCTTTGATTGAAAGTCAACACGACGGGAAGCAAGAAAAGTCCGTGGGAACAAAGTACTCAGGCTCACAAAATCGAAATCAAAGTGATAAAGAGAGTAAATGCTGAGTTTACAGAAAAGAACATAAAGTCCATGCCTCAACCTCAAATCACTTTCAGGCATACACAACTCTTTATATACACCGATCTCGAATTCCCTCTTACCTTTCAATATCAATACTGCATTTCCTTTAACCTCATTTCCCTCCCTTCACATACAAATTCTCTCTCTAACTCGTACCATAAGCACAAACTCTCATACACTCTCATCCATGCTTACTCTGGCTTAACACTACCAAGTCTTTCCAACACTACAAATGCTGTTTCTGTATTGTAATCTTGGGATATTATTTCACTGGAATAAGTTAGTTACTGGTTTTGCCTAGGGGATAATGGATATGGGGGTTGAGGTGCTGATTGAGGAGGTGGAGATGTGAGAACGAGGACAAGTATCAACTTGCTAGTTTATTACAGTATGACAATTGGATTACATATAGTACTATACCTTCGAACAAGCTAGGAGTAATAATCATGAAGAAGGGATATGCTATGAACATACTAGGGAAGTGCCATGTGTGATTACTACAAACGACAGTAATGCAGGAATATCACGAGGGGTTTGGACGTCATGCTTTTATGTCTTGAAGACAGCTCTCATAAGTTGTTGAACGATATATCGGAGCCAAAGTAAAAGGAGACTTGATATAGTTTAAATCAAATACAATGAACAACGAAGATGCTAATCCCGACACCCCAAGCGCCGCAATCCCCAATTTAATCCATGCACATCCCTAACCCACATCATGAAATCATCATATACACATTACAATGTATTACCCCATTCCCTTTCCTCCCTTTAACCTCACCACTATACAATCTTCCCCACTTTCTTACTCTACTTATCATCCCCCAAATTCTCCTCAAACTGGCTCTTCCGCTTCTGACTCGGACTCGGACTCCCAGGCACTCTCAACGCCGCCGGGGGCGCAAACCCCGCCGCCGGCTGCGGCGACAACGGACTCACAATGCCCAACCTCTGCTCCTCACTCACCTGCGGTGGCGGCATCGGACTCACGCCTCTATCCGGCAACGGACTCACACCCCTCGACGCAATACCCAGCCCCTGGTTCCCACCATCAGTACTAACGCTCGTCTCGCTGATTCCGCGCAGATGGCCGCGGTCAGAAGCCGATACGTTGCTGATGTCGGAGTATAAGCGGGTGGAGTTCTCCGGGAGTTCGCCGAGGGAGGGGGAGTCGGCGCGGGGGGTGGCGATGGGGGAGATTCCTGGGCGGGGAGAGTCTGAGGATACTTCTGAGGCGTGGGAGTAGGAGTTTTGGGAGCCCGTTGAGAGGGAGTGGCCGAGGCGGTGGGTGCGCGTGTTGAGGTTTGCGCCTGTGAGAGGGACGAAGCCGCCGGCGAGTTCGGTGGGCATGGATGTGTCTGATTTGTTAGCTGGGTTTTGGTTAGGGGAAGGAAGTGACTTACCTGCCATCTCGGCGATTGGAACACCTGCCATTTCTGCTGCGACTGGGTGTGGAACTGTGTAGGCCCTTTCTTCTTCTTCAGCGGGCGTCATGGGCGTTTCGTCTGTTGTGACGGTTGGAGCTTTTTCATTTGCTGGGACGGCTGGTTGACCTCGAAGCCAGTTTGCTATCCAGCGGTTGTTGTCCATGGTTCCGGCTTCGCTTTGGGTTTGGGTTCCGTTGGCCTTGAAATATCTTCTCTTCCTCCAAAGTACGAATGCAAGGACCAGAAGGGAGATGAAGATGAGACCTAGGACGACACCGAGGACGGGAGCTAGGTAACTGGGTGTTCCACCGCCACTGCCTGGTTTGGGAACTGCAGATGGGAGCGGTGTTGTGTGGTTTGCCTCTACAGTTTGAAGGGCATATGGATACCATTGCTTGATCTTTGTGGTGTTATATTTTGTCCCAAACAAGGCAGTCATAGATGTGTTTGAAAATCCGATAGTCGCTGGTGCTGTTTGGGTTGAGCCTCCAGTTGATGTGCCGCCAATAGCTGCAATGACACTTGCTGGTACGGAGTAATTGCTCCAATTCTCTGGGGAGTAGGTATCCATCCAGAGTGTACTGCTTAGGTTGAAGATCTGAAGTACACCCCCTTCAAGACATTTTGGCACTGCAGCTCCGTAGTCTGCGTAGCCTCCAACGACAATCATCTGGTCTGGATATGGTTTAGTGCATTTATGTCCTGCACGACCATGGGTCGAAGTCCCAGATTTAACCTTCACCCACGTGAAAGTCGGGATTGATAGAACCCAAACATCATCCGAGAAGGGTGACTTAGGATTGAGACCATCATAACCTCCATACCAATAGATGTTGTGGCTCGAACCATCCTGCGTAGAAGCAAGTACGGTGCAGCCCTGAGTCAAGGCGCCAGGGGCGGTCCCGGTGGTGTTTTGCTCATACCAGATCTTCTTCTCAATGTCGTAAACAGAAACAGTCTTCATAAATGTGGGACTGATCTTTGACTGTGATAAAATGTCAGAAATGCCACCAAAGGAGTTTCACATATGCTTACACTTTCATCTGCTTCCGAAGCATTAACTTTGTTGTTATTGAGTGCGAAAGAGGGATTAATCACACCACCAATAGCAATTAGAACTCCTTGAGTTGAGACTGGAACCCACACAAGTTCAGCGCCAGCTCGTCCTGGTACTGTCGTTGGAAGAGTATCGTTGGTCCAGGTTTCCTGTCCTTGACGAGTCATATCCACTCCGATCAAAGTATCAGACTCATAAACAGCTCTTTGAGACTCATTTTTAGACGCAGGTTGATAGAATATCTCGCCTTTACTGGCGGATCGCAAACCTGAAAAGTAAAATGCAAGGTTTTCTGATGGAATGCTAACGGCTGCCCCGCTTGTTAGATATCTCGTCATTCCAGCTGGAAGTGATTGAAGAGCATATCCTGATTGAAATTGATCCCTTGGAGGACCATACTGATACTTTTGATACGCAGCGATCGCATCAGCAGGTTGAGGTTTGTAGGCGTCGGTGTTCTTGAGTAATCCACCGTACGTGATCCATTCGCCGTCGTTTGCGAACATGGCACCATCGTAATACAAAGGACCAATATTATTTGCATTCCCACCACCGGGAGCTTTGGATATAGTGGTGAAAGCGTCGCTCAAGTTGAAAGTTCCAGTGGTGTTGAACGGAGTACTGAAGTTTAGAAGATATACTAGACCAAGAGGATTGCCTAAACCGGTCAGAGGGTGACTTCAAAATGCGCTCGGTGGTCTTACCATCGTTGACGACGGTGCCATATGTGCCATCCGCCAGGCCCGGCGTCCACCATTGATACCCTCCATCGATGTATAGTGTATCCCTAATTACAGCAGCTACAAGGCGATTAGGTTTATTCCACGACTTGATACATGGGGTCGTTTTGCGTAGCCCAAGCGAGATTTGAACATACCTCGAGGTGAATCCCAATAGCAGAGAGTACTGTTCCTCTGGTTTGCCTGCCATCCCGCGGCCTGTGAGACGGCCAGTCGCACCAGCCCTAAGGCCAAAAATACAGATGTTGTCCAAACCATTATGTGCGCGGTACAATAAGGGACCGAACGCTCTAAGATATCGTCGAAGCAACGATAATTTCAAGACCGGGCGCAATGCAAAGATTCGCGAAGTGCGCTCTGCCAACTACAGTTTATCCCCCTCCCAGAATCGTGGTAAGCGATCGCCCAATAAAGATGGAATAGAAAACCGCCACTTCGCCACCATCAGCATTCTTTGTATCAAAGGAACACTGTACGTGAGGGTAACTCGGTAGGGCCGATGTCTGGTACAATGGTAAGAATTGTGTGAGAAGGTGTCAGCGACCTTCCCTATAGAAATCGGCTCATATACGGGCTGAAAGCCCACCATTTGATTGGTAGAGAACAAAGAACTCAGGACGGAGATGGAGGGGAAATCTGAACAAACGTGGAATGTCAAGGCCTGCACTCGCAGGATGTACGAACAAGGATATAAATCTATTGGTTTTTGATTGGACTATGATGCTCGGTGCTGGCTTTTCGGGTCACTGAGCATGTTGCGCCCCGGCTTGTGGAGGGGGTCACCGAAGCAAAGCATGGGTAAATCACATCTTCAGCCTTGTTTGAGCGGACAACGCTGGGAATTTCGGACGATCAAAGACCCAGTGCTGACAACGCTAGAAGAAACCCTGGAATAACTCGTGTAAGTTATTGTGCCATAAGAACAACGAACGCCGCAACTTCTGCGCCAATTTGAAATAGAACCAACCCTCTTCTCATCAACAACAAGGCACAGCCGAGTTATTGACAAAATGTTACATCGAGACACGCATCGAGTTGTCAGCAAGTAAATGAGCAAAAGCAACGCAGTCCCGGAGAATCAATCTCTCAATTTCACCTGGTTGGCACTTGCCATCGGGTTGTAGATCATGGAATGGTTCCTGGGCAAACACCTAAAGGTGGGTGTGGTCTAGAGCTTGGCGAGGTGTGGTGGGTGGGTGATTTGTTTTTCCTTTCGTTTCTCGAGCAAAAGAGAAGGAAGAAGCGCAAGCGCCCATGATGGATAAAGTGGTTCCCGGGCTCTAGCTTTATGTATAGATATTGCTTACATGTACGTGGCTGAAGCTACAGTAGCAATGATCTACCTTTTACCCTCAGGGTGGTGGGTGGGTTGCGGCGGGGAAGAAGAGAGAGGCTCACTCGAGTTTTTCTCGGGCTGTCGGTCTGATCTGACCCTGGCGGCTCTGTCAATTCATATGGCGATGACTTCCGTTTGAGGACATCAAGTAAGCACTTGCACAACGAGGACGCCGATGCCAATTGGTTAACCGAACGAGTTTTTCGGCTGCAGCGGAGCGTAAAAAGCGTGTGGTGATACCGACTTTGGTGAAGAGAGGTGCTGTCCCAGCACCCTCGAGTGGCTCGAATCGAAGGCTCGTGGCTTCATGGCGTTGCCAATATTCGTATTGATATGTGGCTATCACAGGAAGGTCCAGGTGGCAGGTTGCAAGATTCGAGGCTGGAGTGGAGAGTGATGTAGGTTGGAAGTCAAAAGAACTTGTGAGAGAGAGCCTCACAGTTTTCCCCACCACGGAGTTCGATAACCTTATCCCGGTTATACTATTTCCAATGGGGAAAGAAGCAGTTTTTGACATAAAGTTACCAAAATAACGCGCTAGACTCAGGAAAATATGACATTGATGTCAAGTAATCTTCTAAGCGGCGTGAAGAGCGCTTGTTTTCCCACACGAACTATACGACGACTTATAGAATCTGGACATTCTAATTTTCTCGAGCAACGAGCAAACATTTCACCTCGATCCCACGTCTGTGCTTTCCCCTCTGCCCCTCTCCGTCTTCTTCACCGCAACGGAAACTAAAGACGGCCTGCCCCGACTACCAAGGCCAGATTGGCGGATAGAGTATCTTTAGCGAAGACTCTAGCCAGAATAGGTGGAGCTTACCCGTTCCTGCTGAATCACAACCAACAACCAACCTCCTCATTCATCCCACCACCCTCACAATTCACCTTCCGAGTTGCCTCTCGTCCCGTTTATTGCTTTGTATACGAGCAATTGGAAGATCATTATAACTCATAGAGAAACGATGCATGTTTATCAAGCAGATCCAAATTCTCTTCCACCTGCTTTGTATCATCGCAAAGGGCGACCGCAGTGTCAGACGGAAGGGTTGCATGCGCGGCCCTTCGTGATCTGGCTGCAGAAGAGCGTGCAAGAACAATCCTCCCGCCTCAAATGAGCTTTCGCGCCCTCACGGCATTTGGGTGTTGAGGCTCGATTCGCAACAGTACCCGAGTCGTTGACAGACCAATACGCATACGACGTAGCGACGAGCATGTTGTACGAGCACTTTGCGGTTGTGGAAAGTCAGAAGCGCGGCATGATCATTCTTCATGGATGATATTGATTACTGTATCTTGAGTATCAAGAATTCTGCAGACGTTCGTACCTTGCTTTCTGTGTATGTTTGTTGTAACCGGTGGACTCAAGTATAGAGTACGACAGGTACTGTACAGAGTTATATGGAGTAGTGATAACCGAAAAGTCACACCATACCACCTTGATGAAGACTCTTTTACTGGGCGGGGAAGATTCCAGACTCATGCTTGGCATGTCCGAACTGAGGGGACGACGAGGCTCTGGTGTGGACGAAGATCGTTCCAACTTTCCTTCCGCCTGTCCTTCTTGAATTGCAACTCTTCTTTTGCTTCTTTGCATGACAATATTTCCTATCACAGACATTTCGATGGCACTGTGTGTGCACAAATTATCCGGCTGCGTGCGTGGAGAATCTTCGCTCAGTTCTCACGCCCACACTTCGGTATTGGGAATTGTTGGCTTACTGAGACGTGGCACAGCCAATTGGGCTTGCCACCATAGAAACAACTTACTGGTGGACCATCGTACCTGAAGACGAATTATTTGTACTCGGTACGTTGGATGCAGTTGTTCGTTGTAAATAACCCTTATGAGGCTCACTCGTTCGAATGAACTCCCTTGTATGTTGTATCTTTCCAACACCAAACCAGATACCTGCCTGGAGCGGTCCATGCCAGTGCATCTCGGACCCTTGTCCATTCATGTCATCCGAGTCGCCCACCTTGCTCTACAATGCATCTTTCGTACATCTCATCTCAATCTTGCATGCCCTTTCTTTGTTCTGAGTGGTGCTTCTTTCAGTCGTCTTCGGCTTCCACGCCCATCTGCGCCACGCTTCACTTCTGGCCGTCCGGTCTAGACAAGGAACCCATAGCTCTTTTCCTCTTTTGTCCCTATTCTGCCAATTAGAAGCTTAGAATTTCCCAGGTTACAACGTCAACCCGATGTCTTTGCTTGTTGGCCCAACTCGTGGCGAGTGCCTGTGCCTTTTCGGCTTTGTTGATGGACGACTGGGAGAAAAATGCTCCGACATGGCTAATCTCATTGACAATTGGCTACGCCGGAGCGATTGTGGAGTCTCCGACCGTTCAGCCTTGGGGTGACAGACCCACCCTTTGTTGAAAAGGCACACCATCTGCAAAAGACTGCAGTTGATCGATGTTCCTGTCCGTCCTTAGAAGCACATACCCGTCTCTTCCACATTCGCTCACAGAATCCAGCAGGTTGCTGCTGTTCTGAATACCATCGTTTGGTTGCTCATCTTCACATCTCGCAATGATATTAAGTTGGAAATTAGTTTTGGTTGCTGGCGGGATATTGGGAGGTGTTAGAGCCCAGTCGGACAATAGCACAGTGCCAGAGGTAGCAGCTCCAGATGCAGTTCCAAATCCATTGGGAAGAACATATCCTACGCCTTGTCCAAGCAGTTGTAAAATTACCACCACATCAATTCGCTGGAAAACAAAGACAGAGACAGAATACTGTACTGTGACTGTCACCAATCCAGGTCCTACTTCCACCAAACCAGCATCTACAGTAACTGTCACCAACCAAGCTTCGGTATCCACCGTCACTGTCACCAACCAAGGTTCTACTGTGACCAAGCCAGTTTCTACGGTTACTGTTACAGCAACTGCGACAACTGAGAAGGAGTAAGTTTAAAACCTTGCTGAAGTACGTCGCAGATTAATTGACCAAAATCAGCTATACATACACTGCGACTGTCATTACAAGCGTCACAGCAACAGCAACAAATACTTTGACTGCGACTGCGACGGCAACAGCGACGGTCACTACCGCATCAGGTTTCACCGTCGTCTCCGAGAAGACAACAGAGAGAACGTACGTGGATCATTTCGCATATTGCATCAGTTAGATGGATTGTATGGAGCAAGCTGATTCAATTAACAGGTTCTCAACTACTACGACGAGTTTGATAACGACTGTAAGTCTGGACTCGAGCTTGGTGACGGAATTTAAACTAACGGCACCTAGTCTATACCTTATACGGTGACTACAACGAATTCCTACGGGTATGTTAAGAATTGAAAGTTATTGGATATCCATCTAACTAGTCAAAAGTTACCCAGTCACTACCACAAAATGGTCCACAATTATTACTACGCAGACTGTAGCAACCACCAAGACGGTCCCGACTACGAAGACTGTAGCAACCACGAAAACTGTGCCGACGACCACGATAGTTCCGACGACCACCACTAGGATTGTAGTTTCAGTAAGTAAATTGATAGCATATTAGGATTAGGTTTAACATACGACAGTCTTATCGGACTACTATAACAGTCACGAACCATTATGGGTAAGTTTTGGACGTCTGTAAAATTGATTATCAACTAATTTTCTCAGATATCCCGTCGTTTCGACCAAATGGGTTACTGTCACATCGACAAAATCCTTCTCGGTGACTAAGACTGTACCCACGACTACCACCAGCATTAGCGTTTTCACAACGGTATGTGATCCCTCTTCAAAACTAGATATTGAACCTAACACCTTTCAGTCTATTCCATACACAACCACAGCCATTGATTCTTACGGGTATGTTTATCATGTTTGTCTGCAGTGGTTGGTTGGTTAACAGAGCGTAGATATCCGGTTACTACGACAAAATATTCAACCATCATCTCAACCACAACAGTTCCAACGACGACCAGTGCAATAAGTACCACTGCGTTATACTTTACCAGCACAAGCACCGTTGTAGTCCCAACTTATATAACTACCACGAGTACCATTACAACAAGGTATTAATTGAAGAAGATGATGGTTTTCCAGACTGCTAATCAATGACAGTGTTCCATATACCGTGACTTCAAGTACCACCTTGTACACACCAACCACAATCGTCAGCCTAGTGACGATTACGTCGAGTTACACCTCAACATACACGACCAGTTTCACTGCAACGGCTACGACTTCAGCAACAGTTACCTCTACGACAGTCAGCCCGACTACCACGACCACGACGCTGCCAGGTGAAGTCGTGACGACTACTCTTCCAGGAGTTGTTACGACAACTACATTACCTGGGGTGATCACAACAGTCGCCGGTCCAGGTACTGTTATAACCACCACTGCTCCTGGCATTGTTACTACCACCACACTTCCAGGAGTTGTTGTAACTACGACTTTGCCCGGAGTGGAGAGCACTATCACTTTACCTGGAACGACAATTGCTGGTCCAACAGTCACTCAGCCTGGAGTCACATTGATAGGACCTACAATCACCGAACCCGCTTCAACGGTCACTCTTCCCGCTTCCATAATAACCACAACTTTCACGTCGGTACAAGCAGGAACCACAAGCGTTGTGACCTCAGTGCTCACACTTCCTCCTGTCACTACAACCGTCACTGGGGCATCGGGAACCGTGACAAACACTGTGACCTTGACCGAACAATTCGTATGCCCAAAACCTACGAACTCAGCACCGGTCATTGGGGCGTATACCGGAAAGGATAGTCTTTGGGGATGCAAGCCAGGGTATATCTGTAATCCACCAAAGCCGAATGGATGCACTCTCTTCGCAGATCCTCCAGACTATAGCTATCTCTGCCCATCTCAATCGTACTGTATACTTTCGCCGCCGTCTAGCGATGTTACATGGCCAAAAGGGGAGACTGATTATTACCCACCAACTGAAGGGTACTACAACTTGAATCCAAACGCTTTTGGTCTTGATTACACGATTTTTGTCAACAAGATTGTCACCGTCTACGTCTTTGGTCCCAAGGGCAACAAATACCTTACCACATATACAACTGGAGACTATGCGTCCAAAACACTTCTTGACCATTACCCTCCAGCGGCGTCCACTTCGGCGACTATCAGACCCGCCAAACGAGACACAATTGTCGTTCGCCAGTTACTCAAGCGCGACGACACCATCGTTCCAGCAGTCTGCTTTGCTCAATGTAACAATGTCTACATCGAAGCACAGAAGGTTGGGAAATCACCCGCACTTTGCGCACCAGATTCTGCGTTCCAGTCGGACTACTCTTCTTGCCAACAGTGTGTGGTTGACAATGGTGATACTACGAAAGTCACGCTTCAGACCTATGTCGTTCCTCAATTTGAGCCGTTCATCAACTTCTGTAGAGAAACTACGGCTCAATCTGCGGTCCTGCCGTCAGTGAGTACTCAGACCGTATTGCCAGTGGCTCCAACTCAAATCGCTGTGGTCTCGATCCCAACACCACCTGCTGTTACAACTCAAGCCCCTGTTAACACGAACACGCTTCCTGTTCCAATCGCAACACTCGGGCCGTTCTTGAACACCACTTCATCTTCATCGCGGGCTTCCTCTTCTTCCTCTGCGGCCTCCTCTACTGTATCCACTGAATCGGAGTCCTCCACGGAGTCCTCCACGGAGTCTTCCGCAGCATCTTCCACCACTGTATCGTCAAGTACTACTACTCCAGTCGCTACACTCCCAACTACCTCTGACTCGAGTGTTGCACCGCCATCAACGAGCGCTCCAGACACGACAGGCACCCCAACCACCACCGGCCCTCCTGTCCTAATCACCGGCACCAACGCCTCCCCACAAACCGCGCCCTCTCTAATCCTCCTCGCCAGCATCGCCCTCCTCTCCCTCCTCTCCCTGTTACTATAAACCCACACTCCGGCCCTTTGAGCTACCAACTTTACGATTCACGACCAAAAACCCTTTTTCTCGAACCCACCATAGTTCCGTATCATGACACTTTCACCATTTTGAGACGAGCATTTAGATCATGATACCCACTGTCCTTTACATATACACGGCCGAAACAAAGATACCCCACACTCCTTACGGCCTGCACACAATTTTTTTTAGATCACTTTGGTCTTAGACATTCATTTATGATGGGATAAGTATATACTAGAGATGTATATGCGGAATTGAGGGACGGCGTTTTGGATACCCGGTAATGGAAAACTTTTGAGATGGAGAAGTATGAAGGGAGGGGGGGTGGGATGAGATGGGATGAGATGAGATGGGATAGGAGGAGATGCTGTTTAATGTTTATTTCGATTCTTGTGTGGATATTGTGGGTTTTAATATGGGTGTTGAGTTTGTAGGGTGGATTGTTGAGGAGATGATAAGACTGTCGAGGTCTGCGAGGGATTGGGATTGGGTTGTGGAAGGAGAGATAGGTAACAATACATATTCGAGATCTTTTACCCTATGCTGGTAGCTGGTGACTTTGTTGCTGGTTTCGGAAATATACTATCTTTTCTGATGTTTTATTCGTGGATCTTTCGAAGTGAGTTCATGATCCGAGTAATATGTTGTGCCTCCGTTCGGTGGGTAGCAGTAGAGGCAACCTGCCGTCGTCACCGTCGCCGTCGCATTGGGTATAAGTGGGTCGACCCGCTTTTTCGGCTCGAGACGAGACGCGTGACGTATTTTGGCGTTGAGGTTATTTTTATTTCGACGACAAACCTTTCTCTCTCTTTACTACATCGTGAAGCTAAGTGTCGAACTTCTTTTCTTAGCACGACCAAACGTGGAAAGGAAAATTTGGGGAAGTTCGCTTCAGCAGAAGCGGTGCCCGCGAAGGGATGGCTCACAACACGAAAAGTCATTTGCGCATGAGCTTTTGTTGACTTTTTTTTCACGCTCTTTCTTTGGCGCCACGAGCTTGGGTTGATCGTGGTGGACAATCAGGATGCTCGAGATGTTTGGTGAATTATGGTGCTTTTGCTAAGTATCAATCACTTTGCTGCTTTTATTATTTGCTCACGCTAATTGGCTTTGGCTTCTCACAGTCATTTCTAAAACGCTTTCTGTAGATTGTTCTTTGGATACAACATATCTCTGGCGTTTTATTGGGAGCTCAATCAATTTCAACACCAAGTGATGTGAGTTTGAACAGCTATATTCAATTCCGGAAGCTCTTGCTCGATTGTGTTCTGAGTGAACAAATAGCTACATTTCGTGTTTGACTATGAGTCATAGCGAATCTGGAAAAGTTTCTACTACTGCCGTAGGTGGTTATTGGCCAGTGACTCTCAAATGACTACACTGGGTGACTATCATAAGTGTTTTTGTTCACCACCGTGCCTCCGTAGTTTGTGTACAGCTTGAGTTTTTTTTTGTGAACATGGCAATCAAGAGAAACCAATCTTACAATATATAAGGTTTGCTTCTACAGACGAGAAAGTATATAGCAGAGCATCTGTGCCACAAATGTTCAAATTAGGTTTCTTCATCGCCTCTTCAAATCTTTCAGAGACGGCAGTTGGAGACTTACCTTGTTATCTGTCGAAATTCAAAGAGCGATGGCATCCATGGCCGCCCCAGCTCCGCCCGGAGGGCTCACACAGCAAGAACAACATTGGAAAGCTGCTGAGGCAAATATCCCGTTGCGGACCCCAGTAGCTACGCCCAACGTTCCTCCCCAGAACATTGAAGCCAACTATTTCGCTTGTGGTATCAACCCAAATACGACGATTCATCGATACAGTATTACAATTGGAGCCAACTGCAGCAATCATCAGCAACAAGTACAGCCAAATCAGACTCCTAATGTTCCTCAAACACCAAGATTGACAAAAAAAGCAAAGCGTGCCCTTATTGAACAATTGCTTGCATCGAACCCGCCAAATCATAACTTTTGGGCATGCGATTATGATTCTCTTATCATTTCTGCTCAGCCCCTTTATGGCAATCCAGTTGTAGGCATGGTCACACCCACTCCTCACCCTCGTACTGGCAGCACTACCATGGTGACCTCTACAGTTACTTACATTGGCGTCGTCGATACCCAGTCTTTGCAACAATGGGTTAACGGAAATCATGCCAACCAAAATTGGGACCCTTCGCCCGTATTAAAGGCTCTGAATATCATCACGTACAAGTTTATTTCTGGTGCGGCATTTCAAGGAGGTGTAGTGGGAAAGAAGTTCTATCCTCAAACCCTTGTTAATGGCGCTATGGAGGCCAATCGCAACAATCGATTGTTTACCATTCGTCGTGGATTTTTCAGTTCGATGAGAGCTGGAGACCGCTCAGTCTTTCTTAACGTCAATAACACGACCTCAGCGTTCTATACGGCAATCGGGCTTGACAGGTGGATGTGGCTCAAATGGGGCCCTTTCAATGGCGCTCAAGGTCCTGGGTTTCCAAATGCCGCGGAATTTCAAAGGTTCCTCAGGGGCGTTCAAGTAACTTTTAATCACTCCCAACAAACTCCAAGACGTCAATGGAAAATCTTTTCTCTTGGCACGGTGCCTTTTAGTGCTCAGACATTTGCCAATGGGGTAACGAGCGTGGAAACCCACCTGCGTACAAGTAAGACAGGACTTCCTTTTCTCTAGATGCAACTCCTACTAAGATTTCTCATAGAATACCCGAGTTTAGGTAATAATCCTACGTTTCCAGACCCCAATCTGAGATGTGTAAACGTCGGGTCACGTACTAACCCAATATGGTATCCTATGGATTGTTTGACAATTGTTGACTGGCAACCATATACTCGCACACTTGATAGTGATCTCAACCACAACGGTATTGATTATTCTAGAGAGATGTTAAGAATTTCTACTATGATACCAAGCGTTAGCAAACCGTTGATAGAAAGGCATGCGCTACCTTATGTTGGATTTCCAAGTAGTTTTAATATACCCTCAAGTCTTCCCGCCAATTTTTATCAGGTAAGTTGTTTACCTCTATTACAACCTAGACCTCAAGCAGTCAATACTTCTTCTAGCTATTTGGGCTCGCTCCGCAAGGGGGGTTTGCGCCAGTCCGATCTGTCGTGTTTCCTCCTCCTCGGGTAGTTTACCGCAATGGCCGCGCAACAGTCCAACACACTGCGTCATGGGATATGAGGAATAGGGTTTTCCACACATCACCTCCATCTTTTGCCAATCACCCGACTCTGGATATCATCTATATAGGTGGTAATTTTAACGGCCCCAATCATACCAACTCTCTCATCGCCGGTCTCAGAAACTATGGTGTTTTCTCCAATAATCCAATTGCGGTCCAAAGAGCAGTCGTCAACCCGCCTGCAAACCACCTCACACCAACGCAGTATAGACAGCAATTTGTTACTGCTCTCGATACTGCTCGTACAACTCTTGAAAATAGCCATGCTCGACAAGTTAGGTTGATTATGGTTGTTCTTCCAAGAAGCACTAAAATTTATGCGGAGGTAAAGAGGTGGGGAGATTGCATTGCTGGGCTTCCAACGGTCTGTGTCGATCAAGATAATGTTTCGAAGCTCAAGAGCAATACGCAACCAAACGGCCACGTTGTTAGTAACAATCCCCGCTTCGTCGCAAATCTTTGGTGAGTTCAGACTGTTCTCACTTTCATGTGCCGACTAATCAGATTCAAGCATGAAATTCAATCTCAAGTTAGGTGGTCAGAATCACACTTTACGGGTATCCAACTCTGCCCCCCCTGGTACATTTGAAGGTTTCGGTGACCGTGTCATGTTTATTGGCGCTGATGTGACACATCCAGGAAGAGATGTAGATGGATGCCCTTCTATCGCTTGTGTCGTAGCTACAGATGGACATGCTTCAAATCGATATCTGGGCTCAGCAAGATTACAGACGGGCGGGCAGGAGGTAATATGTCGGCCCTCTCAAAGAGAGAGTAAAAGCTAACGCTGATAGTATATTTCCGACTTGGAGGGAATGATTCGGGAGAGGCTTCTGGCCTGGCACAGCAAAGCCGTATCTGATGGAATACCGCCTAGAGAACGATGGCCACGCAGCATTGTTTTCTATCGTGATGGTGTTAGTGAAAGTCAGTATGGAATGGTGTTGCACAAGGAGTTTCCACAAATCCAGAGCGGATGGAATGCCGCATGGGCGAGTTTTGCAGGTGCCAATCGGAATGATTTGCCTCCTCCAGCATTTCAGCCTTCTAAAGTTATAGTCGTTGTCACTAAACGTCATCATACACGTCTCTCTCGCCGGACTAGGCAAGACAATGCCAACCTACCCAACCTACCCTCAGGAACCCTGGTCGATTCAACAATAGTCTCGCCCAGCTATGACGAGTTTTATCTTCAGAGCCATCACAGTGCTTTAGGTACTGCTAGATGCACTCATAACGTCATCCTCGAAAATACTAGTACCGCCACAACAGCACAGATAGAGAAACTCGTAAGTTCATTCTGATACATTGTGTTAAACATTCAAAATATTTACCTGATGTTAGACAAACGACTTGTGCTGGAGCGGCTCCAGAGCTCTATGTAGTCTCTCGGTTTGTACGCCAGCTCGATATGCAGATCTTTTGTGTACGCGTATGAGAGCATACTTAAAGCCCACTTTGAACACTCGTACTCCTTTCATTCCACAAAGTTTCAATTCGCCAAATCAGCAAGCCGGTGGAAATTTAATTCAGCCAGGACCGACTCCTGCGCATTATGCCGCTGATACTCGGATATGGGCCGCTGGACAAAGAAGAAATCCATGGCACCAGAGTCTCGAGAATGTTATGTTCTATCTTTGAGCGGCTTCAAGAGAATTTGTGCTCCGATCTTGAGCAAGATCTCAGATGGTCTAGCAAGCTGTGTTTCTTCTTTGCTTCCTCGCATGGAGCTTTCGTCGTCCGAGTTTCCTTTTCCTTGTTTTGCAACTAGACTGTTTGGCTTTTTGTTTATTTTTCAATGTTTCCTTCTCCAGCAAGTTATCATGCTCCGCTCTTAGGTCTTCAGAGATTAGGACGGCTCTAACTTGCTCTTTTGATCCAGAGTTAAAGTAATTAGGCGTTTTATAGGGTTATTATTCGGTTTAGATGAAGGATTTGGATATGTTTTGTGTTGCGATTTGTTAAGGGGAAATAGCAAAATGAATTATTGTTGACTGAAAATTTGTCACATCAATCCAAGTGATGGTATCAACCTGATCAGTAATCTGTGGAGTAGAGAGATGCGACTGCGAATTTGGAGTGCGAGATTACTGTCCTCCTAATCCTGATATTTATACACTCCTATGTCAGTAACGATAGGTTGTCAACAATACTACATTCTCACTGATGTGCGGCCTAGTGTTGTGGGTAGAAAATTTATTTGTGATTTTCCCTACTGTTGATACCCTAAGAAACACAAATGGATATTCAAGATGCCAACGGCTTGCGGACGTATGGAGCTTTGTTGACTTCGACGATTTCTCAGGAAACTCTTTCCTAGGTCCCTGTATTGGAATGACATTGTCATAAACCTATCGCCAACATTTAAATCTTAGACCTACCACCTGAGCGCCATATTCAAGCAGAATTCGGGCTATTACGATCTTATTACCGCGTAATGCCAGCTCAATGGGATGTTGGCCATTAGTCGTCAGAAGATCCGGGTTGGCGCCTCGCTTGAGGAGCTCTCTTAAGCACTCTTGCTTATCTGATCTAATAGTTTGATGAAGGGCACTGTCGAGTTTAGGGTGCAGTAAATTAATTTCACTTCCCAATTCAAGTAGCCGAATCATTAGCGGCAGCTGCCCGCGGTAGGCAGCCGATATCAGGGGACCTCGCTCCAATTTACCGTCGATGAAAACGTCTTTAAACGTACCACGGTCTAGTAAAAGCTCAGCAGTGCTAGCATTATTACGCTGAGCAGCATGTTGAATTAAAGATGTTCCGTTGCGGTCTCGTGCGTTTACGTCCTCCCCTAGATCTAGGAGTAGTTCCACAATAGCAGTATGGCCCTTTATGACGGCCGTGGAGATGGCGGTACTTCCATCCCAACCTTGTGCTTTTATATTCGCACCCTTTTCGATAAGTAGTTTTGCTATTTCCTCGTGGCTCTTTCGAATTGCGATTTGAAGGGAGTACCCGCCATAAGGATATTTTCTGGGGCCCGTGGGGCAGTTGAGGATTTCGGCAACCGCGAATATTAAGCCCATCTTGCAAGCTAAATTCATAGGCGTAACCGGAAAATAACAGCGTTCCTCCAGGGGTATATAGGATTGGTCTTGAGAGCTGAGCCAGAGTAAACATCTCAAGGCTAGTGTGTTGATCGACTTTTGGTTGTCAATAGAAGTGAGGTTGATGTGCCGATACCAGTTCTCTAAAACGTAACGATTCAAAGGAAATTTCGTTGAAAATATGTCTGTGGTAGAGGTATGTGCAATATAATGGAGACAAGATTCGGCGATCAACAGATGCGCGTCGCTTGGAGAAATAGCAAAGAATCCCGCTTCGGTATCTTTGATTCGATCTGAGAGAATGTAGTCCTTTACCGAAAGATGAGCAAGGGTCACGGGTTGATCTATTATAAGATTCCGCTGTTGAGCTGTAGTCATGTCGTGATAAGAGTCGGATGGCTTTTCATCTGGCCAAGGTGCGATCATCTCAGGAAGTGCGCAAACTACCAGACTGGAAAGTATGATAAGCACGCTAGTAACATCTAGAAAGCGGTTCTCCACATCGAATGGAGTGTCTGATCGGCAATCTATTATGATAGCCTCAGAGATCTCCTTGAGCGTGAGTGGCCTCACTGAGAAAGCAAGCCAAATGAGAGCATGTTTAGCATCTTGTCGGTATTCCTCGTCTATTGCTAACAGCACGCGTGCGTAGGTTTGATCCAAGGTTTTGGGCAGATTTTTTAGGGCTTTTCGCACGGAACTTGCTTTCACGCAACGCTTGAGAGCATCGAGCTGGCAAGTCACCCATCTAAACCTGAAATTAGATATTAGCACGTGTCTTGGGTAGCCAAGAATAAACCTTACATTCCATTGGCTCCTTCTGTCAAAGTTTTTTCTATCTCTTGTTTGATATCGCTTGACCATCTTTGCAACTTGGTGTTGACTGCGAGTTGCCATTGAATATGATTTTTGATATCGAGTTTTACCTCTGGGTCTCTAAGCTGAATTGCAGGTTGTGATAGTAGAGGTTCGATACATTCGCGGATATCCTGCTCTGGGCGACTAGTGACGCAAAGATGAAGGTTCGCTGACCCAGCGTTTTTCAGTTGGGATAGCGCTTTTAGAAGAGACTCTCTATCCTGATTTCGACACTCATCAAGAGCATCAATAACGACGTACAAATGATCGATATCGGCTATAGTCTCGAATAGTAGTGCCATCAACTCATGGGTAGTGCAACGAGAGTTCCCTTTCGCGTTTCGAGACCATGCTTGGTCTATTGAACTGGGAAGCTTGGGTGCTGCGGTACAAATCTGAGCGAGCAGAGATGACAAGCAAGAGTTAAGTTCTTGCTTGGTCGCAGTTGTGAAATCAAAGTAATAGTAGATCACTATACTGTTTGGGGAGCCAGAAGACTCAGCCAGTAGGTGCTAAATGATTACTGAGCTACATTTGATTATTTAAGTTAGAAATGAGATGACATGGTTATTTGACTAGTTTGTAGCATCGCTTACCTTAGAGTAGTTTTGCCGCAACCAGCTGCAGTGCCGATTAGCTGCGTTCCTAAGACAAACAACAGACTTACGAATCCCATGTAGCCACAAAAATGAATTGGGAGATTGCGACCAGTTTTTGTAAGACGTGTGATTGAGGACCCAGCTGCCAGAGGTAGATTGATGACCCTCACAACCAGAATGAAAATTACTCGAAGGATCCGTCGTCGACAACCATCGAATTATTTTTAAACGAGTAGAGTCATCTTTTTGTTTTTCGATGTTTTCTTTTAAGTCCTGGACACAACGCTGCGTTTCGACAGCAAGCCTTCTGTAAAATAATTAGGACTCCTCATGTATGCAACAACGGATTACTATACGTGTGCTCGGATGCTGTGGCGAGGGCTAAAGATGATTTATATCTCTCAACAGTACTCAGCACAGCATCTAGATCTTTTTTGCTAAACGGCCACTTCAACCTGAACAGTAGCCTCTCTGCCTTTTGATCGCTTCGACTTGGCTCCATTTTCTGCAGTACTGCCCTTAATTCACTCTGACATTGCTCTAGCAGACCCCCCTTCTTAGAAACACCTTCCAGCACAGTACAACGACCAGGCGTGTCGCCATCAGCTAGATCAAGTATGCTGGCAAGCACAGCTTGAAGTGCATCTATCTCTTGCTTTAAGTGACGGATATCGTCTCATGCATTCTTGGCGTGAAGGCAATAGTTTGTACAAGCATCAAAGATCTTAGACGTAATTTGAACTACTGCTATGACGCTTGCTGCAGCACTTAAGGGCTCCATGTTTGTATAACTTGGGATAAAAAGAAAGAAGAATCTAACGATGATTGTAACGAAGTTGTGAGGTTATGGGGCTATGTTGCTGCAAATATGCTGTGTTACCACCTATTTATAGCTTTACCCAAAGAGCGCTCAAGGATTGCAGGATACCAGAGTCACATTTGCCGATAGCGAAAGCCCCTGGTTTTGATGAGTCTAACGGTTTCCAATAACCGAGAGAAATTTTGAAAGCACCTCGCAAATTGAAACTAGGAAAGCGCAACTTGAGAAAACTCGTGCATCTCCTAGATTTCTCAGTGACTCGTCCCCTAATCGACTTTTCAGAAATTTAGTATGTCGAGAGTGACATTATATATAAGATTATCATCAGAAAACCTCAAAAGGGTTCCCAATATTGTTGGAGAAGCGAAAGAGCCATAGGAGTACAATTTGAAACTTCTTCATAAAAATAAAGATCATGTCCCCATGGAGAGATATACACTAGTAGACTTCAACAGCTTTCGGTACTCCTCTCAGGCCACTTTCTTCCTCCTCAATAACATCCTGGAACTCAACCCACCCACTCATCTTCTCCACCACGTGTTTTCCATAAATGACCTCCTCGCCATCCAAACTTCTGACAACACACTCAGCTCCCGGTTCAAAAAAGAATGGCACCGAATGCCTTCCCTTCACCTGATCCGCATTTCGTTTGGCGGCTCTGACTCTATGCAACGTAGCAACCCATCTCCCACCACTGACCTTCGCCATCAAATCTCCAATGTTGACGACTACACTCCCAGGTACATATGGCGCTGGTATCCATTCATTTTTAGAATTCAGCACTTCCAACCCGCCTGTCGAGTCTTGATGCAGTAAAGTCAGAATACCAGAGTCGGTGTGTGGTGTACAGATGAGCTCCTGTTGACGAGACGCAGGAACAGGCGGATAATGCAGGAGTCGGAGAGTGCTGAGGGAGTTTGTGAGGTAGTTTTCAAAGAAGGTAGATGGCTTTCCGAGACTGACCGCGAGAAGCGAAAGGAGTTTTGTTGAGAGGTTTTGGAGTTCTGTGTGAAGAGTTTCACATTTGGTGCGGAAGCTCTGAGAAGATGGGAATACGTTTGGTTCTGTGAGATTGAACTTAGGGTTAGGAGAGCTTGAAGATGGGAGTGTTGAAGGTGTGCCGAGCTCGAACCCTTCCTTGAGGTTATCGGAGCCCTGTTGAGGGGGGAAATAACTGGAAATTGTCAGCAATTATTAATCTAATTAGAATCGAGTTTATATACCCTCGATATGTATTTTTATTTCCCGGAACGAATGTTCTTTTAGCCAGTTTCATTTTCTCTTCGGTAGAAACTCCATTTGGTCCAAAGAATTCATCACAAATTCCAAACACATCCTCATGGGTATAAGTGAGAGGAAGATCAGTCAAATATGCAAAGCCGGTCGTGGAGAATACATGATCTAATTCAGCTGAGAGTCTCAATAGTTCTGCTTCGTCGCATGAGGCTTTAGACAATGAAGAGAGAGAAATGATAGGAAGGGATGAGAATGAAGTAGACATTGCTGCTGTTTGGGTGGTAGATTTGGGGAATTTTAGAAAAATACGGAAGAGTTACCGTCATGTATATATGCTACTTAGGTAACTCAGGTCAGAAGTGGCATAATTCACCAAGCATCTCATGTAAGATATTGTGGAGTGAAACTCTTTCGAAATAGACATCCTTAAAGACCCTTATACGCAATTGTGGGGAAGATCTACTAGATTCTTAGATTTCTTCCACGCCGTCGTCTCGGCAAAATCGCAACGGAGTCAAATTCAGTAGAGTCAAAAGCAAAACACAGAAACTATATTTCGGTATTCGATCCACAACATCCGAGAGCACTCCACTGTCGTGTGCACGATTGCCGAATATGACCAAAGTACCCTCTTAATGTTAGTGCGTTACTAGTCAGGAAAAGGGCAAAACTTCCCTAACGTGGGGTTAAAGTTGTTCCTAAAAGGTCTACTTCAGATTCGTTATGGACTGGGCTTCCCAAGTCCTTCGCGTTCAAAACAATTGTTCATGAATATATGATCGTTCTGCTTAAGTTAAGTGAAAGTTTCATGACTCGATGATGGATGATGCAAAGAACAAAAGGGGGGAAATTAGGGTTCTGCTCTAGCGTGGAACTTTCAGCCTAAGGCATCAAGTAGGTTTGGACCCACTTCTTCGAAACCTGTTTGCAATGATCTTCTGATTCCACGTTTGAATAACCTCAATGATGATACAAAATCGTTCGAAATGTCAAATTATTATAAAGGAGCGCTGAATGTCAGCACAGATTTGAAACTCCGTGCGCTTGTTTCAGCGACTGCTCGTGGTACCACCGTAAACCCAGTCTTCCGTCTCTGGCAGGTCATAACTACGGCTTTTTTCCCCACCGCCGAAGGATATGCTTCATATCTCAAAGTACCACAATCAAAAAAGGACGATATTCCAGACTGTGAAGTCTTTGGGGTGAAGAGAGTCTTATGTGGAGCTGAAAACCCGGAGGAGTGGCTGCAGAAAGAGATCCTGGTTGTTTTCTGCTTGGATGCGAAGTCTGATATACCGGAGCACTGGAATGGTCTTAAAGAAGATCTTGAGCCTTATATGCTTCAAATACCTCACTCTGACAATTCCAATGGACCACCCGGAAGGTTCGTGGCGGTTGTCATGGGTCGGAGAGTGAAGATGTTCGCATGGAAGACAGGAAAGACTCAATCAATAGAACAATTACACGATGAACCACTTGACATGTCGGCACCTGAAGATGCAAACAAGGTTGCAGACTGGCTGAACCACTTCAAAGACGAGACGTGGGACTATACCAAGTGGGAGCCGGCGAAGGATTCGGATTTCAAGGTATTTTCATTTCTTAAGTTGACGCTGTGAGCTGAAATGTGACTAGTATGAACCTCAACATGAGCCACGTCCTATGATAAACATCCCTTCATAGCTGTCGGCCCAGGATCTTATCTTGAACTCATGCCTCAAGTTTAGCGAAGGCCTCTTCCTTATCAGAGATTTGCAACTGCTCTCAGACCTGATGACCCTCATATCAATGAGCGAGCCGTCTCCAAGCTATACCATTATTTTCTGCGATGTGCAAAAGCATCGACAAAACGGCCAACGTATCGCTGCTTAATACTGTTCGTCCTGAGAGTTTAGGCAAGCAGTAGTTCCCGATCCTATTATTATTTTTCCACTCATATGTATGCGCTCTTAATGTATTTATGACTTTACGGTAGATGAAAGTTTCTGTTCAAATTTAAATGATTTCAATCGGCTTTTGACTCTCAGGCTGTGTAGAGGTTTGATTTCTAGCAATTCGATCATTCTGGGATCGCCATGCTGGTCTGAACGAGTTTCGCTCTCAGCAAATGCTCCCAACAATCAACAAGTACTGAACAAATGTAGATCCTATGCACTATGGATCGAGCTTCACCAAAAAGAAATACCACGAACTGACTGAGCTGACAACCTCATAGTACCCCACTGGTTTTCAAGCACCTCTTACAGCACTTTCAACGATGACACAATCGCCAAGATCATTAACATCACATGCGGCCCTGCCCACCAAGTCCCCCAATGCCGCCCCTTTCCATTTTCTGAGTTCTCTTTTCTCGTATAACCCAACAAATAAAGCACGCGCGCTACACACCATGATGCTCCCAAAATAGCGCTCAATTTCGGGTACTGTAGCCCAGCAATCAGCAGCACACAGACGAAACTGGTATGGTTTTCGGTGAAGTTGGAATGTGCTTTTTGTGCACAGTTGAAACGATGTTTGGCGGGAGATGCAGCCGCTTCGGCGGGAGTGGCGTATGCAATGGGGTATAAGACGCCTGCTTTGGTTCGAAGGTTTCTTGTGAGGGTGGTATGGTAGCTGGGGATGAATGTTGAGAGGGCTGTGACTAGGAGGACATATCTGGACAGCGTTTAGTGAGAAATCATTTATTCGCGGCAAGGCATAGAAGCTAAAGCGACGGTTTCCAAAAGGCCCACCCACCTATAGTCAGTCGAGATTGTGAGAGTCGCCATTGTTGCTTGGGAGATGGTATACTTGAGAAAAAGGCGGGAACTTTGTGAAATTTTGTGGGGAAGATCGACTCGAGGGAAAAGCAGTAGATTGGTGGAGTATCGTGGGGACTGTTCTTTTAACGGCGCACCTGCATGAGATATTAGAGCGGAATCTCGGAGTCTTAAACACTGTCAGCCTGCATGTTGAGCCTTTAACCACCACAGCTTCAACCAACATCTTGACGTACAACCAACTGCAGAACAACCCAACCAACCACAATGTCAGGAAATGCTAGTATCACCAACGTTGGCCAACCTTCAGGAAGTCAGCAAACATTAAATGAAAAGATACAATGAGCTCGTTTCTTCAGTTTAGATTTTACCTGCCATTGGAAATCAGCCCAGGTCCACGATCAAAAGAATCATGTCCACCATCTCACCAACTCAGCTCTTAGCCGAGCTCCAGGCTTTGGCATCAAACCCACCAAATGATCTGGACGAAACACTCCAAACAAAACTCGCTGTTGCTGCCAGAGCTGCATTTTTAGCATTGGAGAAGCCAGAAGATGTCGTTGCACGAGTTTTACTTTCTCAGGTTTGAAGCACCTCTAAATTACAGATGAGAATGTACTAATTCGAGTCAAGTCGGTGGAAGGTATTACGATCAGAATTGCAATTGACCTGAAGCTCTTCTCCATTCTCAAAGACGGGGAAAAGTCTCTCACTGAACTCGCGGAGGTGACCAAGGCTACACCCGAGCTTCTAGGTGCGTATCATGAACTCGCGAAACCATAATCCCACGAAGCATTATCTCTAACATACATTTACAGGCCGTATCCTCCGCAGTCTCGCCGCCAACGGCGCAATCAAAGAAACCAGCAACGACAAATACGCCCTATCCCCAACCTTCTCCCTCTTCGCCAACCCAACATTCGCAGCCGGTCTGGCCGACTGCGCCGACTTCCTCAACCCCGCCTACCTCGCCCTCCCCTCCTTTCTCAAATCTACATCCTACGTCTCCCCCAACGACCCCGCCAACACCGCACTCCAAAGCGCCTTCGACGCCAAAGGCAAAGACCTCATCGGGATCCTCATGGAACGACCGGAGTCCGCGCGCGGCTTCGGGACGTTGATGAGTACATGGGGCGAAGGCAATTCGTTGATTCAGGATCTGTATCCGGTGGGGGAGTTGGGGGAGGGGTTTGATGGTGAGAGTGTGATGTGGGTGGATGTTGGGGGTGGGTATGGGCAGAAGAGTGTTGCGTTGAAGAAAGCGGTTCCGGGGTTGCCTGGGCGGTTTGTGGTGCAGGATTTGCCGGGCACGGTGAAGAATTCTCCTGAGTGTGAGGGTGTTGAGTTTTTGGGGCATGATTTCTTTACGGAGCAGCCGATTAAAGGTATGTACTTCAGCGCTATCTTTTTTTCCCTTGCCTTTTCTTTGTTATCCTCAATCCTTACCTTCTTCTAGGTGCACGAGCATACTACATTCGTCAATGTCTTCACAACTGGCCCGCAGAGAAGTGCTTGACTATCCTCAGTCAACTCCGAAAAGCAATGAAGCCAGGCTATTCCAAGCTATTCGTTCACGAGTTGATTGTCCCAGCTCGAGGTGCTTCAACCTGGGTTGTGACTCAAGATTTCAACATGATGACACTGTGCGCCACGTTAGAGAGGACAGAGGCACAATGGACCTATATCCTAGCTGAGGCTGGTCTTAAAGTGGTGGCGGTATATGCAGCTCCAGATGGGATTTCTGAGGGAGTGATTGAGGCGGAAGTTCTGTGATGCTCTGCTTTCCATGTCAATAGCGTCCAATTTCCATATTTACAAAGTTCTTGCTCAACAGGCTTATTACTGTTTCATGCTGAGGGGTATCTAGTAATGAGTACCGCTCAACCCAATAGTTGGGGATCCCACCCGTGTCCCCTCTGTAAAATCGTCCACTTCTGTCTACCGACCTCACAACACCACGGGTCCGCTAGATTTTCATTGTCCCCACATTCTAGGCATAATGCAAACTCTACCTCGGGTACCTCTTCGTGCTCACTCTCTTCCGGAAAATCATCCTCATCTTTAGATTCATCATTAGAACCCAACATATCTCTAGCTTGTTGTTCTCTAAGCACATAATTAGTCAAGCCTTAAAAAAGCGTAGAAATATGCCTGTACCTTGAATCCATCATCCTATACCATTTACAACACCCATCTCCTTCTTCAGGATCCCCATCACATTCCGGGCGAACCTTTAGTTTCCGAATGGACTCAGCATACCTGATCTCCTGACGAGCCTCGTATTTACTGTAAGTCGCGCATTTAGCCGAGTTTTTCATATGAAAGTGGTTAAGAAATTTGGATAGGGAAGACGAACTCTGCTTCCCTCATACTGTTGTATTTGCAACATCCATCTCCTTCGTCCGGATCTTCTCCACAATCATCACAGACCTTTCGTTTTCGTTTCTTGGTGGGCCTGGTGGTATTAGAGGAAATTTCTTGAAGTGGTGCTGCTGTCCAAAAGGCATTTCCGAGTATAATGTTGGTGCTGGTTGAGCTGAGCCTTGAGACGGGTATATCTCATCGTACAGTTTTTGGAAACTTAATGCTTCTTCAAGATCTGGTTGAGGCTCATGCGATAAGCCTGAATGTAGATTGAATTTCGCAGCATTTCGTTGCTGCCGCTTATTCTCTGAGAATAACTCCATCTCTTTGCTCCGACCAACCTGTGGCGAATCAACACCTTCCTCAGCACGTAGTTCTTTCAAAGGCGATTCCTTCGGCTTCTCCAATGCATATCCCGCATTTGGCAACACCTTGCGAGAAATATGATACTAGACTTCAGGAAATACTCTACACATATTCACGACGATACACCTCAAAGCTTCTACAGAAGCCAGATTGATTGCGCGTTCAAGAGTTGCGTCTAGCGCCGAAACACCATATTTGTGAGCTCTTTTGATAGGGGATGGGGTAGGTGAAAGGGTCAGGTCGATGATGCTTCCAGCCGGACGCATTGGAATTCGCTGCTGCTGGTCAGTTTGGTTTTCGGATCTTCGAGGGGGGAGACTTACTGGCATAGTCAAATATGTTCCAAAGATCCAAATTTCAAGATCCAGTGATTTGTGATTTGAGTAGGGACGACTAAAATGTGAGTAAAGCTCGCTCATATAAAAGTATCGCGTGACGCGACCCGACGCGTCGGGTTTTAGTCCGTGCAGAAAAAGGGGGACTTCTTGGTTTAAGCGAGATGAAATTGCCAACTGATCAATCCGTCTTAACTGCGCAGAATAGTAGTGATATATATTTTCACTGTTGGATAATCTTATTGATGAAATAAACGAGTGTACTACTACTATTCATATTTCAGATTTTAAGTTGTTATAAAAATTGATAAAGATCTTAAGCTTCGTGAGTATCGATCAACTTGATAAGTTTATTGAAATATACTTTTATTTCTTGGCACGAGAGGGAAGTTGTGTAATCTAGTAGTGCTTACACATAGGGAAGTGACAGTAGCTGCAAAATCAACATCCAGTATGCTGAAGTAACTCCGAGAACAAACGCCATTGGAACATCACTAGTCTGCCTTTTCACTCGAACCTACAATACCAAAGATCACTCACTCACTACAAACTCAAGACACAGCTGAATATTAAATATCAAGAGATACAATTCATCTATACATCTATATACAAGAAAATAGATTAGGTACCAAGACCAATCAGATTCATCTCCATCCCAAGAGCTCCACACAACAAAAAAATATATACATATGAACATAACTTCACGTCTCGTTTCAGGTGTAGGAGTGATCTAGCAGTCCTCGTCGTCCTCCTCGACTGGGGCGGCGGTAGCGACTGGCGCAGCGGCAGTGGTGGCAGGTCTGGTCAGGGTCTGGAGGGTAGTTGGGACAGCGACGGCGGAGGTGGCTGCTGGGACCTCGGTGACTGGCGCAGCGACCGAAGTAGCTGGGGAAGCAACAGCTGAAGTAGCTGGGGCGGCAGATGAAGAGGCAACGGCGGAAGATGCAGCAGGAGGAGCGGCACCACCGGCGCCGATAGTGAAATCAACGCAAGACTCGTAGGTCTGGTCGATGGATCTGGCATCCCAGTAATGTTGGAGAACACACGCACCAGCGGTGCCGCAGGTGGACTCGAGACCGGCTGGGACGGTGATGGAGAAAGCGGTGTCGTTTGCGGAGGTAGGACGGGCGTTGTCTGCGAAGTTAGAGTAGACGACGAGCATGTCACCAATGATAGAGTTGGTGGCTGTCTCGACGATAGAGACGTTGGCGGTTCCGGTGTGGGGAGCGCGAACGTCGAATTTGAAGTCAACTACTTGGCCGGCGGTCCAGGATTGGATGTTGGCGGCGGCGTTATCTTCGAATTTGTAGCCCTTGCATTGCCAGATGTTGCATGCTGCCTCGTCGTAGTCGGATTGGGAAGAGGCGACTTGGAGCTCTCCCTGGATGTTACCGAAGCTGTCAGAAGCTTGGTTGTTGAAGACTTGTTGTCCGCATGCGGCGGCCATGGCAGGTCCAGCAACACGGGGTGTTGGGGAGGAGATGGCACCGTGAGCAGTGACGCTGGTGATCAAGCCGCTGGCGGCAGCGAGGATGAAAGATGAGTATTGCATTTTGAGTAAAGTTGATATTTTCTTGCTGAGAAGCTTTGGGAAATGACCTGCAAAGAGGGAATGAATGTGGTTTGGTTGGTGAAAAGAATGTGATAGTCAAAAGACTGAAATGAATGTATTGCTCAGCAATGAAAGACTTAGACTGCAAAAGATGATGAGGATGAGAAGGAAAAGGCTTCCAGGAGGGATGAAAAGACTTTATACCAAGTACATACTCATTTACAAATGTCCCTAGATCCCCGCCATATCGGCGTCGCTCCAGCCATGAGATGAAAAACAAAAGTCAGGAGTTCGGGGGATACCAAGGCGAGGAGGAAATTCCCCGAGTGGAAGGAATTGAACGTCCACAAAGAATCATCTCAGTGCACAAGCCACAGAAAGATGCATAATTATGCCCAAAACTCGTCATAAGCAAGATCTAGAGCGGCAGAGCCTCAATTCTGGTGTCGAATTGATTCGGTTTGGTGAACTGTGCGTGGTATTCGGTCGCTTGCCGACGAAAGCGGCTACTGTCCGTTATTGTGCACCCCGCGGCGCCACGTTTTTGTCGCAAACATATGAAGTCTTATTTCAATCGTTCCACTCGTTGGCCCAGCTAATTATTCCATGCCTCCTTGGCACTATATTTGTTGCGAGTTGATTGCGAGAAAAATGAAGCCGGGGTGGGTCGCGCTTAAGAGGAGCTCCATTTTTGTTTCAGAGTGTTTTGGAAACGAAAAGGGATGAAAGCGGATCCACGCCAATGACAAGGCGATACGCCGTTTGCCCTAGCTCCGATCTCTTAAGATTTCCCATATCATGCCTGGATTCCATGGTCCTTCAGATGTTTCGTCCCGGAAGTATGGTTCGACCGATTTCATGGCTTCGACCGTTACACCAAACGAAGGTGTTAGTCGCATGAACAGTACTTGACCAGTTGATGTCTTATTCCAGAATTGTATTGCATCGAGACCCTTCGCAACACCTCGCATCAACCGTACCTGTCTAACTTCGACCATTTCCACCTCGCAAAATGTCGTGTAGCAGACTCTCAAGCCAGAGCCATCATGTTTACAGCTTTACACCACATTTCAAGATACGACATACAATTACTCCGGGCGCTTCTCGCTCTTCACTTTCCCCTCCTCATTACTCCCATACCTCTGCAAATTCATCTCCTCAATCCTTCGTGATCTCACTCTCTGCAATGACCTCGGAAGTTCTTCACAATTAGCCAGTCTCTGTTTCTCGAGCTTCTCCTCGTCCGTTTCCTGTTTCTTCCCATCGCTAGCACTAATTCTACGTGAAAACGTTGGTCTTTTCCTTAGTTGAGGAGGAGAAGTTTGTTGAGTCGCTGGCTCTGGCATGATGTCCAATGCTTCGTCCTTATCCGTGTCTGCGTCGTTCTCAGCGGCTTCGCCCGTCCGCGAAGCATTACCTGTGTGATGCTGCCATGTTTGCTCGGTTTTGTCCATGCGCTCGATGTATTCTCGATATGTTGGTCTTGTGAGCATTCCATTGCGGAATTCGTTCGCGCCAACCAAAAGTTTAGCCAGGTCGATTAATTCTTCTAAGAATTCGATTACTTCAATTTGTCCAGCACTTGCCGCGTTCCATGATAGAAACTTTTGACGGATGACACGCTTGACCATCGATACTTCCATGGCGGACTGTAAGATGTCTTCCCCGTTTTGCGTTACTTCGGCTTGCTTTCCGAGCACTACCTCTCTCACGCGATTAACCATTCGAAGATGAGAAAGCCGAGGAGAGGGTAAGAATTGAGGAAGGGGCAGCTTAGTTGTAAGTGCCTCATGTACTGCAAAAAGAACGATCGTAATAGCTCCTGCTACATTGCGTCGATATGCATATACTTGGGCATTGAGCTCCTCCAAAACTCCTGATCCGTATTCATATCGTAAATGAATCATGTTATCCATTCTATCCACAATCGCATGTAGGACATACGATATCTCTGCGTAGACGAGAGCGAGACCTTTGAATGAACCCTTTAAGCGAGGCTCATTTGCGCAGAAAGGTAGGAAAGTGTCGGCAGCAGCAAGAGCACCTTGAGCTTTTGCCTTTGCCTGATCGAATCTTTCTGTCACAGCTGTTGAGTGAACGTCGACATTATTTACTGTCTCAACACCATACGCCAGACAAGCCTCCATCTCAATGATCTGAGTAATGGATGCCGCCAACGACTCAACCAGTCTATCCCGAGCCTTCACGGGAACGAAAGTGAATTGAACTATCAAAGCTACAACTCCACCGATAAGAAATGCAATGAACCGCTTCAAGTAGTTTTCTGTGGCCGTACCAGGGACAGTCCTAGAAGTGGTAGCGAGGCAGACAATACACATGGAAATGATTGATACCATACCCGCTTTGACGTACTGACTTCCAAGTTGTACATATGCGGAGGGGATGATGCCAACGACTAAAAGAATCACAAGAACGACGTGGTTCCCACTGCCAGCCTGGTAAGCTGCGTATCCCCAGAGACAACCTAGCGAGGTGCCAAAAGCTCTCAAGAGAAACGTCCATACCGACGTCCCTATAGCTACTTCTGTTATAAGTACCAATTGCAATGCTGCCCATAGCCCACGGTTCAAAGAATACCATGTATTCCAGCTTGCAACAAAGGCTGGCCAAGTGACCAGATAAACGGCAACTGCGAGCTTGATAGCGTATATCACATCGTCACTATCATGCAGATACTCGACAATGTCTGCTAAACCGTTACGAGCCCGGGAGATGAAGCTCTTTGGTTGTTTTGGTTTTGGGGCAGTCTTTTGTAACTTGCGGTCAGGTTTGGGACCACCATTTCTAGAATCCTCGGAGACTTCTAGAGGAGTGGTTGATTCTAGATCAGTCCTCCTCAGGAGTCCATCATCACTTCTCGTGAAGGACGAGCCGTCTTCATCATCAGAATTGACTTTACCAGTTCGAACCTCTTTTCGGGCGTTATCAGGCAGCGCGAGCATGTCTTCCTCTCCTCCAGAAGCAAGCCATTTTCGCCAGTTGATTTGTGGCGCATACAGACGCCGCCATTTGTGTCTGGCCTGACGCCTTTCTAGGACAATTCGGGAGTGCCGCAGCATCTCTAACGTATGTAGACCAGATTGTCTCAAATTTAACAGAAACAACGAGATGAGGAAAGTTTCCATTCTGGGCATGACATCGACTTGTAGGTGCTCTAAATCACGTATTGATGCAGCACCCTGAAGTGCTTCTGCAGAATTTTTGTCAAACTCTGTGAGTGCATCGGTCAATACATCAATCCTTATATCTATCTCCTGAAGCTGTATGCCAGCCGGTGTAGGAGCCCCAAGAGGCAGCTTGGGAACATCGTAGCTATAAGCTAAACACGATGTGATGACGCCAACACTTGCATCGATGGTCTTTTGTAGCTCTCTTAAGGGGTCCGCGATACGACCGACCAGATATCGAAGGAGCTCGACGTCGCCAAATTCAATTTCCTTTTTAGGTTTGATGAGCTCGAGATTCTCTTTACCTTGCTGAAGTGTGGACTTCCTCTTCAGGCCTTTATGATGCTTCTTCCCATTTTCGTCATGGTTCTTTTCTGACTTTCTGCCGCCATTAACATCAATGGGTGAACGGCGCCTATCCTTTGAATGTTCGTTATCAGTTGCCTCCTCATCGGTGGAATGTTTAGACGATGAGTTTTCGCTTTCTACGTCCGCAGCCTTAGCAGCCTCTGTGATGTCCGATTCAATTTTGTCATTCTCATCGCCCATCAAGGCGTATTTACTCTCACATGCGCCAATGAGTGCAATAGTGTTTGCTACGAGCTTAGTCATTGCTGTGACACTTATAGGCTTCAAGAGCTCTGGTGGGAGTACAGCATAAGCCAATTCAAAATTGCACTCTTGCTGAGCTGCTTTGCAACCCCCAAGCTTGGCCCGAAGTTTCGCTTTTCGATCCGTAAGCGATTTGAGTGTGACTTTCTTCGAAGAACCATCATTACTCTTCGTCCCAACCTTTGAATAACCAAATATACGAAGGACCTTTCTGAAAACAGGTTCATGAATAACGGTTTTTGCAGGCTCTGACTTTTCTTTGGTATCAACAGAGTTTTCGGAATCTTCTTGAGAGGGAGATTCGTCTTCAACTTTCTGTGTATCGTCGATGACGCTTACAAAGTAAGTACCAGCGTCTCGCAAGGTATCAACCGTTTCTTTGAGGGTTTCAATGGTTGTGGTCCCTAGAAAACTACTAGAAAACTCGGGAAAAACCAAGATGTTCACCAGGATCAAAAGTGCTACTGCACTCAAAATTGGGTACAGAATGACAGTTGCAGAAGCCGTGGTTACACCTCGAGATGTGCCAGTCAAACTGACTACAGAAACGATAATTTCCAATACCGTAAGAATGAAAAGACGTGGTGTACTCGAACGTACGAAACCATGAAAAATCAGAGCAAATCCTAGAAAAACTCCACGAATTGTATATGCCGCCGGAGCGTTTTCTTGTAGAATAAGACTAGAAAGGTATACACCTAACAATGACCATCCGAGCCCAATGAGAGTACCACATGTTGCAAGCACCAGAGCTTCAAACATCATTCCAAATCGTCGTCCAGGGTGTCCGAATACGGTTGTGATTGGAAGCAGGTAGGTCGCTGGACCATATACTCTAACCACAGCTGGAACCAAAGCAATGATCACAGCTATGGTCGTTGCCAAAGTGTTTTTCACCATCCTCTGCCAGAGGTGGTTGGTATGAAGATTCGCCCATATTGCCTTTGCACGCTTCTGCATCCATTCTTCTGTTTTCTCCCAGCTCTTGTCGACTTTCCCCATTTTTGACACCTATGCTGTATCCCAAGCTGGTCCGGATTTCCTACTCCAATGTGCCTGGTAATGTCGCAGAAGCGTCGTCATCGTTTCGGGACGCGAGGAACTTCAATAGGTAGACGTTGAAGGGTTCGATGATTTACATAACATGTGTTATTATCAATTGGTTCCTATTATAGGGGCGCCATTTTGTATTATTAAGGTGGTTGTGGTGTTTTAGCCAGACAATTTCTTGTACCATCGCCTTCACAGCCAGACTTCGGAGGTCTCGGATCCCGGAGAATACCCGGGCTCTCAGAGAACTTGGCAGCGACAATTGGAACATCAAAACATTACTAAACAATATATCTCATTTGATCTCCATTGCGACACGAAAAAGCCCTAAATATTATCAACGTACAGGATCAATGCTGGAATATAAAGTCCAGAAAAGCCCCTGGAAAGTAAGGCACCCTCATTGCATACGGGGAAATTTCAGATCTCGAGAGAACCCGAAATTTTGCACGGGCGACCAAACAATCCAGATCCCCCTTCGATGGAGTTTTGCTACTAATAGCTGATCTGATACTAATAAATTCCAGGGTCACTAAATTTGGAATAGCCTCGCGTCGGTTTTCGATAAGAGTTAGGGAAACCTACTTCTTTTCAACTACCTAGGTAGTCGAAGATATGACACAACACAGTAAGAATGAGGCTTCAAAAGCACAATAGAAATTACTATGAACAAGTCCTTTTACGCAAAGCCTAATGCTTCTCAAATTTGGAGCTGTATTGCGATTTTCTCTATTTCCCGTATAACCTATGCCAATGTGACCTGTTGGTACATGACTAAAGTGCCCGAGGACAGAACACATTCTACTTATTGGGAATTGGAATACAAGAGCTTGTATCTACTTTAAAGCCTTCCCACAACTGGATTATCTTTACGACTTCTCGAATCTGTCCATGAACAATGCCAATTGTTGATTTTGACTTTCTAGTCTTGGCGAGATCCCCACAACTCCACATTCTTTTCGTCCAATCTGCCAATGAATTACGCTAAAGACTTCGAGAAGTAGCGTCATCGCACTACTGTAAGCTAGCTCCTGCACTGTCAAGTTGCAGAAGCTCTCCCTAAAGTCCCAAAGGAGCCATGCTTATGAGAGTGGCTCTCCCAAAATGAAGTACTGCTTACAATATTTGTTTCTCTATTGTTCATGAAGACGTCCACGTCAAACATCACGCTGAGGGAAGATAGTGATGTCCGTCTTGACGAAGTATCTCCTCCTTTGCTATTTTTCTTTGATTACTTCCTCACACCAGTCACAGAGGTTATTAACAGTTTGGCGTTCCATACTTAGCCAAGAGTCATAGGCGAGCAGCTTCCAGCTAATCCCTACTACTTACAGGTGCCAAGTACTATTAGTATTTTCTCAGATCACCCCTTCACTGATTGACAGTAAACGCATGGATCCTCCTTGACCATTCCGGCGTACCTGGAGCGTATGGTGGTAATCTGACAGAACGCGAAAGTCGCCTCGAAAGAAGAGAAGATATGGTCTATCAAACGCCCACAGGCCGAGTAGGACTTGACGTCTATTAACACTATGCGGGCCGTGTCTAGTGCCGCTGCATACAATTCTCGGCCCATATATTCGGAAACATCAAACCCCCAGTATGCTTAGGTACAACCCAACGCATCGGTCCATTTCCAGTAACTACGTCGAACAAGCATACGGCATCGCCACTCATCGCCCCAGATGCCAAGCACACAAACCCATAGGGCTAAATGTATACAAGGGGTACTCGTGTATCAGGGATCTATCGTCTATAAAAACGGCGGCTGTGACGTTATTCTAGAACGACTGAAGCCTAGTATGTCGGTTATGTCCTAGAGACCGGTAATGTATACGCCCTCGAATGCTTTAACCCAAGGGTACTTGAGAAGTGCCGTATTATACCGCGGGAGTCGTACAAACGCATCCTCCTGTACGACATGAAATGATACAGGATCTTTTTTCACTTTCTTAATTATTTATTTCAGTTCACTAGTACAGAATTGGCAGCCACAAGGTGCAAACAGCATAATTTGAATTCACCTTTACAATTCTCGGAATACGATCAGAGGATAAAGAGATAATTTTAGTTCCAAGGTTGAGATCTTAGAACTCAATCGTGACTCGTATCACGGCGAGATGCTCATTCTCCTCCAACGACTCTCATCACCAGCAAAATATGTCTTCCATACCCTGGTCGCCTACTGGAAAGTGGTCGCAGTACTGGCCGCAATCAACATAGTTGAAATTTACTACCATATAAAGGACTACAAGATCACTCGACCATCGGCGAATCTGGATCCACCGTTCTACACAGGATGTCAGACACCTATCTTGAATACCACAGCTCGGGCGAATGCGACTATGATGATGCTAGCTAGGAACTCGGACGCAGGAGGAGCGGTAGCATCAGTCAAGAGTATACAGGAACAATTCAACGACAATTTCCACTACCCGTGGGTATTCCTCAATGATGAGCATTTCTCGGGAGAGTTCATGAAGGAGGTTACTAGCGCTGTTGGAGGTAATGCCGAGGTGTCTTTTCACAGTATATCGAAGGACATGTGGGGGTTTCCGGAATGGATCGATCAGGAAAGAGCGCAGAAGGCGATGCATGGTATGGAGAGTCGGAAGATCTATAATGCTGGGAAGGAGAGCTATCATCATATGTGTCGGTTTCAATCTGGGTTCGTGAACCAATCCTCACTTTTGATTGCCTATGGTAGAGTGTTAGCTAATTCTGGGCAGATTCTTCTATGATCATCCAGCTTTAACCTCTTACAAATGGTACTGGCGTGTAGAACCAGATATCCAACTTACCTGCGCAATAACCTACGACCCATTCGTCTCGATGGATCTCAACAACAAAGTCTACGGCTACACAATCGCTCTCTGGGAACTCGGCAAAACTGTCCCCTCCCTCTTCCGCAAACTCTCAGATTATAAACTCAGGAAACACATACCGACTACAACAATCTGGACAGCAATGGTCGATCCGTCCTGGGCACCGCTCCCGATCCGACGCTTCATCCTACCATGGTTGAGAAACCGAGACGCCAGAGGAAATCTATGGAACATGTGTCACTTCTGGAGTAATTTTGAAATCGCTGATATGGATTTCTTTCGTTCGAGGGAATATAGAGAATTATTCCAGCTTCTTGACCAGGATGGCGGCTTTTATTATGAGAGGTGGGGTGATGCTCCTGTGCATAGTTTGGCGGCTGCTATGCTGTTGAAGGCTGAGCAGTTACATCATTTCTCAGATGTGGGGTATGTTCATAGTAGTTTGCAGTATTGCGCATATGAATCGAAGAGAGATGCGTTTGAGAGAGGTCGTTTGGTGCCTGGGAGCAAAGAAGAGAGGGGAGAGATGTTGGGTTGTAATTGCAAATGTGATGAGGGGATCGAGATTATTGGGTCGACGTGCTTTAATCGGATTCGAAGTACGGTTATGTAGATAATACTCGGACCTATATAGTTAATGTGTGACTAATTACCAACAGTTTTAGCAGCCCAACAGAAAAAAATTGAACTTTGTACAAATCGTATACTTCTAGACGGCTCCTAGTCGCTTCAACTCCAATCAAGCCATATATTACCATCGTCTGGATCCCAATAGAATACACCGATTATCATGATAGCCAGTCGATAAACTTGTATTATGAAAATTCCCAGACCCAGCCCAGTAACCAGAAAGAAAGAGGCATTTCTGAACAATTTCTCCCGGCGTGAACATCTCTCCTTTGAATCAGATAGATTGATTACTTTGGGAAGTACAGTCCGAAACACCTGCTCGACTTCCAATTTCAAGTGACTTTCACAAGCTTATCAATTGAATGGACAATGGAAATAGAGAAGTAACAAAAGTGTTAAACAAAAAATGGTAAGACGAGTTTGTCTCGGAATGGTTCTCCTTGACGTTGATAGAGGCTTGGACATTCCAGGTTGCAATTTCTCGGCCACCGTAGCCACTTGACCCCGCCATCCCCACCTCGAAACCAGGCAACTGGGAACGTCAATGAGCTTCAACTTCCATCTGCATCAACAACAGATTTAGGAGGATACGCAATCATGGCGCCCTCCTCAACAGTAGTGGTAAGCTTGCTAATTTATTGACCTTCCAAAGTTCCAGCTAACAAATCACGCAGTCCAAGCTGAAGGTCCAGCTAAAGCTCTCCATCGCGCGGCTCCGAATGGTACAACAAAAAGATGAAGCAGTATCCAAACAACAACGAAGGGCCATGGCCCAACTTCTCGAAGTAGGCAAGATAGAATCGGCCAAGATCCGCGTCGAGAACATCATAAGATCCGACATCACCACCGAACTCCACGAGATCCTCGAGCTGTACTGCGAACTCCTGCTCGCGCGGACGGGATTGATGGAAGGCCCAGTATGCGACGCGGGTCTCGAGGAGGCTGTGAAGAGTCTGATATATGCCGGCCCCAGAACGGATGTTAAGGAGTTACAGCAGGTCAGGGCTTTACTGATGGAGAAATACGGGAAGGAGTTTGCGCTGGCGGCGATGGAGAATAGTGATGAGAAGGTATCTGAGAAGGTACTGAAGAAGCTTACGGTTACGCCGCCGGCGGAGGAACTGGTAAATGGGTATTTAGAGGAGATTGCGAGGACATATGGGGTTGACTGGCCGAAGAAACCGAAGGAGGAGTTGGGTGATCCCCCGGATTATATTGACGACGATGATGAGGATAATCCTAGTGGTGGACAGGCGCAGAAGGAGTTGGAGACACCGCTTGCGGCTGGTGAAGGGAAACAGGCTGAGGAAAGGGAGGCTTTGAGTAAAGCTACACCGCCTAGGAATTTTGGTCCGAGCAGTCCGTTGCGAGTCAATCCACCAAGTCCAAGTACGGACAATCTTCATCCTAGGGTGAAGGGGACTTTAGACCTGAAACCAAAGGCTTCAGCGGCGAAGACAGGGACCCAAAGTAAGGGTCCTGTTGGTGGTACGATACCGAATGTGGATGAATTAGCGAAGCGTTTTGCGGCTTTAAAGAAATGATTTGATCGTTGGAGTTGGGGAGTTGGAGGAGATTCTGGTTTGATGGTTACGGCATATAGCTGACCACGGATGAGTGACATAGCAATGATATTTTCAAACTCGAACTTCAGCGGTCTTTTGTAAACATAATTTTAACAGACTCAGTAACTACGTGGTAAGCCAAGTACTTTCTCCCCAACGTAGTTCATAATCATCTCTCTCGAAACAGGCGCAATTCGAGGAACGAAGCACTCCCGTAAGTACCTTTCAACATGATACTCTTGAGCATAACCCATACCACCCAAAGTTAGCACGCTCCTTTCACAAGCAGTAAAAGCTGCCTCCGCTGCCAGATACTTTGCACTGTTGCAAGCTACTCCTATAGCCGACTGTGTAATTGTACCATCGGTAGTCGATCGGTCATACAGCCTAGCAGCATGATACGTTGCTAGGAAGGACTCACGTTAAAATTCGAACGGGCTCAGGAAGCGAATGATGACTGTTAAAACAAGACGTACCTAATTTAGCAGCTTCAAGATGCATATAAGCCTCAGCAAGCGGATGTTGAATCCCCTGATTCATCCCAATCGGCCTCCCAAAAACCACTCTCTCTTTCGCATAAGTCGTAGCTTTATGTAACGCAGCATACCCCAACCCCAACGCTTCCCCCGCAAGAAGACACCTCTCAGCATTCATACCATGCAACACGATTTTAAACCCCTCTCCCTCCTTCCCAATCAATGAATCCTTCGGAATAACATAATTATCAAAGAACACTTCATTAGCATCCACCGCTCTCCCGCCCATCTTCTTGATCTTCCTCAGCTCCAAGCCAGGTTGTTTCGGGTCAAAATCTATGAAGAAGAGGGAGAGTCCCTCGGATGGTTTACACACTTCTTCCAGGGGCGTGGTGCGAGCTAGGAGGATCATTTTCGTGGCTACTTGGGCGGATGAGATCCAGATCTTTTGGCCGCTGATTTTGTAGGTGTCTCCGGAGGGCGTGGCTTGCGTTTTTAATTTCAGCGTTTCGAGACCCGTGTTGGGTTCTGTGACGCCGAAACAGACGCGCCAGGTGCCGTCTATGATTTTGCCTAGCATGCGTTGGCGTTGGGAGGGAGTTGCGAATTTGGCTACGGGTTGCGTTGCGTATACGTCTGGGGCTTGTTAGGTAAATGTAATTAGATAAAAGAAGGGTAATGTTAGCTCACTTGCATGAATGGATTGGGCTCCAGCCATTCCTGCTCCACTCCTAAAAATCCTATGAGCTTAATCTTATGAGATGACTGTTGAAATCGTAAGATCCTACTCTGATATGGTATGTAGCATCAAAGTCGCCTCTGATATGCCTAAACCAGAACCACCCAGGTCTTCAGGTAGAGCAATACCGATCCATCCATCTTTAGAAAGTGCTTTGTGTAGTTCATGAGGATATTCTCCGGACTCATCATGCTGCGCCCAGTAATCCTGAAAGATGATCAGTAAAAGTACCTGAAGTGATCAAAGGTGCCTACATCTGGGAAATTTGAACATATCTTTGCAATTGCTTCTCTCACTTGTAACTGTGTATCTGAGAAGCCACTTGTTTCCATCAACGTATTTGCCCTAAATGAGTGAGATATCGAGAAGTTTCGACACTTTCTAGTTAAAGGATGTAACTTGTATCTGGTTCTCAGCGAGAGCCTGCTTGCGATTAAAGAGATCCTCATGACTTTAGGAAATGCACGTTGGAGAAGGGCTTAGGAAGGATGATATTACGAAAATAATATATGGAGAGGAATTTGGAAATATTGAAAAGGAAAAGCTTTCTGCTTCAGAGAAAGGCTAAGCTTAGCTATCTAAGGGCTAGAATCCTATAATCGTTTTCGCGATATGAGAAGCTCAATGTCGTTGGCATGAGGGGTTATCAAGGTTGTTTCCGTGACATAACCGGGTGGTAAAAGTGGCAAGGTTCCATTGCAAACGAAGCACCGAAGTATTAAAATGTGTGATGCAGAGGAATGGGGTATAATTATTCTCCACGATCAAAAATGAGGATTGATTCCTGTATCTCATTAAGATTGCAGAATGTGAAAGTTTGATAATAACTGTATCACAGCTATTGCTAGGTATATTCGATGTTGCGAGATTCGACGGGCGGCCGCTTTTGAGGCCTGTAGAAATCACGACTGGGGCGTTAGCGTGAGCTCCAGTCGCGGCAGGGGAGCTTCGACCAAAACAACATCCCAAAAATACCATCACCAACCCGTACACCGACGACTCGACCACGACACCGACACATTTCGCGCTTTTGCAATTGCTTTTCTGTCTTGCAAAATATACGCTATGCTTTTATGATCATACTTCCAGGATTTCGGCACGACGGCGCTTCACACCACTTTTCGACGCGCATTGTTTTGATTCGAGATCATGGCCGGGACGCGGGCAAACCATAGACTGCAGGTTGGATCGCAACCATGGATAGCAGAAGAACGCGCTTCCGCGCTTCAAATTGCGCAGGCGGAAACCGAAGAGTTTACGTTTTCGGCAAGAAATGACGTGGAGTGGTTGAATGAGCACATGGCGGAGATATTCAGCGAGAATAATGTGTAGGTAAACAATGCGGGAGTGGGAAACTTGACTGATTGAGGATGAACAGAAACGTAGCGGAGATATTTAAGACCCCAGGAAAATTACGAGGGAAAACACCAAGGACGGCGCGAAAGGCCAATCCACTCGAGACGCGTCCAGTGAGTAGTAGTTTTGCTATACATGGCTTTTACTAAACTGTAAATAGCCGTTGACAGATGTCTTTTCTTCCACGCCTCGAGGCCAGCCCAGCCCTTTCAAACAAGCGCATTTCGAACGACCAGTCGCGACTTTTCAGGTGGCCGAAGATGCACCAAGTCCAACAGCAGAGAAATCTTCACCGGAGAGGGCACCACAAGTTCAGAGCCCAATTCAACGGAAGCCTGTTGCAAATCACAACGCTTACGATTCGGGATACTTTGGAAGTCAGTCTCAAAATGTTCATGCGACCCAGTTGTCCGAGTATGCGGATACGCAGGTTACAATAGCGAACACGCCAGCAAGACCCGACGTAAGACAGATATTCGCCGTCCAAGAAGACGCTACTGTAAATCGTGAATCAGACGGCTCATTTAAGTCTGCTGAGGAGCAACAAGGCAATCTACAACAGCCTGATGAAATGGAAGTTGACACAGAAAACGCGCCTTTAACAGAATTACAGGCTACGGTACATCCAGTTCTGGAATCACCTTTACAAACACGGGCTCAACCAGCTTCATCTCCCCACAAGAGGTCGCCCCAAAGATCTCCTCAACGGTCACCAGATCGCCTTACTGAAACTCTTCAATCCTCACCCCCCAAGATTGAGCAACGCAGCGATGAACCTGAAGCAATAGTGGAGGATGAGCCTCTTGAGGAGGAGCCTGCGGATGATGTACACTCTCAGTCAGATGGATCAAGTCCAATTAGACCAATAGTTCGGAAAAGCAGTCTGAATTTCGCGTCACTACCAGCACGCGAGCCGATCACTACCAAGAAGAGTCTGGGAGCACGAACTTCTAGAACAAGTCATCTAGATCAGAACAGAACAAGTTATTATGGCCGCGCCACTGGTGGAAAGAGCCTCGGGAATGTGCGACAGGACGAGGATTTGCGGGACGACGACGATGCTGACATCGATATGGAGGATGATTTAACTGTAAATGACGCCGATTCGAAAATTGCACGTCTCCATAACAAGACATCTACGCAACGCCTCCAGGACCAGATAAGTAAACTTGGCCAATCTCAGACTCAAGCACGACCGGCTTCCAAATCGATTATTGCTGGCGGGCTCTCTGTTTCTCAGAGCAGCCAGTCATCACAACCTGCACCCGTGCAAGAAACGGCTCCAAGAGCCAAATCTCCCCAACGCTCGCCGGAACGAAAATCCCGCCCCCCTCCCGGTGCATTCCCTGATGATGAGGAAGATAGTTGGATTGGTCCGCCAACAGTCACAGAGAATTTTACTGTGTTCAGCCCGAGACCTCAATTGCCAAAGAGTCATACAACAGACGTAATGGAGGGTATTCATAGGGCCAGTATTGCCGACTCGCAATTTACTATTCCCAAACGAGGGGATGATCAAACCCAGCGATCTCCAATTCGCGAACCTATCATCCCAGAAAGAACGACGAGCACCTTGGGCCATATCAAATCTGTATCGACGTCTGTTCTAAGATCACCAAGGAAGGCTGGGGAATCTCCAGGTTTCCAAAAGACCATTTCTGTTTCAAATCCTACCATGAGTAGTATCGATGAGAGACATACAACTCCTCCAAAGTCACCTACTAGAAGTTATCGTGGAAGTCCTTTGAAGGCTGCTAAGGATAAATTCTCTTCCATTATGAAGACGTCTCGGAGTCTCTTTGCCAGCAGTGCCGCTGTGAGTGCAGATGCAAAGACCTCAACTCTGACCCCTTCCTCGAACCGATTTGCCACCGGCCACCCCGGACATTCCTTCGAGGACGTTTTCGCTCAATCTAATGACAAGGCCCCTCTATACCCTGTTTTGGATAACGGATCTACTGCTACGGTAAACACTATTCAAGCTCCTTCTAGCCCCCCAAAAGCTGTTCCACGGAAAACGAGAGCATCCACCGAGCGAGAAGAGCGACAAAAGGAAGAAGAGGCAAGACAAGTTAAAGAAGCAAAAGAAGCTCAGAAAATGGCTAACCAGCTTGAAAAGGCTCGACTCAAGGAGAAGGACAAAGCACGCGTGTTTCATCAAGAACAAGAACGTGTTGCACTTATGCAGAAGGAGGTAGACGCACGCAAGGATCAGGAGAAACAAGCAAAAGCCAGTCAGGTTGATATCCCAAGGGCTACGAGAAGCAGTCCTCGCAAAACAAAAGCACAGCTGGAGGCTGAAGGTATTGCTTCGGCGGCAGCGAGTACTGAGGATTTTATTCGAGACGCAGAAATGAGTGATGCGTCGGCAATGCCACCACCCGCAATTCCACGACCGAAGTCTCAAATCGGTCGCCCCGGGCCAAAGAGACCCCTAAGACCTGCAAAAGAGACGCTGGCCAAAGCAAAACCGCCAACCGTTATCAAGGTTGATATGCAGCGAGGTCATCAATACCACCCCTCGAATACAACTTTAGCTGCGACTCTCCAGGAGTCTCTTTCCGCACCGTCTGGGCGACCCGGTCTGCACAAAAAGGCTAGTACAAGCTCTATCCAGGGCAAAGCGTCGGTCTCAAGCTTCAAGGCAACAGCAAGCCGAGCGATTGAGGCTGCCGCACGAAAGAAGGAACAGGTTAGTACCAAAAGAGGAGTTTGAGGATTTCAGAAGCTAACAGACTTAGGACGAAATTGCCGCTCAGAGAAAGCGACAACTGAAAGAGGAGAATGAAAGGCAGCGAGCAGCGCTGAAGGAGGAGAATGAAAGGCAGCGAGCAGCGCTGAAGGAGGAGGAGCGCCGAAAAGAAGAGCAACAACGCCGACAAGAAGCTGAGCGGCAACGAGAGTTGAAAAATGAGAGGGAACGGGTTGCAAACGCAGCCGATGCGAAGAAAGCTGCTTCACGACAAGCTATGGAAAAGAGAAGACTAGAGCTTGAGAAAGCCAAGCAGATGGGTGCTCCACCGCCAGCTTCTCGTAGTTTGCACGACAAAGCACTACCTCCTGTCCCACGTGGTGAGGCCAGCCAGTCAAAGCCAGTCCGACAACAGGAAGAAATGGGAAGACCAGCCAGTCAAGCCTCCCACAATGTAGCCAAACCTCTATCGAAGAGACCTCTTCAACAAGAGGTGGGCGAAGATCAGGCCAGGCCCGCAATTCAGCGAAATGGTCCTTCATATGAGCAACTACAATCGAAGCGACGCAAGACCAGCGAAAGATTTGAAGACGATGAAGACATGACCGAAAATCAGCCAAGAATGAACGCTCCTCCTATCCGGCAGTCAAGTAGCAGGCCAAAGGTAAGGACTCACGAACATTTGCTGTATGAGTCCCATTCTAACATTTATAGGATAATCAACCTAAATCCCTCTTCCCAAGTGGATATGCTAATGCTTCATTATCGAACAACCTCCAGCGATCAACTATTCTTGCACAGCATAACATGACTCACTCAAAGCCTGCCCATCCGATGGATATGGCTCAAATGTCCAAAGGACCTATTCCTTTCGCCTCGAGCACCAATCAACCGAAAGCTCAACCATACAAGACTCCAATTCGACCTGGTGGAGTCAAAGGAAATATGAAATCTGCGGCCAAATCATCTCCTCAATATCAAAATGGCGAGACTATTGATCTTCCTGAAATCAATACCGATTCCGAGGATGATGATGAGGATGAAGATGACTCGGCGAAGAAACCAGCATTCAAGGGTGCTTCGTGGATCGAGTCTCCAGCTTTACGAAAGCAACTTACTGAGCAGGAGAATATCGATCCTGCTACCATTTTCGGTCAAGCAGATGAACACGTGTTTGATATGGAGCAAGTATTCAACAAGAGCAAAGACAAGTTCCCGAAATTCAGAGACAGGACTTCTAGTGCCAATTGGGGTGGAATTGATCGATTGACGGAGGATGAGATCCGCAAAGATTTACAAGCGAGACAGAGGATGCAAAGAGCTGGTGGATGGGAGTACAACTCAATGGTTTGAATATTCATGTAGGTATATTTGGTATGCATTAAACCACTGAGAGCATGGTGGACTTATTGTTTTGGCATGGTGTTTTGGAGTTATAGGATAAGATTGAGTATCAAGTGGGGGAATAATGAATATGAAAATGATTCCTTTTTATTTCAAGTCAAAGTCTTGCTTCTGTTTCTTTGCATATTCCGATGCAACTTGCCGGACTTCAGTTCGGCGCCATGAACCGACCAGTCGGCACCAGTAACCGATAATGAGATGTGCGGAAGTGATATCGAGACATGTCAAGTGTGTTTTGTTGCAATACACTGTCACTATCACGAGTTTTAACCATTAAATAAACACTCAAAGAATATGAATTGATAATTAAATGTTGCTTTAAAAGAACCTAGTTGAAGCCGTATTACAACATCACATGACACCACGATACAACATCAATAAGGTACCCCCCAACTCCCACTCAATGAATGCACTATTCATGACAATGCCCGAAACCTGTTGCAATATCCCATCTACGAAACCAAACCCCGCCTTGGAGCATGGTAATTAGCATCGGAAGTTAGATGGCGCGATGGTACCGCAAACAATCACCATTACGCTACGATCGACAAGATACGTCATCACCATAACCCCCCCCTCCGAGGGGTACTATATGATGACATCTCGACTCCCCTAACTTCATTCTGTTTCATAAACAAACAAATTCAACTCTTTGTAAGTTCTTCCTTCTCTGTCTCTATATTTCAATTGTTTAGGAAGCAATTATGCGTGTTTCAATCCGCATCCAACCACTTCTACGAAAACGCGTCGCACCACTAACTTCCATCCCCAGAACCTTCACAAACACAAACACAAGAACAAGGAGTTTTATTACAACAATTCCAAAAATGTCGTTCTCAAATACCGATACCGGCTCCAAGCCAGCGGATCCTTACAAGGCGAAGAACATCGACGAGGTCTCGCTGCAGGAGAAAGTGCAGGATCTCACTGATTTCGTGTCCTCGTGCAAGTTTGGCATGATGACGACGAGAGATGATAAGTCGGGCATGTTGTTTAGTAGGTGTATGGCTACTGCTGGGAAGGTAAGAAATTCCCTCTCTCCCTCCTAATCTAATTCCACTTCAACGGGGAGTCAATTGATGGAGTTGATTGTTAACGTAATGTGATTCTAGGAAAACGGCGGCATAGACCTCCTCTTCCACACCAACACCGAATCCGGCAAAACCGACGACCTAGCCTCGGACTCGCACATCAATATCTCCTTCCTCAACTCCTCCGGCGAATGGGCTTCCTTCTCCGGCACCTCGAACATCATCACGGACCGTGATTTCGTGCGTAAACACTATTCCCCGGCGCTCAAAGCCTGGATTGGAGACTTAGGCGACGGGAAACATGATGGTGGACCGGAGGATCCTAGGATCGGCGTTATTCAGGTGAAGACGAAGACGGCTACGTATGCGGTTACGAGGAAGAGTGCGGTTGGACGGATGGCGGATCTCGCGCAGGGTGTGGTTACGGGGAATGCGCCGAGTGTTAATAAGTTGAGGGAGATTAGTGAGGAGGAGGTGAAGACTTGGAGGAGTTCGAAGGAGATGGTGCAGTAGGTGATTGTGCTGCGGCGTGGAAAGCTAGAGCGTTTGGTGGATCGAGCCGCCTGGTAGTATAGCATTGAATTAGCTAGCTTTGCATTGTATGCATTAATGAAAGGAATATGCACCCAATCTCGTTGTTTGTCCATTATCTGAAGTTTGGCCATAACAGTGTGGTCATATTGATTTATGATTCTAGCAGAATCGTAGGTGTTGTCTGTTTCATGAGAAAGTAAATAGTTGTCCTAATGACCTTTGATTAACTCACCTGACATCTCCATCATTTTAGCAACATCTCCTTGGACTCCCTATTCCTCTGAGAACGTATTGTCCACGGCCTTCTCTCACTCCATGGCTCTCGTCACCTAACAATCCATTCAGTCAACCACCACCCCATCAACGCCCACCCCATCTCCCCCACTTCAACACCTTCAATAAAACTCACTTGATCCCCCTTTCCACATCCCCTTCCAGCACTAATCCCAAATTCACCTATACCCAGAACCCACCTACCCCGTATTCCCAATCTCGATCCCCTACCGAATCCTCTACGTTCACAACAAATCACTCACACCCACCCAGCAAACACAACCTTGCGAAAAGAGTCTTTAATTCGCTAACTCTGCATATAATCCCTCCAGCAAAGTCCACCTCCATCGCTGGAAACGCCCCATCTACCAAAAGTCCAAGCTATTTGACAAAAGCGAACGACGAAGCTCCCACCCATTTGTCCATTTTCTATTTCCCACATTCATGTCATACGCCTTGATATCCGTACCCGTGCCAAAATAAACTCCCCCTTGCTGTTATATCTACATATTGTGTGTTCTTTGTACAAATATTTGCGATTGTGTCGTACAAAAACCTTTAGTATCCTCGGTGTGATTCGTTTTCTTTTCAGAAGAATGGAACCTCGTCACCGGTGTCATAGGTAGATACTACTATCACTGAGCCCATCCAGAATATCCGAATCATCCTCATCCTCCTCAAACTCAAACTCGGAATCAATCTCGAAATCCGGCAGGAAATTAACCATCATGCCCGACTTGCGGTCGAATTCGATCCATTTCTTCGGAGTTTTGGCGTTAGGGGTGGCCCATTTCCAGATTGTTTTGCCGGCGCGGTATTTGGATTTTGGTGGGTTGCCGCCTTCGGGGTGTTGGAGAGTAGATGCGGTGGCGGGTTTGGGATTCAGGCTCGGATTAGCGCGGATTACTTCAAGCTGGAAATTGGTGTCGCTGAGAGTTCGGAGGGCGTTGCCGTTGGCGTTGGAGACGAATACTGGGTAGGATGCTCCGAAGAGTCCTTCGTTACGGACCATGTGGCGGAGCATGGATTCTTCACTGTTGTCGACGCCCAAGTCGGGTGCGCCTGGTGATGATCAGTTCAAGAATTCAAAGTCACATAAGCTAGACAATTTCTAGAAGAGAGGTAAAAGCATTTGTGTGAAGGACACAGATATCTCTCGATATGGTTCAGATGTCACTCACCAGTCAACATAACTTCATCCGCAATATTACCCACATACCAACGAATAACCGACGCATAACGAGGTCCAGGGAATGGCAAATGATCGCAAAAGTTCACCAAATCCAACCGCAATGCTTTCAGCGATGGAATCAAACTTTCGTATTCTCGTGTCGACGAAGACGAGGAACCGGTTGCAGGAGGATGAAACATCATAGCCTTGAGGAAATCTGAAAGTTGCAGCCAGCAATACGACTGGACGCCTTCATCGTGGTACAAGCCTGGAGGACGAGCCAGAATCGGCATGATCAGTTTTTCAACCTTCGGATGGTAGTTCTCAGCGCCACTAAGATCCAATTTCCGAGCCACTTCATCGTAATATTGTCCCACAACGCGGAGAGTCAAATTTTCAATCGTCGAGCGTAGTTCAGACGGAATCTTTTGAAAATTCTGCAATGCTCCGACTTGAGTGAAGATAAAAGTATTGCATTTAATCAGCAAGCGAATACCTTCCACGCGTAAAGCCTTGGATGTAGCAAGGAAATTGATCGAGATGTACTTCCGACTGATATATTCTTCCCTCGTACAGTTTCCCTTACGAAGCTTGAAGAAAGGATCAATAATCGGTACCGGACTCGTGACTGCATATCGTAAAATCCGAAGGACGATTTCAATGGGCAAACAAGGTTGTTTGTCGGCGGCCGTTGATGATCTAGTGACGACACTTCCAGTCCGAGCTCTCAATGTACGAGTGGATTCAAGTGTTGAGGTTGGTGCTCTCTTTGGGCGTCTTACGACTTTGTTCGAGCTTCCTTTGGAAGAAGTTGTCCACGGGATGTCATGACCTGTTAGTAAATCTCGAAGTCGTTGAATTTCCGCCTGTGCTTTGGCATTATCCTTGATTAGCTCCTCATTTTGCTTTTCTACAGCTGCTTGATCATATCCATCGCTCTCAAGTATGCAGACCTAGAAATGTTAGGAAATCTTGGTCTTTGGTTAAAAATTTCGTACTTGGCTTACGTGACGATGAATGTGACCATGAATTGCGGCGTGCAGTCCTGCAATGGGGTGTTGTCCAGGGGCGTGATGGTGATGGTTCATTGTGACTGTGTTATCCCGGCCTGCGCGATATCTATATTTACAAGTCTTTTTAATCAACGAAACTGATTGTGCGGTGCGGTTGCGAGTCGCAGACTCGTGGGGCGCTGATTGAAGAAGGTTGTCGTTGGTCGTCTGGCACGATTTTTATGCGTGACGGACAGAGCGACGATGTCACAGTCACATGACATAGCTCCCGCTGTTTCGCGTGCTTCTTATTGCGTAGTGCGAACTAATCGTGATTTAGCAAAGAAAAAATAAAGGATAAATTCAAGACATAATAGGTTAATACATCGTTGTTTTTGTGTAAGATGTTGGCTGTGATAAGGGTGTTTCTGGCGTAGGATTTTTGGACGTCTACGCGAATATTATAGCCAATACTGTTATTATTCACGAATAAGTATATATTTAAGACATCATCCTTATTCTATTCTTCAATAACTTTTAAGGTTATGAATCAGATTAGAGTCATTGAGAACGTGATCTCAAAGGTAACAGAGTAGTGGAGCTAGCGTCTGTTCACCTAGAAAGTACAGCTCTCTTCATCCTAATTTAGCAAACTCCATCTCGGTAGCTGCGGAAAATGGTCTTTTAAACGAATTTGGTCCATCTGACAGAAATAATGTAGCTCAAAGAACAGGTCTAAAATAACCTGACCTTTCCAAGCAAAGTATGGCCTAGAGCTCCCAAGACAGCCTAGTCCAACTAATGGCACTTAGCACCATCATTAGTGAATAAGAGCCTGAAAGAATGATTGAGTTTTTGATAAAGAACCTCACTAAGCTGATTGGTAGTAATGATGCGCAAGAGGGAAAGAGCAATCGTGCTCGGACTACAATGACGGTTAAGCTTCGAGATACATGGCCCGGCCTCATTGCCAATGACTCACAAGTTCCCACCACGTTTACAATACCCGTATTCTAGTCTAACACGAAGCTAAAACCCCGTTTTTAGATGCCACCTTGTATTAGAGACATTTCGAAAATATTTAAGTATCAGAAACCCCATGCATCATCCTAACAACCCCCAAAAACATGCTCCCTCTTAACCTCCACCTCCCTCCCATCCTCTTTATAAACCCACTTCAACCCCTCAATAACCGACTTCGCATCCGGCGGTTGCGCCCTCCTCAACCTCTCAAAATGCGCCTGGGCATATTTCCCCAACCCCAGAAGCGCCTTTTCCATCTCGCTCTTATCCGCGATACGTTGTTTCTGGATATGAATGAGAGAGAGCCGACGAAGTTCAGTAATGAGTTTAGGCCAGTCAGTTAGGGTGCTGGCTTTGGTGGATATGTCTTTTTCGAATTCGCGCATCAGTTGGGCGTTTGGTGAGAGTTGTGGAGGGGTTGTTGGATCTGGATGAGGGGTTGTGCTCTCTGTACTGGGGGTTGGAGTTTGAGGTTGCTCAGTGGGTGAGGGGGTGGTTGGGGCTTTCTCTTCGGATATCATTTCGCTAATGTGTGGTAATGGGTTGCTGAGAGGCTCTGAGGTTGCATTTCACATATCCAGCGGTCCAAGGAATTCTGGACGTTGACTGTTGTCGTGCTCCAAAGGACAAGCACCGGAATGTGCATCAACCCCATGATCCTCGTCATGATGCTGCTCCGGAAATCCGTCGTGATTATTGCCGCCCTCATAAGTTGGATTGTCGAGGCTGAGTTTGTTGAAAGCTGGTAGGACACTCAACTCGTGAGTCGGTCCCTGATTTGATTCGTGGCTTGATTCGTGACTTGCTTCGGTAATCTGTGACAGAATTCCAGACCGTGGATCTTGCTCCTCGATCCTCGCCCGGTATAGTGGGATCTCATTGGAAATATCCTCAAGGGATCGCTCCTGCAGACTTGCGAACTCCGATTTAGCAATCTCCAATGCTTCGATGTATTCTTGCGTGGTAGGATATATTTTTTCTTTGCCAACGGCGTATGTCTCCTCTTTCGCCTCCATCTCCAAAAACTTGCGTTCGACACTACGTCTGATCTCCCTCTTTATTCGCTCACATTCGTCGCGCTCCATGAAAGCTTCGTAATTAGCTCTTGCCGTTTGCCTTTCCAGATACCGACTAACATGCTCGGGAATGGAAACGATAGGAGAAGAAGAGGTTCGCATTTTTTGGCGGATCTCCTTTTCATCACTTGTCGCCTTGACTCTTTCTTCGAGCATGGGCCGTAATACTCTTCGCTTGAGTTGATCAAGCGGATAGAAATCCGCCAATCGGCGGCCATCAGCCATCTGATCATCCTTCGGCTTAGCTACTTCTTCTTGCTCTATGGGTGAAGGACGTTTCCAACTTTCGTGTCGGTTCTGAAGCGCAGCTCTGCGTTCAAAATCAGGATCATCCTTCTCTCTGACTTTATTCAACTTGTCAGCTTCCTCACGCGCGTATTGTTTTTGTATCTTCTGGTCTTCATTCAATCGTCGGAGACCTCGGCGGGCTTCTTCGTGGGCGATCTGCTTCTGCCGCTCCAAATGCTTCAGCGACTTATATATCGCCAACATCATGTCATCATGTTGATGCTCTATGACAAGTTGGTCCAAAGCTCGCATTCTCAAATTCTCGCTTCGAACGGCTTCATCGAGGACGAGGTCATACACTTCGAAATTCGGACTAGCAAATGGATCCAAGGGAGTTTCCATCATCTGAAGTTCATAAGACTCAAGTGACCTGGTCCAATGCTCGGGATTTTCTGCGAAAAGGATTGGGTTTTCCAGATAATCATTGTGAATGTCGTTGGCCAGTGGGCTTTCGCCATGTATGGCGGCAGGGACATTGATCAAAGACATATTAGTAGGTGGTAAGCAGACTTAAAAGTGTAACTGTGAAGTGCCGAGTTTGAATTTTTCGATTGTTGTTTGAAGTCTGATGAAACCAACACGAAGAGAAGGTCGGCTTTTGTAAAGACTTCAACATAGCAGGCTCCAATCACAATAGGGCCATCGTCGCCCATTCTAGCTCGACCAAAATCGTCACACATTATCAATAGTAAATGTAATGAGTTTCCATTCACAACCTATGGATGAGTCAGAATTAAATCCCCTGCAAATGCATCATCCAACACTCATACTAGAGCCCAACTCCATGAAAGCCAATCCTTTGACCATCCAAAACGCCAAACACGGATCAATTTGTGAATTGAACCACCCAAAATTCCAAGACATCCAAAATTCGATTCTAATAGAGATTCTGCAAATCACGTGATGCTACCCTAGATTCCAAGCTCCCCGCCACTTCCCAGTTTCAATCCCCATTACTGTCGTCCAAGAATCATCTTAGATACCAAAGCTTCGCTCGACATTCTTGATTCTCAACTCGTGTTCAGCAATGCTTTCTCGTCGAACAGGACCCATTCTAGGTCCAATACTTTCCCGACGAGGGACACCCATTCTCGGCTCACTTCTCTCAGTCGTTGGTGTTCCCACCGTCTCTTGACCTCGACCATCCATTTGCTCGACTCTTCCTCTTAGATTCTTGACCTCCCGTTTGAGCTCGTCGACTTGTGCTCTAAATCGCTCTTTCTGAGCTTGCATTCGGCCTTCTTGCGATTTGACTCCTGCTTTGAAGCCTCGGTCATATTCCGGGGTGTTTGTTGATGAGGATGAGGGGTCTGTCGTTGATCTAGATGGTGCGGTTGGTTCTTGGGGGGTTGAGGCGGCTGGTGACATGATGGTGATGTTTGTTGGGAGATTGATAAAAATGGTGTTCGTTTGTATTTAACCTTAAATCGCGCGTTTGTTGTTAGGAAGAAAGTTGTAGGGAGGAAGAGGTGTCGTGTTTGTATTTGAGGTTCGTCTTCTGCGTGACGGCCTAACATCGTAACGAGCCCGGCTTGGCTGTCGTGTGACGATGGGGCTTAAGCCGGTGCATGGCACGTGGCAGAGAGCACGTGGACCCTTGATTCATGACTGTCTGACCCAGGTCGAGCTTGAATGCGTATAGGACTTAACAGATCTAAAAACAACTATTTTTATCTATTTAAAATATGACGTTATAAGTAGAAGCGAATACGGTAGCGAAGTCAATTGCCGTTTTCGTTATCGGGGATGCTATTGCCACCAGGCAAATTATTCAGGACGCACCTAGAGGGATTAAATCGTCCACCAAACTCCTCGATTTTCCTACCTTTATTACAACGTATTAAAATTTAAACATTATTGAGTATAAGCGAAATCACCTCTCAAGACATTGTTGAAGAGCAAGATCATGAAACCGACGAGCCTCAACAGACTCGCGACCACGTGGTCATGATCCAAAAAGTTCCATGACAGAACGTGGCTATGGGGCAGGAATACCCCTTTGCCCACATCATTCTAAATACTACCCAGCAATATTAGCATTGTCTACAAAGGCTGAAGGGAAATGAGTGGGCTGAATTCCGAAATGAGGACTTCTGTCTATCTGTGGATCGTAGGTATTATGCATTGGCATCTAGAAATGCTGACAAGCTGAACTGCCAGGTTGTAGCTAGATATGAGGATGATGATGGTTAACATGTGGGTTGTGTTTGCGGTATATATTGAAAGAAAAATAAAGCTAGGCAGGTCGCCCCAGTCAGAAGAAAATTACTTGTGTTTAGAATCTCAACGGCATCAGAGGAAGCAAATTCATTCGGCTCAAGCAACCTCTATAGTCAGGACAGCGTTGAAGGTTTTCACCCCCTTGATACTCAAACCTATGCTCAACTACAGATAGCTAGTTCGACGACTCTGAAGAAAACGAAGGGTCATTAAATTGCTTACTAAACGACTTCACCCAAATGGGTGGCTTAGTCCCAAGTTCTACGCCATCAAAGCGAGAATGAATGCAGAGACACATTCGGACAATATTACTGGTAGGTTTTGCCGTTCGGAGTTCTGGCACATCATTCAGACCACTGAAAGCAGACGCAGTTTGGCTCACACCATGAATTCTACACATTGGGTATTCATATAATAATATTTCTCTCTAAACTCGTCTTTATCGCTAATAGTTAAAATTTAGTTACTCAACTTTCTCACTACTAAATATATTCATCCCATTACCTTTCCGGCCAAATCTAAATCCTGTCCTTCCCATCCTCCCCTCCCTCCACCCCAGCCATCAAAACCTCCCCTCCACCTCTCCCCTCCACCTCTCCCCTCCACCGGCCCACCAAAAAACTCTCTACACCCTTTACAAAACACACAATAGCAAAACTCCCCATTCTGATACCGAATACTCGCGTATGTGCTCCCCCACATCGGAGGCGGAAACTTCTTGCTATGTCCCTTGCAAAAGATGCAAAGGCAGTGATCGTTGCCGAAAATAGACGGTTTAGTCTGTATCAGGCCGTCAAAAGGTGATGTGTGTCCGGTTTTGGGACGTTTGGATGGAGAGTCTTGTCGATAAGTACTGCAGGGACTGATATCAGAAGTACGTTGTGAATGGGCGCTTGGTCGACGGTATGTCTTCGAACCTAGGAATTGAGGAATTCTAATAGGTTTCCACTTCGGAGAACCCGATTCTTCACCCTCCATCTCTTCGCACAGCATTTCCATCTCCTCCACAACATCAAGCGGACGACGTCGCGTTCTTCCTCGTTCCTCCTCCACGATTTCACCCTCCTCAACCCCCTGCCACTCCCTCCACTTCCTACACTCCTCATACATCCTGCGGAACTCCTTCTCACTAAACAGAATCCGAGTACCGCTCTCACATTTCCAGAACATATTCAGTAAGTGTGCTTTCAAGGTCGTGGATACTTTGTCCCAAACAGCCGGGTCGTCGGCGGGGAGGCGGGAGTGCGCGACGCGAATGTCGATTGCGAGGGGGATGGTGAGGTGGGTTGGTTCGAAGGGTTCTTGGGGGTTAGTGGGTGAGAGATAGGATTTTAGGGAGCTGAAGGAGGGGTGGCGATGGATGTCGATGGAGGGGGTGGAATCGACGTTGGGAGCTTCTTCGTCTGGCTCGGTCTTCACTTCAACACTTTTCACCACTTCGCCATCCTTATCACCCTCCACATCCTCCACGCACTTTACTTCAACTCCCTCAATACTCCCGATCAACTCATCACCCTCCATTCTCTTCACATCCTCCACACATTTGACCTCAACTCCCTCAATCATCTCCTCAAACTCCTTCACCTCCCTACGTATTCCCTCCCCACCCCGTCTTCCCACTCCAAACGACCCCCTAGGCGTCAACGAAACCATCCCCGTCCCCGGAAGAGGCGATGTCGTTCTCGCATACATCCTAATATATCTATCTTCCACCTCATCGCTTCCAAACCGTATTGGCGGTTCCGTAAGCGACAGCTCCTCGACCATAATAGTTTCGTTTCTCAGGGTGAGTCTTATGTCGCCTGTGTGGGCGTTGATTGCGGTGATGTAGCCGGGAAGGGTTAAGGGGTAGGTTTTGTGTGGTTCTGATGAGGTGAATGGTTGATTGGCAGGTTGGTCGATGAATTCATCAGTCGAAGGGTCGATGTGGAAGGTATCTCTTGGAACAGCGACGGGATGTGGTAGAACTGTACGGCTATCTTTCAGTTCCAAAGTCGTATCGTGCTCTCCATCCAATACTGATGGTGGCAATAGAAAAGTATCGGTATCTAAAGCTTCTTGAAGCTTGATTGTATCTGCACCGCTGGCAGACTTTGAAGTAGCTTGAGTGGCCGACATATTGAGATATCAATGTTAGAAATTCAATCGTAGTACCGAGCGTTGTAGAAAATTTGGAAGAGGGAATATCCATTGATTTAAGTAAGAAAAAACATCATTTCCATAATGCTGCTTTGTTATTCATATCTTTGATAATCTCAAAATCAACAGGTTGTGAAACCCACCATATTCGCAAAATCAAGCCATTCAAAACATTCTATGTGATTCAAATTTACGAAATCTGAGAATAACACAGTGACGGAAGTTGTGTTTTTGGCTTTAGTGATTGAAAGAAGGATGCCTAGTAGCAGAAAAAAATCAATACAAACGTACATCCCTTTCATCGACTATATCACCGTAGCCCGAAACTCGAAAAACAGAAATCTATCAGCAATGATCAGACTCTTTCTAAAATTCTGTGCCAACAGTTGAGCTGTATGTTTCCAAGATTGACAGAACTTGATACATCATAAAACAAGACCAACGGAGTCTCTACTACTTTCGGAAATAACACAACCACAACCCACAAAGAAACAACGGAAGTACAACCTAGATTTCAGGAAATATCACCCTTCCAAATTATTCTCGCTAAAGAGATGCAATACCAATAATTATGACTGTTTGAAAAAACTCATAACACTCTCAGTAACATGCTTTTGAAAAATATCTTCGATGGCCATAGATGATTGGGAAATAGCCGTGTTGATTAAAATAAAAAAAATGAATAATAAGTTCAAATAGCTAAAGTGCTTGTGAATAAGCTGTCAATTTGATATCTAGTGGAGTGACAGAGATTAGCGGAAATAATCATACATAGATTGAGGCCAGTGAAAGACTAAGTGGAATGAATGAAGTATGCTAAATCAATAATTAGAAGGAAATTCGAGTTTGATGTTTAAACATTCAAGTGTTCTCACTTCAATAGAAAATAGTTAGGCAATTCTATGCTTAGTAATCTCATACTCCCACCCTCACCTCATCCCACCCATCTCTCACTTCTCATCTCATACCCACCCATTCACCCCTCGCACTTCCCATCCCTCTCCCACTCACCCTCATCACTCCCCCAACCCCCTCACAACCACAAAAATGCCCTCCCCACCAAAAACCTACCTCATCCTCGGCGCCACCCGCGGAATCGGCCTCGAACTAGTGCGTCAAGTCCTCGCTCTCAACCATCGCGTGATCGCAACACAACGAAGCCCTTCCGCTTCCCTGAAAGTTCTGAAAGAAAGCTACCCAGATAGTATGAGGATCTTAAATTGTGATGTCAGTGATGAGACTAGCATCACGGAATTCGTAAGGAACGTGGGAGCATTAGCCGAAAATGGGGAATTTCTCTCACACGAAGGAGATAGGAAGGGATTGATAAACACCGTAGTATTCAACGCCGGAATCCTAACCCACCCAGCCCGAATCACAGAATTGTACGTCCCCCTCCCCCTTCCCTTTCCCCCTCAATATTTCTCTCACCCTTCCCACTCACACCACCCAGCTCCTCACAATTCCTCATCCACCTCCAAACAAATACCCTCGGTCCCCTCAGCACAGCCTCAAAACTCCTCGCTCACCCAAGGCTGTGTTTCCATAATTTGGTGTTTATATCTTCGGATTCGGGGTCTATGGGAAGGTGGTTAGATCATGAAGATGGGTTTGCGGCGTATGGGATGAGTAAGTGTGCGTTGAATATGGGGGTTAGACATTTAGCTGCTGAACTGGCGAGAAAGAGCAAAGGAGGAGAGGATGGAATGGGAGAAGGAGAGGGAGAGGGAGGGGGAAAAAGGGAGGAGAAAGGGGTTCCAGTGGTTATGGCGGTTCATCCGGGAGAGGTGAGGACGGATATGGCGAGTGCGGTTGAACTGGATTGGGTTGTGGAGGGACAGATGGAGGTTGAGGAGAGTGTGAGGGGTGTGCTTGATGTGGTGGAGAGGAAGGGGTGGGGTGGGGTGGAGGAGATGGGGAGGGGGGAGGCCGGGTTTTGGGATTGGAATGGGGAGGTACATCCTTGGTGATGAGGATGAAATTTGTGGTCTTTGAGAGCGGGAGGATTTGTAGATATGTGTGTTTGATTTACGGTCGTCATGGGCACTAGAGTGGTTGTGTGATTTAGCAGAACATAAGCAAGGACGCCAGCTACCTGTAATACATTATGCAGACGGCTCTCCTAGAAACATCCAGCTTCCAACAAGTTGGTTGCAACATTTGACAGTATCTTACACCGAAGCCCATAATTTCCAACCCGACACCGTATCGTCTATACACTCCCATTCACAGCATTTCCCACACTCACATCCAATATCTGCCTTCTTCTCTGATTCTCCTGCCAACCCCAAGCGATCCCAGCACCAAGCAGCGTAAGACTAAGCCACCACAAGAGTAATCCCACCACGTTGAAAATTTTTCGAGATAATCTTCTGAATCTTTCAAGTCGACTAAGTGTTGGTTTGCGAAATGTACATATCTTAGTTCCAAAAACAAGACATCCTCGACCATCTGCTCGAGTATCGCACTCTACATGTTCACGACGACGTTTCATAAGGAGACTAATCATGTTAGCGAGACCTCAAACTGTTTGTAGAGATCCACATACCTAACACTTCCTCGACAAAACTTCATATCAGTACCCAACTCACAGCCTTTGTCATGTGGACAATCGAGGTGTAAGCTGCGTCTGTCAATCAACCATTCAACTTTTAACTTGACTCCGGTGAACACTATATTAGAAAAATGTCGGTTTGTATGTTTAAGTGAGAGAGCGTCTGGGTATATGAGATGTGAGGCGATTAGGAGGTGAATTTCGGTGGGAAGTGATGTAAAGGTTGGCGGTTGACTGTTTGGTTTTGTGGTTTGAATCGCGTTTTCGACTGCCATTTTGAAGTTCTGGAGTAATGACAATATGAAAATTCGTCCTAAAAAGATATATTTCAAGATCGAAATCAACACGTGATAGGTTCCTCTTTAAACAGCAGCTGTCAGCCCTCGGTGAGATGCCGATGATATGCAGGTACGAAGTCTTGATTCAGGAACAAGTAGCTTTTCAAGTAGCTTTTTCTGACGCAAACGCCAAATTCGTGTTGGAAACTGTCGCAAGTATATGTTTCTTTGCTGCCTATTTTCTTACGCAACTGAAGTATCGAAAAGGCGGAGTAAAATGAAGACACAATTCTGAACAAGTAGGCAGTTGTTAAGTGTGTCGACCAGGCTCATGTTTCAGATCTTGGAGAATACGGATGGAGCCTGGTGACAGCGTCCAGGCTGCCGAAGTTCAGTGGCGGAAAGATCAGTCATGGCTGAGGAACTCATGACTGATGATGAGGTTATTGACAACTAAAGAAATGGACAGATTGTCATAGTATTAATGAGGTGAAATAAGAAGGTATTTGGATGAGAAAAGAATACCAACAAATGAGTGAGTGAGATAGATGCAGCTGGCGCTCATCGGAGATAAGATCACATCCCTGCAGCATCCTTCACGGCGCGTCAACCCCATCGCGATCTCACGCCGTCATAGACAAACATACATCAATGGACTATTCTTGACATCACGACGGCATGGCCAGTCCTGCCATCAAACTAACAAGGACATACCAACCCCTCGACGATGCCGAAAGCGACTATGGATCCGATTTCAGTCCCGAGGAAGAGTTGATTGTGTCGCAACTTCTGTCGCAAAACGCCGTCGAGGACAATCCTATCGTCAACGATGTCGAACATCATGAGGCGGAACATACTTTGCGGATACCGCTCGCGGTTGGAGGGTCGGAACTCGCTGAGGGCGTCTTGTTGCGTGCGGCGAGAGCTGCAGAAGAGGTGTTTGAGCAGATTAATGAGGCGGTGGGATGTGAGACCAGGTACCCGGACTGTAAGATTGTTCTGTTGTCAGAGTTTTCTTATATCTGACTGACGCTGAAGCGTTTAGTGGGAAATGTAGTTAAAGAGGAGCGGCCTGCGCTTGAAGGCGTGGTGCAAGAAACTGCGTCCACCGATGCGAAAGCGCCGGATACACGATCTCCCCTGGAACGATTCAGGACACCACCGAAGAAGGGCTTATCGGTTACAGACCTGATATCACCTGCGTGGTGTGAATTACAGTATTGGTATTCTTTGACTCTGCATGGCAAGAAGAGACGGACACCTGCGATGAAACAGGGGAGTGTGGTGCATCAGAAGTTGGAAGATCAAGTATATACTACGGTCAAGGTGGACGTTACCACCAAAGAAGATGCTTGGGGGTTGCGGATATGGAACGTTGTACAAGGACTTCGAACCTTGCGGAATACCGGCATGACCCGAGAGTTGGAAATCTGGGGCACGATAGATGGATTGGTGGTTAATGGGATTATCGACGAATTGTCTTATATATGTCCAGATACGGATCTAGAAGAGGCGAAACCGAAAGGACCAGTCGAGGAGAAGCATGCTCCGGATCAGACGACGATTGCAGAATTCTTTAAAGCATCGGGAGGAAGCACGTTGAAGGAAGCGACACGAGTGGTTAAGCGCCAGAAGCCTACAGATAGAATATATCTCTGCGATGTAAAAACTCGAGGAGCAAAGACCTTACCATCTGGTGCAGCGTTCCGACCTACGAAGATGCAATTGATGTTATATCACCGGATGATATCAGATCTTGCTACTGGTGCAGTGGATTTCGCCATCTTCACTGATCGATATAAACTCGATCCTAACAAGGTCTTTTCGGATGCACTTATTGCTCAAGTCGGAAGTTTGAATGTTATGTCTCCTCCATCAACCCAGGAGTCATCAAATTCGGAAAGTCCACCCCAAGACGACATGACCATCCTCCTCGAACACAACACCCTCTCCGCTCTCTGGACCTTCATGATCTCGGAATTCCGCACCACATTCCCCGACGGCAGTAACTCTATCGGCTCCATCCTGAAAGCAGAATATCGATCCCGAAATGCGGGCGAGGTTATGGGCAGCAAGACCTTTGCGATGGATGAGCAGGAATTAACGAATTACGTCGAGGATGAAATGAAATGGTGGAAAGGAGAACGAGAAACTAAGGGTGTAGCGGTGGAAGAGGCGTATAAATGTAGAAGTTGCGAGTTTGCGGAGGGATGTGAGTGGAGGATGAAGAAGGTTGATGAGGCGGTTAAGAAGTCGAGGTCGAGGGTTAGGAGTGTGGTGTGAGGGGATTGACAATTTATAGGGGAAATCTATAGAATATATTAAATTTTTATAACCAAGATTTGTAGCCATTTTAATCATAAAGTCATAAACTTGTAGGCTTCTAATCAGAGTATGCTGGGTATAAGGCCTCGCTTGATAGGCACCGCACTTACAAACAGTTTAGTTCCCACCATCTCCTCTCTCTTCCTCAAACCATCACAACCTTCATTACTCTCACAAATACTATCAAAATCATCCACCTCTCATACACAACCTAGGAGCGACACAATCACATTACTCTAACCCTTAATCCATCCTATCCCAATATCGACATGTGATGATCGCGATCTCGTCAACGCCACAAACTAGATTAGGGAGCCCCCCATTCTCGTTCTTGGGACGGCGCACGGCTACGGGCCGTGTGTTGACTGCGGGGACCTGAGATGTCAAGATGAGAGATGAAATCATCGATAGCGAAAAGGGAAGTCTGGATGCGTGGTGCTCGGATGTTGGGTAGGGGAGCTGTTGCTGGGTAGGGGTTCTGGTAGGGGGTTTGGGGGAGAGATTGGATTGATGGGGGACGGGGGTTGGAGATCTTCGTCTACGAAGTTTTTCAGCTCGTTCAGTTCGAAGAAGCAATTGCATCGAAAGGTCGTGAGTGATAGGTTTTATTCGAATTGGACGACAAGCAAGCGGAAGTCAACATGCAATCATCAATGTTGTACCCCACGGAACTTATCATTGCCGCCAAATGCGCATGCAGATAATGGGGTTTCGAAACAAACGGAGGCCAGCTCCGCAGAAAAAACCATAATGGTCAGGCCGATAGCTGCTCCGCTCTACAAGGAACAGGTAGCGGAAGCACTGACTGGCGTCTGGGATGATGAGATTAACGACTGTCATCAAACCTACACCATCGATCTCGATTGTGACAGACCTGGAATCCTGGATGCTGGAAACGCTATTCGCAATTTTGCCCGGAATCAGGAACAGCTTGTCAATCACTTTGTTCATGAACCTCGGCCATCAGTATATTTATCATAGACATCAAAACGAAAACGAGATGAGCTCCTAGATCTGCAATATGCATCTGATGCAGACGCCACTTATCGAAACCTATGGACAGCATTTCACCCGACTCTCAGTTGACCGCGTGTCTCTAAACCAACATCCTCACTCGAATCATCCATTCTAGCAGCGGCTCGACTTTCCTTGATCGGGTCCCAGCATCTGATTCGCATTTTCGATATGCATCTAACTCTAGCCCTGTCACCCATCCCATGTAGCTGTGCTCTAGCTCTAGATACTGAGCACTGGGATCTGCTGTCTTTTGAGCAACACTAAGTCCGAAGATCATTGGGAATCCGCAACAGGCTTCTCATACCCTTTAGCTATCGCAACTCTGGAAAAATCTTTGATCTGTTGGGCATCGATATCTCGCGCTGTGCTTCTTCACAGTCTTTTGATCTTGTGTTTGAACTCAACTTTCCAAAATGATGCGCTCACCAGGTTTGGATAATAGTGCGTCAATTGACCAGGTCATTCAGCGCGAACGCGGCAATTCGATGGGGGAGAGGGGTTATCAAATCGGACGCGCTGAAATCAGTCAAGATGGAAGTATTAATCGGACACAGCCATTACCATCAATGACCGCAGCCTCGAATTACAGAAGCGATTACACAAATACCTCTCCTCCGCCCGTCAGAAAACGCGATGAGCGTCATGTACTTCCAAGAGGTTACTCGAATGAGAATTCTTTATCGAGGAGGAGAAGTATCAGGCAGGATGACGACGAGAGCAGCAGTGGAAGGAGCGGGCGCACTGCGACATTAAATGGCAGTCCAGGGAGTGCTCATGGAAGTAGCCAATTTACTGGATCGAAACCAGCAAATATTACGGATTTTTTCAGCCCGGAAGTCTTTCGAGTTGTGCTTCATAATCCTACGACTGCACATCGACTTTTGCGGTTTTGCCAAAGCAGGGCATGTGGTGAGAATATGGAATTTTTGCAAAAGGTATGACACCATTTATTTAGCTCTCTTGCTGTCAGTGGAGGATAAGTCATGGTCCAGTAGTAGACCCGAGTGACAGACTTCGATCAATAATCGTATTCACGTTTACTAACGCTGTCCGACAGATGGAAGCTTACCATAGATTAATCGACGAAATGACTCAACTCTTAGGAACGGTTCAAACAACCTACGTCTCAGCCGATGCTCCTCGTCAATTAAATTTATCTCATAGTGAGATTAAACGAGTAGCAGGCGACATAAAAGAAGCAACAAAGTATACTATACCGAGTTTGGAGATGGTCTTTGCGGGTGCTCAAGATCAGGTCGAGGCTATCATTGCAAATGATATATATCCCAGATTTGTGAAGCATCAGGTCACAGCATCTGCTACTATGGCACTTGCGAATCACCGAGAAAGATTTCAAGGTTTAGGAGATTGCTTTTGCTTGACTGACCCTCGGTTAGTCACTCGAATTGTAATTTTGAGCTGTTTTAACCGTGTCTTACAGAACAGCCGATAATCCCATATTATACGCCTCTGATGGATTTGTACATGTTACAGGATATTCTCGCAAAGACATCATTCCTCGCAATTGCCGATTTCTTCAAGGACCCGCTACTGATCCGGGCGCGCCACGACGTCTACGAGTTGCGATCGACAATTGCGAGGAGACTGTAGAACTTCTTCTTAATTATCGCAAAAATGGTGATCCATTCTGGAATCTTCTTTACGTCGCTCCGCTTTACAATGAGAAGGGTGAAGTTGCGTACTTTTTAGGAGGCCAGATCAATTGCAGTACTACCATACACACTTTCACCGACGTATTAAAAGTCCTTAGCATCAACGACGATGAATTGGATATGCTGGATAGTATGGGTCAGAGCAAGGCACCGAGTGTTAAGAGCCAAGCTGTGAAGACCAAAAGCTCATTTTTTAAGAGCTGGAGAAAGTATCATGGCTCTGTGGACATCACTCCCCGTATCGTAGTACGGGAAGAACCTGGAATGGAGGGCGAATTAGTTGAGAAGCTCGGAAGACTAACCTTCAAAACTCAAGTTGAAGCTTTCTACACCGCGTATTCCAAGGTAAGCGAAACTCCACCTCTTCGTTCGACTATCTAACAAAACCAGTATGTCGTCCTAGACTACAACTCCGTAATGCAAACCCTCCTCATCTCCCACTACTCCCCCGGCGTAATCGACATGCTTTGTCTCAACCTCCCCAACGGCAACGTCGTTCCCATCTACAACAAAGAAATCTTCAAAGTCCTACAGGACTACGCATCATCCTCTGCCAGCTCGTCTCGCTCCAAGGACTTCCGCAATACAGTCAAAGAAGCGCTGAGAGGCGGACGGGCTGTGAGCGTGGAAACGGGACTCCTAACCGGCTTTGAGGAGAAGAAGGGAGGAGGCGGGTGGTTTGGGGGCAGTGGTGGGGATAAAGAGAAGATTATGAGGGTGGAGGAGAGATATGTTACGCATTGGACGCCGTTGAAGGATGAGCACGGGAGGGTTAGACATGTGGTTCTTACTATTGCGCCGAAGAGCTGATTGGGGGTGGGTTTCTCGATTGGGCTATTGTGTCAGTGGCGAATTCGGATCTTTCACGTCCTGATGGAAAGGAATACACCCGACCTTCGAGAAGATAAGATTGGATGCGCGGACCATAATTGTGTAGGCACGACGATTGGCCACCGCACCCGCGATTTTTCACATCGATCGGCTTCATCAACTTCATGGATAACTCGATTAATTCACGATCCGCAATAGTGCTATGGACTAAGGATGCCTTCAAAATTGAGTCTTTAATATCATATTCAACCAGATCAGCGCCTCTCACTGCTCGAAAACAAATGCGTATTGCAATGGTCGATTGAGTTCGCGTTTCGAACCCTGAGACCCGAAACGACCGACGGATGGATCACCTGGAGACCTTAATTTCACGGCCATCATCGAGCGACTCGTTGACCTGTTGTCTTCATAAACTTCCTGTCTATCTGTTCCTTGGTTTGTTGGAACCCTCGAACTCTTGGCTCCCACCGAGTCTTCGTCCACTCAGTGAGTCGGTCGATTCGACATGCGATTTCGGCTCCCTCGACATCTCACAGTGCCAGATATCTCCGCATCCTCATCGAGCCGTGAACCACGAATCGTCGGCTCTTGACTTCCGAGTCCTGGGAATTGCTACCTTCCAACACCGCTCCCTCGGGGTCACCAGGTGTGAAATCAACGCCACAGGGACTAGCGCGTTGTACCAATAGTCCAAAATTTTCGGAAAGGAGACCTGAACGGGATTGGTATTGGAAGGGTTTGGATATACTTGTAGAATAGGCCATGTGTACATGAAAAGCGTTATCTCGCTTGTATAATATTTAACCCTATCACTCTGACGCTCGAAATATAATCACTCTACTTGATTCTGTTCTTTCCATATGAAGGGGCGACGGGGCTGCTATAACAAGAGGGTATTAGACTATATAACGCGGTTACCGGATTGAAGATCTATAGAGTTGAAAGTTACTAGGCGTCCTCAGATCTTAATCTAATAATCCAAACCTCACATCCAAAGCTAGACTTGGAACCGAGATATACGCTAGTGCGTTCCTTTTGCGGGAGTACCGGCATTAATGAAAGACTTTGGTACCATGAGCCATACTACTTGATCGTAGATAAGCAATACCCGATGCGTAAGACTACATTCTGAAGTGTACGGAAGTAGATTAGCAGAATCACTTTTCATTCGTGTATGATTTCTCACTCGCACGATACCGAAATTGTCGTCAAGGATTAAGGAGAGTTCAATGGAGTGTTTGGCTGCATGTAAGTATATACTCGAAGGAGTCAGTCATAGAGACTCTATGACTACGAAAACGTAAATGTCGAATGTTGAACTTAAACCTGGATACATCTCCAAAACCTTAATGCGAGGAAAATCTGAGGTGGGTGGAGGTTTCATTGTTTTATGTTGTTAATTAGGATGATTGTACTAATTCTTGGGGATGGATTTATAGGTGCTTTAGACTGGTGATATTCTGACACCTAATCACCTCGCAGCCTCCACAAAGACCTGTCAATTCTCAGGAATCTCCTCTCCCACCACCACCCCACTGAAAACCCGCTCAGCAGCCGAAACCTCTCCGTAATCCGTAGCAGCTAACCACTTATACAACTGCCACGGAACATTTCTTTCCTTCGAGTGGCAAGAGGATAGATGGACGGTCGTGTATGTTTCCACATGCTCTGGATTCGTGTTCGAACTTGTCTGTGTGGGTGGTAGGGATTGATGTATGATTGGCTTTCTTTCCGTATTCCTTCTTTGTGAGGAGGTGCTGGGTTTTGAGGGCGTGGTTGCTGGTATAGTGAAATTGGTGGACTCGGTGGTCGTGTGAAGGACGGGTATTTTAAAAGGGATCGTTGAGTGTAGTCGTTTAACTTCCGACTCGGATACTGTGCTCGATACGGTGATGGGAGATTCGTTGTCATCAAGTGATTCGGATGAAGTTGTTGGCGTGAGGACGAGTGTTGATGAGTGATCACTGTACATCTCGTAGTGATTTTCCGTGTGGATAGACACTGCGCTGTGGAGCGCTTGATCGAGAATATGTGGATGTAGAACGCCGACACTGTAGTCGAGGACTTCGCAAGACTTGGAGTGCTCTGCAGCAGAATATTTATCCTCATCAACGTAGAACACAGATGTTGGCGAATACAGTAAATTGCTTTTGGCTGATTTCGGGTTGGCCGAAGACTGGTGGTGTATCTCCAGCAGAGGTGCGACGAGTTGATCTGCCATGATGTAAAGAATGCTTGGTAGACTCCCAGAGTGATATTCCTGGCCAACGATTTTGACTTTCAAGTAACCTATGCTTGGGATTATTAGAAAGCGTGTGGATAAGGGTCATCAGATTTTTATACCAAATACTAGATATAGATAGAAGCAGCAGGCCAAAGGTTAAGTTTAGGGACCAACGCTGAAATTCTGTGAAAGGACGAAAAGTATGCTAGCCAACACAAGAGGGGAAAATCGTGTTTAAAAGATATTTCAATAAGCAGATGTCAGGAATCTGAGTGGGGCCAACGAGTAGAGACTGTCTGGAAAAGGAGGGTGAGGCTCGAGAGCGTCTCAGAAGGAAACCTCATTCTGGAAGCGATTTGCTTGAATGTTAATGCTTTTGTGAAATAACATTCCACCGCCATCCGCCTGGAAGACTATTGCCGATGGTATCATCCACACCCGGATAGTTTGCCTATAAGGTAAGTTGTTTATGCCATTCCGGATCACACCCGTAAATCTGGTGTATGAGTATCTCCGCCACACTCAATATCAGTGGTTATTCCACAAGAACATAGCCTCGTCACCCATACACCGTTACTCTGAAGGTCGATTTCTGTACGGCGGGCTCCACCTCCACATGTAAAAGCCGCGAAAAACCTATCGGTTCCATTTATCAAGTGGAGCTCCTAGATTTCGACGAGCTCTAATCATTCTCATCCAATATATTGCAAGAAAGTAGGTCCAGTAGGCATGCAATCGATGAGGCGCAGGCGGTGTGAAATTAGGGTCGCATGGAGGCGGCCCCTCCCACAAGCCCGCTACCCCAAAGCATCGTAAACGCAGTATTACCCGCGTCTACTACGCCCATCGAGGATTGAAGTGTGACTGCAAAAATTCCCATTTCTTGACCACAGTCCTCACAGCTGATTCCAAGTTTTAGGCAAATCATGGCTGAAGGCAGGGGTGACACCTCTGATGTATGAGCTTCTGTACCTTAAGAGCTGGGAAGGGCAAGCACATCCTTGCAACAGAGAGATAAGATACACAGAGGAAGTAACCTTTTTAAGGTGGCCTTCTGATAAAGAACATTTACTGTTCCAATGTGAAGGAAATCAAGGTTCGGGTACCATTCTTCCCAACAAGAGCCGAAAAGCCCACTACAAACAAACAACTTCGCTGGTGCCAGTGTTTCTCCCGCAATGGAATTATCAGCACAGTAAACAACCTATTGCTTCAGAAATTTTTAAGTGGAATGAATGCAAATCGGGCTTTACGTAGAATGAAAATTCGAAGAACAGAAAACCTAGAATTGTTACCAAATCATCACCGCAGAACGTCCTCCAACTCCAAAGTAATAATTCGGCACAACCAACACAAAGCTCAACTAGAGCTCAGCTGGTGCCTAATCAAAACGACATAGATCTTTCAAAGAACGATAAAAATCCGGAAGTAAAACGGTTGGGCAGCAAGCAAAAGTCCGACTTTTGTAATTGGCACTTGCCAAACAGGTTTCAATGAGTGATATCTGCATTTACAAGACAACCCAACAGTCTGCCTCACATAAAATCATCTTGAACGCGGATCGTGATGGTGTTGATTGGTCGCGAGGCGCCCAACCTACCAACAATCGGTGAAGGTTGGTGGTGCAAGCTAGCCGTATCCGTAAATGCAGATGCACAGCGCCAGTTTCTTGTCGATATTGGGGCTCGATAAACGTTTCAAAGCCCGATTTCATAGTGACTGTATGATCATGCGTCTATTTCATGTTTTTCCTCATTCCATATTGCCTATCTTGTATCTTGTGTCTTGCTGAGTTCTGGTGCGGCCGGCTCCGTGTGCCATGTATGATGATGAGCCCAGTCTCTGAGGACTTGATAACTGAGGGCGTTGCTTTGGCGAGGTGATATGAATCCATGGAATGATTCGCTTCGTATGTGTCTAAGGTATACCGGCTGGGTGAAATGTGATGGCCATCTTGCGGCATGAGATCGAGATGGGAAACTGCTGGAGCGATGGATGCTGATGGGTACTCAATGACAGGCGTCTATTGCAAGACTTCATTCCACTCACTGCTGTTGGATCTCAGCTTGGAAAATAAAGTCTTCATGTTTTTGATGTTGTTGTCGAGCTTGGGGAGATGGGAAATGACAGAAGAGGAGACAGTGACATCGAATGCGGGGAAGTGGGGCAGATCAAACCAAGGGTACTTCTGTATCAGGATATTTCGATCATTTGAACTTCGAATGTTCATGGTCTTCCAAGACATATTACAAATAGAGGACAAGAATGTTTTTATATCTGGCGATTGAGTTTTGCTGACTGGAGTCGGGAAAATGAACAGCTCAATTGCGCGAGATAATGAATATCTACCAATCCAGCTCGGAGGTTTACTCATGAATTGTAGATAAGACATATGATTCTTTCAATACAATAAACTAACTAAACTCAGCGAAGACTCCCAACGCCATGCAAAAGCCATCAAGATGAAAGTAAGACACGCATCCCATCAACTCGACGACTAGCAAAGGGGTAAATGATATCTTACACCACAGCATCCATTACTATCCCACTCCACGCACCCTCCCAGTCCACAACGTGACGTTGACATATGCTCGATAGTTGGCCATGAAGGCATTCAATCAATAGTCTCAATCTTCACAGTAGGCGGAACCCACTTATTCCTCTTCTCCCATTTCTCATTAAAGTATCTCTCAAAATTCTCACAATCTTTGAACACCTGGTCGCTCTGCGTCCAGTATTCATAGCAGTTCTGAAAAATCAATCTAACATCGGCTTCGAACTCGGCGCTGCTCGCGTACTCGTTGCGATCCATCTTGGCTTTGATTTGTTTGAGATCCATAGGCCGCTTGACAACCGAGAAATAGTTGGGCGCATTATGAGCGACAGGATCGACTGGATCTTTGAAGTGACCGACCAACCGAGTCCAAAAGCCGGGTCCAGACAGCATGCGGGTTATCAAGTCGCGACAAAAAGCTAGATCGCGATCGGAGTCATTTGCGAATTGTGCTGGTGCGGAAGACGATGCGGAGTTGTTTGTTGTTCGACCGTGAAATTTTGCTGGCTTCCGGGTTACGGGTTCGGACTTTCGTGATGGTTTCTTGACAGTATGTTTAACCTCGAAGGTATCGTCGCCATTTGGTGCTGTAGCTGCCTCGGATTTTCGGGGACGCTTTTGTGGAGGTTGAGCATATGGACTCTCGTACTCGGCCTCATTTTGATTGTTTAAATAATGCTTGTTGATGGCTCGTGGCACAATTGTAGGGGTGTTTGGTAGGTCTGACATGACGATCACTAACTCAGATAGGATTTCTTGTGGAAGAGACTTTGCGAAAGTGTTTCGAACATCAGGAGAACCGCGCACTTTGATATGTAAGTAAATATTGAGTAAAACAGATAATCAGATTGATGTTTGGGTAGACTTTTGTGTGCTAGTGAAGAAGAATGGGTAACTTACTATGCTCAGCTGCCCACTCAATAAGCATCTTCCTCAGTCCACTACCCTCCTCGGTCTCTTTCCAAGCTTGCTTCAACAAGTCCGTGCCCGGTATTGATTGCGTTAATTGTCTTCTCTCAGCCATAACAGCTAGTACCGCGCTACGCAGAGGAGCCATTTTCAATTCTGTAGCCAGTTTCCATATTTCCATGAGCAGAGGATAATCAGGAATGTTCACACCAGCCTTGGCGTCGTACAAGTTGCCTGTGTAAATGAAGTTCTGAACACATCCAAAAGTCTCGACAGTGCTGTTAGGCAAGTTGACTATGTGTTCGACCGATTCCTTATATTCTGGTTTCGCAAATTCTTCACGATAGAAAGGCGACTGTGCAACGAGAAGGTCTTTCTGGATTCCAAATGGGATTTCGTCTTTCCCGACTAGGAGAATTACGAATTGTGGATGTGGTTGACTGTAAAGTTAGGAAAATTGCTCGGACGAGGAGTTGTGAAATGGACTACGCCGCGGCGAAAACGTGTCAACTTACTGCCATGATATCGTACTTGAGACTTGTGTGACACCTTCTGCAGTCTCAGCAGCTTGAGTTGCGCTTGAATCCATTTCGGACTCGTATATGTGAGTGTGTTAGGTTGTCGGTGGCAGACTGAGACTTCAAGGAGAGAAAGACGACCGAGCGAGGAGAGCGGAAACCAAAGATCCGCTGAGCTGATGAATTTTCAAAGATCGCGTGGTCGGCCCGCGAAGACGTTTGGGAAGTGTTAGTGAATAGAGATTGTTTGGGTCGATTTTATGGATAACCTATTTGGACAGAGGTCAACTTCCTGAACAGAAGATCAGTTAGTGGAAGATTTATTATGATTGAATGAAAGAATAATGGAAGCAATGGGGCCTAAAAGAATCTGCAAGGCTCATAATTATGGTCAACTTTCCCACCAAATTAGTGAAGCAACTTGTGAAGAAGATGTGAGTCTCATAATCAAGTACATGTGTCGGTAAAAGCCATCCATCTCATCGTAGACGGGCTTACCCTCATCTGCAGCGCTTGCGACTCATCTCAATGAGCTCGTAACTCATAATAATGTAAAAGACAAACATACCTTTTGATATTGTGATACAAATATGGTGCGCCCGATAAGTGTTGAGACCGATTGGTGTTGTCGCGATGTGGAAGAGGGATGAAGTTCCAGCCTTCTCATTTGTCGAGGTTGCACCATCCGAGTTTTGCGGGACACGGGGTTATGCATGCAGCACAATGATTTTATGCATATTTATACAGCCACCCCGGTGAGCAGTGAATTTCTCGGACAACACCAGTCACCAGCTTAAAGTCTTCATATATCTTGTGGACTCCTACGAAGGCTTTTATTCGAACGGGTTATCAATTAAGTCCCTGTATACGCCTTATCCGTGTATTGGCCGCTTCCTAATTCTCGAGCTTTCCGTACTCAACAAACTCCATGAAGTCGAAATCCAAACCGCATCAAATCATCCTTCACATCAAATGTTCATTAGCCCGTTTTATGTTCATGATAGCGATCATAAAAGTCGCCATAATCTTCTCAGAGCTCCAATCTCATTCGCACAAGAATTTGCTAAAACATTCGATCAAATCTCTCTACTCCAGCTCCATATAACTTCATTCGACCTCATTCCATTATTTGATATCCAAACGGCTCTGTACTTCCAAAATCCAAACCCCACGGCATATCCCAACCAAGCAGCGGATCTTGTAAATCCTCAAAAGCCACCGGAGACAAGTCGCTTACGGGAGTCATTTGTGTCATATCCGTCGAAGGAAAGTTCTGCATGGTAGAGTGATGCGTCGCCTCATTCTTCCTTGCTAAAGCTTCTTTGCTTCTTATTTCTAAACATGTACGGATGAGATCCTCCAGAAGCGAAGAACCTGCACGACCGTCGTATTCAGATTGAATGATTTTGAGAGAATTCTGTTTTTCTGCTCGCGCAAAGTCATCGACGACCTTGATAGCTAATGATGGCTCGTCATCTTCAGCCAAGGACCATTGCGATAGCACAGCACATATCTGCTCCACGCGGTTTGATACCTCATCTTTTTCGAGGCCGATCTCATTCGCGTAATCGTACTTTAACTTGATAAGAAACGCCAAGGTCAGTAGTAGTATCGAGTACTCGATCTTGGGACCATATCTGAGTGGGCAAGGCTTAATCTCCTCTTCCAGGTCAACGCCAGAGACAGGGTTCGCCCGTTCTATGAAGACATGGACAAGTTTCCCAGATGTCAAGTAAGCGATTTCGAGAAATTTTCTCCGGTTGGCTATGTTGGGTGATTTCTTCGATTCGTGTTCAAGTTGGAGCATGTATAAGCAAAGTTGGGAGCCGAGGACAGTGGTCTCCATTTCCCTTGTCCAACAGTGTTGGTGATCGTCGCGGATCCTATCCAGATCTCGACACAGGCTTTGCGCGAGACCCCACGAATCCATATCAGTACTTAGTGTTGCAATAGTTGAACATGCTTTTGAAAACGCCTGCATGATCAGATACTGAACCTCGAAGTCCACTTCAGCCGTCGAAAGTGGAAGATTCATTGTGGATAGATTTCTGCCAAACATCTCCAAGGGAACGGGAACACCAACATTCCAACCCAGGCTAGAAATAGTAAGTAAACGTTAAGTACAAGACAGAAAGTTTGGAACGAACCAACAATTAAGCTTAACGCAAGCTATCCAGGTTTTACGTCGCTGTAGAGAAGTTCTGTCTCTGTTAGTTCCTGGTCTGTCAAGTCGCAACCGTAAAGCTGCATGGGTAGCCAAGCCACAGTAGTTCCAGCTAGGATCTTCCAACTGTCTGTCTGTACTAAGCGGCCAATAACATATAAGTACAATAGCTTGGATCGATTCAATCGAGGTTATTGGTCGCACTAATGTCTCTCCAAGTAAAATATGATAAGGTTTTGTCAAGAGACTTGTCAAACCAAATAACTTTGGATGCCATCGAACGGAAATTATTACAATTGTCCAAAATAAAATAGACGAGCTTTTGTACAGTGAGCGCAAGTCCATGTCTGTGTTTAAAATTGGGCAAGATTTGTAGTAATTTTTCCAGAAACTAAAAACATTAGCTTTGGTCGACTACAATAATTAGGTAGGCTGCGCTGACTGGTCGAACAGGCTAATTATTTGATGTGATTCGAGTGGCATTTGGCCAAGCACTAATGGACATTGAGGAAGCTGCTCGGGCAGGGAGTACTGGTACCAGGTATCTTGTACTTCCACGACATCAGAACTTGAGACATAAGTCCCCGAAGTTGTTTGGGCGTTCGAGAGAAAGGGTGGGAAACGTGGCTCGTCTGTTTGTGTTCGCGCGGTCTGTTGGCTAAGTGTCTCTTGTATTGCATTTAATTGTTTCGTGACTTCTTCTAGCCGACTAAATGTATCAGTGTCATAAAACATTAGTCTAATAGAAGTATTATTCCTTCAACTTACTTTCTCCTGGACGTCCGCTTGAACCCGGGATCCGTCTCACATGTAACATTGTTTTTCTCACATCGAGCGCATGGCAACGGATAAGTTTGCATGGAATTGCAGCGTAACTTCAGATTCCATCACACATCAGTCATCCAATTCTCTTATCCCGCAATGAGGAAAGAAAGACAAGCATTTCAAACCTTAACTTGGCGGCATGCTGTACACGCGCGATGACTTCGCTTCCGGGTGGTCGGCTGAGCACTCGACATTGAATTTAGCAATTCTCGTAGCTAACATACAGACAGTGTACATAATATTGGCGTTAACATAGGTGAGGAATCCCGTGATATTGCGAAAGCTTCAAACAAATGGTGATGTTGAACAAGTGCTGACTTTCCAGCTTCCAAGTCGATACGTGAAGTGGGGTCTTCACTTGGCAATATTTTCGAGGTCCGTGCACTGTAAGCATCCCCTTTTAACATCACCACTTTCGCATCTCTCCTGTTTGCAACCAAATGAAGATTAATGGGTAGGTATTGGGGCAGCTACATACACACATTACCTATAAAAATATGAAGATATGTTCAACACACATGTCGAATTTCTCTTTCCTCTTTCTTGGATCCTCGGATCCTCGGTTGGACAGATCATCTATTTTCGGAAGCTCTCTACCGAATAGCGAATGCACCCCGGATTTTACAAGTATCCTCCGTAGATTCTGACTTCATGAATGGCCAAACATTCTACGTTCCCAGTCTCATTCAGCCTGATAATCTAGCTTTTCAGTTTAGCTCGAGTCCCCTGATCACAGGAATCTCGGACCAACTCCCCTGCAATTTGGCAGAATGCAGATTCAATTGCCCCGGTGATGTCGGACCGTAAAGATGTCAACAATAAGTCATTTTGGTACCCAGATAAAACATAAAGCTTGTCTTATCCTACACTTTAAACCTAAAAAAAACATATACATATTTATCAACTGGAGTCATGGTATTCTTCCGTAATTTCGTGGTGCTATCGTTGGCAGCGGTCGTTCTTGCTCAGCAAGACGCTTACAAGCAGTGTATGTTTATTGCAATATCTCGATAGCAGCAATCTGACAGTCAAACAAAGGTGGAGGGAAAGGGTGGACTGGCCAGACTACGTGTGTTACTGGTTATGTATGCACCGCAAATGGGTAAGTCAAACCTACCAATGCACACTGTTTTAATTCTCCATTAACAGAACAACAGGGAATGTATGATTATGATCCTCCAGCATCTTACATAACTAACCATAAACAGACTACTCTCAATGCGTACCTGGAACGGCGCCAGCTCCTGAGCCAACTCCAGTGACCACTTCGGCGGGTGGAGGCGGCTCAGCGCCAACTACCACGGCAGGCAACACTCCAGCAGCTACCGGCCCAGGAACAACACTCCAAAGTGGCTATCTCTGGATCCGGGCAGTTGCAGCACCTAATTTCCACAAGTACCTCCAAACAAAGCCAATGTACTCTCCTGGAACCGCAATCATGGACTCCTATACCACAGCTGGGCAGTTTCAAATTGTCTCAGGACAGCTGGTTCAACGCAAGTCTCCGAAACTTGACTGCTAAATCTACTCGCTAAAATCATGTAGTCATTTCAGGGGGTCTTCTTTACGCGAATGTCGAGCCGCAAGCGAATTCTACCGTCACGAAACTCGCTGTTACCTTTTCCACTACGAAGAATACATATGGAACTTTCATGTTTAGTGGAGATGCGGTTCAATGGAGCATTCCGACGATTTCTAGACAGAACTTGAGTGCGTGGTTGGTCTGTGGGAAACAGAGCCTTTGGATTAATTTGGGGGCTTATTTGTACAATACGCCAGCGGGATGTGCGGATCAGACTGTGAGTAGACATATTTTCTTTTGGCGAAGACGAGAACTTGGATTTCATTTGGGGACGAAAGAAGAGGAAGTGATGAATTAGATGGAGGGTGGATCCGTGGGAATTGTTACGAGTGACTGTATCGAAGAGCTGAGGAAGCGAGCAAACAAATAGCCATGGCGAACATGTTTGGCAATGACACCCAGAAGAATGCTAACATGACTTCTTTAGATCCATTATTATAACGACAAAACCGCCGTTTCGTAAACAATAGTGGTCATACATGCATTGAAATTACATTGATAGTTGGATACGCGAGGTGACTTGGTAATAACGATGTTAAAGATATCTTTAAAGATGACAAGTATTGTATACACACTATTAAAACCCACTGCGATACAGATAACTGAGAGCCAAATGTCACTTCTATCTCTGTTAGATCGTCTCCGTTTGCATCGCACGTTCATAATTCCAGTTTATTTTCTTTTACCTCGCCAGCGGTAGCGTTGGTCGTTGTGATATGGTGTAAACCCTTGTCGATGAATGTTTCATTTTAAATTTAACCTTTATATTTTTAAACAAAAGAGAATTGCCTCAACCAATCAGCTCGGCTGGCGCAATGGTAGCGCGCGAGACTTCTAATCTCGAGGCTGTGGGGTAAGTTTAGATATCCGTCCCTGAATTTACAATGACTAATAAGTGTGCAGTTCGAGCCCCACGTCGAGTGTGTTCTTTTTTGGATTTTGTTCAAGCGTCGGTATCTTCCGTTCTCTTTTCGATTTTTGACGGCGGGACACGCGTGGCTCCACTTTTACTTATACAATGTTATATAAATTTTGGGCTAGCTTTTGAAAGCAATTTCAGACGCATATTTGAATCAGAGTGTGCTCTCGTCGATAAGCTACATTTTCATCACTTAACTGGCGAGTTTCTTTCGTTAAATGCTTTTTTTTTAACGAATACCGGGGGGGCGTTCAGGCTGTTTTGGGTCTGTTTAGTAGAGCCGAATTATACGTCTTACTATTGAAATTATTCCTCGAAAGCAATGTTCCCGTCAAATGTCTCTTAGTTTTCCGAATCTCATGACACGCGATCGTGGTGAACTACGGCAAACTGGCCGGAAAGTTTCGAGACTGCCTAGGTAGCTAGCAAATAATTATGGAAATTCTTTCAATTTATACAAACCTCATATTTAATTTATCGAGAAGCGTGAGAGTCAATAACATTCCATAAGTGAAAGATGTTCAGAAGGGAGGTAGTAAACTCATGTTTATTCACTGTTAGAAGCGTGAAGAATGAAACAGGGATATGGGCTGGGAGAAATCCGCTTTTGAAGAAATGATGACTGAAAGCGGCGTTGTAAAATGATCATCGAGATATGCCGGCTCTACGGTCCAAAGATGAAACCAAAACGCTGATGGAAATGTTCCCATAGCGATCGAGGATTCCCGAAATCAACGACACACTTGGAATATTAAGCATGACATCGATCTATCACGTAGAAGCGACTCAGAAGCCTTTGGGTAGTTTGGGTCGGAACATAATGCCGGTCTGAGTGTATTTCAAATCGCGTCTTTCATTCCCGAAAGTTTCTCATCGAGATCGTGATCATGTAGCAAGCTATTTTGAGCATGCAAAACGTTGGCAGTATGTATATGGTGGCCTTATTTGGTAGGTACCAGCATCAATGAAAATATAGCCAACTAGTATAAAGAGTCACCGTAGGGCTAAGGCAATCAAAAAAGCCTTTGCAGACAGGCGAGAGCTCAACAGACACCAATCCGGTCTTCTAAAAAATGAAGATGTTCACAACAAACCAACTTTGGCATTATGTTACTTGATATTCTCCAAAAGAACCCAGCTTGCCAAGCTATACCGAGATCGTCGCAATATTCATACCAGGACCAAATTATAGTGAAAAACAAGCCATTAACCAGGATGTACAACACTGAGGTAAGGGACAGTCAAAAGGAGATACCTCAGCAGTGTAACGTCTGCAAATTAAACCGCAAGATACCTATTTCGTTTCGTAAATCATCAAAAAGCCGCCCACTCATATAGTTCAAACAAAAAGAGAGCCTGCCGGTGAAAGAGGCTTGAAGATCGGCTGAGCCGCCAAACCCTCCAAAGCTTCAAGCAACTCAGCATCCTCCTCGCTCAACTCAGTAAGTGAAGAACCATCTGGCCCTGGGAAATATTCGCCATCGACACCACAACTAGAGATGATTAGTTCTTCTCTGATATTATGACAGGGTGTTTTCTTACGTTGCACCCTTCTCAGGCAACACTCCTTCATCAAAATACCTTCGAACATGCTTAGCAGTACACAACGACGGCATACTAGTACTACAATGCCCGTAAGATTTTTGCTCAACAAATCCAGCCCCCTCAAAGCTCGCAAAGGCTTTCTTAGCAGAAGCCAGCGGACAGACAAGATCCCATGTCAAAGAAACGACGAGGATCGGCTCCGCGGTCTTGACTTTCGGATACGCAGGATAGTAATGCGGATGAAAATTGTGAGTGGTTGGAATAGACCATGATGCTCTGCGATAGATGTCAAATCCGCGATATTTGGAAACGAGTTTCGATTGTTGAGGGATTGCGCGAGTGAAATTCTGCACCGGTTGGAGACCGTGGACTGGTGCTTTGACACCGGTATTCCAGTTGTCGTTGGCGATTACGAAGTTATTCGTTTCATCGGTGAGAATGTGTCCAAGCCAGCTACTACTGTATGCTAAGAATGCTGGTTCTGTGTTACCCTTGAGCAGCTCGGCGAGATTTGAGGCCAAGAAGGGCCATGCGAGTGGCATGTATAGGGAGGGGAAAATGCCATTGGCTACGAGTCCTTGTCGAGTTATCGCGCCGTAATGTGTGTTGTTTAGATATACGGGAATGGGAGCTTTTTCTAGATTGTCGAGGAAGTTGTCGATGAAGGTTTGAAGCTCGCTTGCGGCCTTGAATCCATTCTTTTTGACGGAATTGAGAGGGCATCGTTTTCCGGCTTTGTAACATTCTTCGATGAACCCGTAGAAGACCTTATCGGTATCTTCTAGCCACTCTTCGAAGACGAATGAGTTGTACCACTCATCTAGATTGCTCACGCCGTCAATGACCAATCGAGCGACTCTTTCTGGGAACATTTGAGCGTAGGTTTGACCCAAAGTCGTTCCATCTAAAAATGATTAGTCTAAGCCATAGTCAAGTCGGCACACAACCCACAACTACCACCCCAGTAATACATCTTCTCCTGGCCAATCGCATCCAGGATTGAATTCATATCCGCAGCAGTCTGTGGCGTATTGATGTACCACCCATGTTCACCCATCGTATCGTCACAAGCTTTGGCACCATTCTCGGCTTTTGCATACATTTTCCAAGCTTCATACTCTAGGTCGAAAGGAAGGTTCACAAGTTCTTCGGCTCTTTGTTCAGCGGTGCCGTAACAACTCGCTTTTGGAATCGTGGCATTGACACCTCGAGGATCGAAACTCATGAGATTGTAGTTTTCTCCAAGCATCTGGTTAAATCTTCCACCGGCGCCTCGAATCAAGCCGATGCCGCTGCCTGGGTGAGGTCAGTCGTGGTATTCTTCGCAGAGAGTTCAGATTTTACCTCCCGGACCACCGGGGTTGAACAAAATGGTCTTGTCTCCATTTTTGGAGGCTTTTGTCCCCTGCAGTCTGATCAGAGGGATGGAGAATGTTTTATGAGATGATTTGTTGAAGTGATCCATGGGGACATCAAGTCGAGTGCCTATTCAATGTCAACTTCAAACTCGATCAAAGAACATGGCTAAATACATTGGAGAGTGTGATTGCTAATTTCCCCACAATCCTCCCATTTCAGTTTGAGGGTTGGAGCTACGTGAATTAGAGGTCTTTGAGGTTTGGAGTCTATAGCCAGACATGGAGCAATCATGGATAAGCCGATCGCCGCAAGAAAGAGCCTTGCGACGGCATTACGATATGATGTCTCGCTTGACATTGCGATTCCAAACCCAGTTCTTGGCGACGAATATATTTCGAGCTACTTAGTAATTTAGAACCTGACAAATAAGTTTTAGAATGTAGTCTGGATACTTGACGTTGGTTTTAACAAGTCGATGTCGCTTAATGCGGCGCATGAGATGTGCGATCGACGCCCCCCACTTAGGAAGGCAACCATTTATCCACGACGCTAGTAAGATGCCTGTGTAACAGTGCTAGGATTACATATTAATACTACCATCCATCAAAATTTATATTCAGGGAAGAAACATCTTTGAGAAAACCAAACGGACTCGTACTGTAGACGTTGAATCACGGTACCTTACGACTACTCCATTAACCTGTCTGGCCTAGGCGCTGCTTTTAGTCTTGACAGGCCCAGACAGGGTTTTGATTAGGGTGCAGATTTGTTATATTTACTGGGAATGAGAGACAAATTATGGTATAATTTGTCAGTCCACTAGAATAAATGAACTGTTTTAGATCGCTGTGGACAAAATAAAGTACAGTCGAAACACAATATTTCTTGGATCAACTTGAGGAAATATCGTTCATTTTGTCAATGGTTTTCAGTAAATATAATACTTTTAAGACACTGCTCGAACACCGATTAGAAGAAAACAGCTGTGTACGATTAAGTTTCATTCATTTTGGATAGGTCAAAAGGTCACTGCCAATTATATTATTCACCACGAGTCAAATCTGTACTAATTGACTGTCGACCAGCCTAGAGGTTCTGGAAACCTGCCTCATAAAATACTCTACTAGCGATGTTTGATTCAGCCTTTACTACTAAGTGTTGCAACTGTCATCACCTATTTCAACCCTATCCACAGTGCCCTTGATACAATTAGAGACCCCAGTCTCCCACAGATTTTTAGGCTTCCCTGTGTTAACTTTTTTCACCTCCAAGGAAAAGTCTTTTAAATTGCCTTTTCGTTCAACGTGAAGTCCATAGGCCATGCTTTCCCCAACCTGGTCAGACTTTGCGATCTGGTAGTCCAATGATTTGAGCATCACAAGCATCACATATATAATAGAAAATGCAGACTGAAACCGATTTTGGTCTCCTCGCCGGTTGGTAAAAGTTCTTTGATCGTTTCCTGCAGCACAACTTCCTCTTTTTTGATCCATTTAATCCATTTGAGTTAGTTGGTCTTCTCAATTCGTTTGAACAACCCTCGTGAAGTTGTGATGGTGGTATTTGGACAGCTTTTAGGAAATTGGTTTTCTTCATCCACCGGCTTTTCCTGCACCTGGACGAGCAAAAATTGCTTCATCGCAGGCTGGAAAGCAAAAGTCGCGAGAATCACAAAGAGTTGCTTTGCAGCAATCGTAGTAGTGATTCACAAAACGGGAAAAGTTGGTTCCGCTTCTTGATAGTTCTCGGTGGCGAACAGTCTTTTGCATTGGCAATGTCGCTAGACCTTTTTCTTCAGTATTACCAGGGCACTGCAAAACTGACGGGATAATGTCAGAAATCGACTTTCGGATGCTGTTTCCCTCAGATGCATATTCGGCCTTTCTTATAGATACAATATCGGCTGTTTATATAACCTCGATCTTATATGAATCCACTTTGAACTTGGAAACTGGTTCGTCAGATGAGATCGATATCTATTTTTGGACGAATGGTAAACTGCCAGATGTCGTCGGCGTGATGTTGATATTGCTTGACAAGAAGAGAGAAGAGACGAGAAAAGAAGTATTTATACTTAAGTGTGAGTGTGGGCCTACACTCACACGTAATAATACGTCTAAGTGAACATCTCAGGTATCAATTGTATTTTCTCTCAGTAGATTTGGCGCATACCTCCTATTGTTCCTTTGATATCTGTTATCTTGAAAGTATGTAATCAGAGTCGTAGAAACTCTTCCCGAATGTCTATCTACAAGAAAACGTAAGTCTCTGCGAAACTGCATTAACTTTTGTGTATCTATCACTTTGTCAAGTATGCTAACAAAATTTAGTTTTGCTATCAAATAGAAGTGTACTACTGCAGCCAAGCTAGGCTATAAAGTACAAGTGTAAGACTGTAAATTAATTGTAACTACAAGATAGATAGGAAGGAGACTTAAATAAGTTTGACAATACTTGCCACAAATAGTGTAGAGATTTTATCATGTAGAAGTCTCAAAATATTAGAGTAAATAGATAAATCCGAACGATCTTCAGATAATAAGCGAGGTAATCACTTTGAGGGCCAACAATCATCTCACCCGTCCGACGGGACACCTCATTACAGTAGAGTAATATTATACCTTAGAAACTATCTTCACTCATTTCGTTATCGTAAATTTACGTCAGTGTCTCGTTCACGAAGGCTAAATATAAATGGGAAGGAGAGAGTGACAATCTTCTCGGCATATTTGATCCGGTGGCGCCAGCATACGTTTATACACATTTTAATATCATGTCACAACAATTAAACGAACCAGCCCAAGGATCTGAATACTTTCAAAATCATCGTCCAAACGACGGAGAACCTTAATAGTGTCAAGGTTATCCCAATCTACAAGAATCAAATCTAACAATCCCTTTTCCTTCCGAGACCTGTTTATATACGCATCTCCCATCTACGCATTCTATCGCCCAACCACCCAATCTATCCCATCCCCTACCCAAATCTATTTCCCATTCCTATTCCCATCACCTAACCCATTCATTTCCCGCCCTCTCTCCCCTCCCCACCACTCCTCCCCTTCTCAACCTCCACAACCCGAACCTCACTCCTCTGCACCATCTTCCCCTTAACCATCTCCGCAACCCCCTCCGCGAAGCCCTCCCGAAACCCCTTCCCATATCCCTCCACTACACCCTCCTTCCATCCAATATCCCTCGAAATCACATTCCCGGACCTGAAAATCTCGACAAGAGGTGCTGGATCAAGCTTATCATCAGCATCGTCATTCGATCTCACACTTCTCGGCGACGAAGTACCAGATAACGGGGATCGCGTGTGTGGCGAGTTGAATTTTGACGTCGGTAGATGAAGTGGTGAGGAAGAACGAGATAACGGGGATGCTGTTCTAGGCGAGTTGAATTTCGACGTTGGTGGAGCACGTCGAGGTGTAGGTTCTGCGATCCGAGTTGGTGATGAAGAAGACGATCCACGAGATGGCGGGTCTTTCATTATCTCTGGCGAGTCCCTTTCTGCTTTCGCCACGACAGCGGCATCGTACACTGTTTCCGGTGGTAGGTCCGGTAAGGCTCGCTCCAAGATGTTGGGAGACGTCTTTGAGTTGGCGATAAATCCCATCGGGGCCCTTGACTCTGATGTACCTACTTCATTGTCGCTCGACCTGTCTCGACGTCTTCCGCCGACTGTATCGCGTCGCCGCTGCGCTCTGTTGCCTTTTTCGTGCATGAAATTTCCGACGCTGATGTCTAGTATTGGCATATCGAGTCTCCCGGTCTCCTCGAGCATCTCTGTCATGTCGTTTATTTCGTTGATGTTGTCCATATTATTCATATATTTCAAGACGTTCCTGTCGTTCATATCATTCCTATCATTCATTTCCTTCCGTTCTGAACACAGACGGCCCAATGTAGCCTCATCCAAGGTCGGTAACTGAGAGTCTCGGGCGTTCATCCATGGTATGTCCAACGGGGCTGGTGCAGGTGAAATATTTTGGTTCAGAAGAGAATCTCTGGGTGATGCAGTTAAAATGCGGCGGGGTTTTGTCGACGAATGCGATAAAGAGCTTGAAGAAGACGATGAAGAAAGATCTGCTAGCATAGCTCGACTTTTCGGAGATGTTGGAAGGTTCGGTGGTATGCGAGACGGGGACTGATGGGAATGAATGGAGCTGGTAGGAGTTCCACGGGATTTCGGCGTATGGAAGGATGTTGGTGATAAAGGTGATCTTGGTGGTTGCGCCGATAGGGGAGGCGAGTTTTGAGCTTTAACATCATTGCGGATATTGGTTGATACTGCCGAAGACTTTCTGACATGTTGCGAAATAGAAATCGAAGGAAGGCCATGCTTTTTAGCAGAAGGTGTACAAGGATTTGATGCTAGAGGATTTGGCGAACCTTTGTGTGGCCATAACCGGCGAGGACTTGGTCGAAGAATAGTTGGATGGTTTAGTTTTGGTATATCTGAAAGCTCTACTCCTAGCATCTGAGCTTCTTTGGGCAGCGATCTTGTATTTCCCTTGAAACGACACGCCTTGGCTGCTGGTTCTGACTTGCCTGGTGTGGATGTCTCTCCGGCCCGAGACTTTTTGCGACCTCTTGAAAACATCATATCTTCGATCGAGAGTTTCTTTGAGATTGTCGCATTACTTGGGAACTGACTGGTCCATGGATGTTTGCTGACACTCTCGTCATGAGATTCTGAAATGATGTCCTCTGGAGATGTTCTTGGTCGATCTTCAAATGTCAACTTAATGATTCTTTCCTCACTCTTCGGATGATTCACATCCGAATCTTTTGACAGCATATTCACCAATTCAGCTGACGTTGAATCCGGTATCGTTTCTCTGAAAACACTGTCATCAAGACTTGTCTTCCGGAGTGACGCTTCGGAATGAGTAGTTTCCGAAGTAAGATAAGTCGTAGATGGCCTTGCCTGACTATTCATGAACCCCCTAACCTTCGCCTTGTGAACTCTCCTGCTTTGATAATCATCTGGTAGACGTTTACCCCATGAATTCCGCTTTTCTCTCTGACCACTTGCTTTTCTGTGCTCTTCTAAAACCTTTCTTCGAGCTGCCTCCAAATAAGGGTTGGTCTTTGGGGCGGCAGTTTCTCCTTCTGGGATCGAAGATAAATTGTTAAAGAAGTCGTTGGCCTTATCGTCAGTTGTATGAGACTTTTGCTCTTTCTTCGGAGGTTTGTCTTTAGCCTCTTGCGGCTTTTCCTCTTTTTGTGGTGCATTGACATCCAGATATTTTTCATCTTTTGGCGGAGGTCGGGGTGCGAGTACCTGAGAAGACCATGATGGTATGGGTGGCGAGATGTCTGGTTTTGGTCTGTTAAAGTCCTCAGCACGACCGAGAGATCTCAAGTCGTGATAACCTTTTTTCCGCGTGTGAGATAAATCATGTGTTGGTGTCGTTAAGGTTTGATCTTCCCAAGTTCGATGCTCACCGGAAGGACATCCAGCGTTCCGGTCAGGGACTCTTTTCTTGACCAGAGGCATTTCGGTGAGTCTTTCGCAGGTGGTTTGGGTCAACATGGTTTCAATTGTTCCAAGATAAAGCAATGATATTATGGACTCTCGTTAGCTCTGAATGGCAATGGAAATTCAGTTGTGACGGGTTTGAATAAGGTAAAGCTCGTGTGATTGTGACGCGATCTGATAAAGTCAATTTTTGACTTAGTGAATCCTACATGATGAGCACCCGACACCTTGGTGCCGGGTAATGACGAAAACAATGGTAAGTGCAGCCGATTAAATACGAATATATTCACAGAACCTAGATATTGTTTAAGTTCTATACAATGTTAAAAGTTCCCAGGTTTACCACCTAAAATTGTAAGCGCGACGTACCTGTAATTCACCTATTCTGTACCAGCTGCCAAGTAAAATCAAAAAACAGGTAACCTTACACCCGCAGAGAACAAGGATCGTCTATTAAATTATTTGATATCTTACATGGCTCTGTCACAGTTTCGACAACCTGCTTTTCCGTTTGAGCAGACAATGCTCACCCCATTTCCTTCTGAACTTTTCCGGCACGAGCGGAATATTGGGCAGCCATAATGTTCTGCCTACGATATGTGTCCTTGGATCGAGAAAAGGCTCGCATGCAAGTTTTTCCCAGTTGTCTTCATCTAAAATGTAGTGCGGCTCAAGTGGAGCCGCTTGACTATCCGGATAATAAGTATCGACCAAAAACTGGCAAGTATTTAGATCAACCTATGAGTGACAATTAGCACTGGTGACGAGTATATATCTATAACAAGAACATACATATTTTCCCATATCCTCCTTATTCTCATCGTTCATTCCAGGAGGTATGAGCCAGGCACCAGACCAAAATCCGAATCCAACTGTAGCTTCGGCGAATTGACCAGGTAGCAGACCATTAAATTCGCTTTTAACGAATTTTGCTCTCATGTCGTTCGGCAGATGATATGATGTTGGAAATCGATACCATTCCTTTCCAAAGCAGACAGAGTCCCCGCGAGAGGCAACGGTTCCATTCTGGAGAGGCTCATAAATCTTGAGTGGTGCTGCATAACCCTTGTACACACCGTAAATTCTTGAAAGTCCAATATCAACAGATCCGATAACAAATAAACTGACAACAAGCAGCTTTAGTCGTGCTGGAATCTTGCCAACGATGGTTTTTGGGTCAGACTCTCCAAAAGCGGCCAGTAATATATGCATAGAAAGAGCTGCGTTCAATGCAAGTGCTGGATATGCTGGATACATAAAACGCTCCTCCTTGTGTGGCTGATAACTAAATATTGCCAACCACAAGTAAAATGGTGTCATGAATATGATTGTTCGTAGACCAGTGACAGCTCCTCCCTCTTGTGGAGTTCTCGTCAACATTTTCTTGATCGTAAATAGTGGCAGAGCGGCCATCGCGAGGATGAACCAGATGTTGAAGTTCAAAAGGAGATTTCGAATGTAAAAGTGCCATGGTTCAGTGCCATAAATCTCTGGCCCTTTTCCTGGTCCACTGAAAATGTTGTACATCACAATGTTCCACGGAACAACAACGGGCTTTTTGAAGAAGAACGTAGAAATTACAAACTCAAAGAACTGCGTAATTGGTGAGCATTTCCTCAAATAAGAAGGGAAGGTCCTTACCAGCACGACAAGTCCTCCAACTATTCCACGAATAAATCGCATTATCACATCGATTAATGCGTCCTTGCTGCTCAAAAACGCAAGCACGACCTCCTCGAATAGAAAAGGTGCGCACAATGCCATGGAAAACGGCCATCCCAGTATACCCCCAACAGCAAATGCAAATATGCCTTGGGCAGTTTTTAAGCCACCTTTCCAGTTCATAAATGCTGCCATTCCCACCATGGTTGTATACATCGCAAAACTCGAAGGTAGGAAGGCGGCAGACGCGTGGAACATCCCAGGACTAAAGACCATAGACATCATGAAAAACAGTGCTATTCGAGGATTCAAGGTGTTATTTATGACCCGAAACATATATGTTTGGCAGATGGCGCACGTAAAGGCAAGCGCATAGCGGATGAAATAGAATTCTCCAACCTGTCACCATTAGAACATACACAAGCAGCTTGAGATCACCACACACCTTTGTAGAGAATGGAAGTAGACGTCTGAAGCTCCCAATCAACGCGTGGATTGCAATATACAGCCAGCTGCGAATGGCATAATCGGGAGAATACTCCCACGTCTGCAACCCGTAGCCATGACTGAGGTAATGCGTAGGTTCCCAGTAATTGAACGTCTCATCGCAATCCTGTATAGGCGCGTATATTGCAGCTACTAAGTTTGCCGCGAAGAAGATATAAAATGCGCCAATTGGCTTCACGGCGAAAGGCGTTGGCGGTCTATCGAGGGGTGTCAGTCCGTGTCCCTTAATACCAGCTGAATTGAGTGCTTGTAAGCTCACTTTTTCTTTTTTGGTGCAGGAACAGAGTACCCAGAACTCGGTGGAGCTTGCTTGACGGGCCTAGGAGGCATTGTTGAGGCTGTTGATGCACGAGAAGACAAGTGAAGTCTGCTCTTCGTATTCTCAGCTTTGCATAGTTTATGTCGCCGAGGCGGGAGCTATGACATCGGCGCGACACTGCGACAGAGACCCCTGCGGGAACATGGTCCAAGCTTCAGCCCAGACAGAAATTATTTTGAGAACTTTCACGATAGCGAACCTCGGAAGATTCAACATTTCTTTTCTCAACACATCATGTCGGAAGCTCCTCTCAATGCGGAAAGGATGGATTTGGATATCCTAAATACTAAAACCTCGGAAGATCAAAATATTTCAGAAAAACAACAAGAATCATTGAATGAAGAAAAGGTGGTGATTGCGGAATCTGCATCTGTCGCAAGAACCACAGAGGATGTCTCGATCCCAGCAGATACCGCAACGACGGAACTTCAACCCAGTCCGGCTTTGACAGGTGCATTGGAAGCTCTCTTAGGTGGTCTTGATCCTCCTACGCCAATTGCTCTCGAAGCTCCAGCATTTCCTGTTGAGTCTACGGTTTCCATCGTTCTCGAAGAAACGATCCAAGAGCCCGCTCCGGCCAACACCAACACCAACACCAACGACATATCTTCGCACTCAATTGACGAGCATATTGTAATTCTAAGTGCTGGTTCAGAAGTGCCTGTTTCAAACCCGACAAATGAGGCCCCTCTGGCAGAGAACATCCAAGAGCCAACTGGTGCAGAATTGCCTGTCCCCACGCCGGCAAATCAAAAGTCTATTGAAGAAAGCATTCCAGAACCTGCCCAAGCCACTGTCAACCGCGTCTCATCGCAGGCAATTGACGATGATGAAGATATAGTCCTACCAGACAGAACCTTAGAATCACCCAACCCACCCCCAACAAATGGAGAAACACTACCCCCGCAAAACGATCAATCTATCCTGCCTGATGGCGCCCCGACGGAGGAGGAACACCCTGAATGGGAGGTCGATTCTTCCCCAATCGAATCATCATCGGACGATTCAAGCGACGACAGCTCTTCAGACGAAAGCGAAGAGGGAGAGAATGCGTACAAGCTACTAAGCGCTGAAGAGCAAGCGCGAATACTTATGCAAGAAGGGGGAGGATCCGATGACGAAGATGGAGGAAAGGGAGCGAAAGGAACAGGTTCCGGTTATCGAACCAAGAATGAGGTCCCGGAGGTTGTTGTTCCTAAACCAGATGTCACGATAACTGAAGATATGCCCATCAAAGAGATTGGAAGTGTGGAGAATATTGTTGACAATATTGTACTCATCAAAGCTAAGACTTCTGGCGAGTACCAGGTACTGGAAAGTGGCTCCGTTTTGTGCTTGGAAAACAGAAGTGTTATTGGGGTTGTATCAGAAACCATTGGTCGCGTTCAACAGCCATTCTATTCGGTCATGTTCACAAACGCTGGTGAAGTCGCTGAAGCGGGCCTTAGCATGGGTACCAAAGTGTTTTATCCTGAAAAACATGCTACCTTTGTTTTCACTCAAGCTTTGAAAGCATTCAAGGGCTCCGACGCTTCCAATCTTCATGACGAGGAGGTTGGAGCTGATGAGATGGAGTTTTCGGACGATGAGGCGGAAATGGAGCATAAGAAAAAAGTCAAGCAGGCGAGACTGGAACGACGCGGAGGTAGAACCCAGCAAAATGGTTCTTCTCGTGGCGGCCATCCCTTGCAGCAAAGCAATACCTATGATCCAAGCAAGGGACTTAGCTATGATGACGCTGAAGACGATGGGCCATACAGACCTTTGTCCCGACCAGCTGGGCTTGCCAATCCAAATACACATGGCGAGGCTCCTCAAGAAGGTCAATACCCGCCGATGAACAATCATTCGCAGAATCAAAACAGAGACTCGTTTAGGGGTCGCGGACGAGGTGATAGGGGAAGAGGTCGTGGAGATCGCGGAAGGGGTCGTGGTGGCCATCAGAAAGAACGTCGTGGTGGTGGTAACAATGGCTATTCGCAGGCACCTCAAGGTCATCAAAACGTTGGCCCACCACAGAGTCCGACTACTTTTCAGCAGCCACAATTCTCACCACAGCCAGTACAAAGTTCCCAGTATCCATCCTTCCCAAATCTTGCAGCGCTTCCTGGATTTGGAGGTACATCGGAATATTCACCTAATCAGCCACAAATGCAGACCTGGCCCAGCTTCGTACCTCCTCCCCCTTTTCCACCACAACAATTCCCACAGTCCTTTCAAAACATGCCCAACATGAGCAATATGTCGAATATGCCAAACATGCCAAACATGGCCAACATGCCGATACCGAATATGCCAAATATGCCAAATATGCCAAATGTGCCAAATTCTCAGAATAATATGTCGAATGGATGGCCAAACCTTTCAACTTCCGGCGCATATTATAATCCGGCATTCTTAAGTGGCGCCCAGCAAGGAAACCGAAATCAAAACTCCTCTTGGCCACAAAATCAGAGAGGCGGAGGAAACGGACGACAGTAATCAGGAGAGAGGCTAATTGCGTACCACAGTGATCGCTTTCATTTTCACCAGTATACTGAGTTTGGAACCATGGCGCGAAGCCTGCTCTCAAGCAAAGTCTGTTGTAAAATATTTCTGTTGCAACTTGACAAAAGCGAACAGGAGCAAAATCATGTACACTATCAAGTCAGAATTGTTGATACCCTACCAAAAAGTGTCCAGCTATCCATTGATCATGTGCTGGTCTTTGATGACACAAGCGCCCCGCACATGGAAATCCAACTGTGAGCTGATTGATGAGCGAATCAGTGGATGACCAAGTTACACGGTTTGTTGATTTTTTATACATGTTCTTTTTAGCGCATCATAGTTGATGTGTGTGGTTGCAATACCGTTGAGGGATGGCAATCAATCGCCTAAAGGGGAAAAAAGTTCCTCTCAAGTCCCGATAAGAATGTGGTTTAACACCCCATTCTAACGGCGGGGCATTACCCCACCATAACGAGAACCTTATCAGGTAACAGGTGACTTCTTGAGTCTTTTTTTAGGTGGTATGTAGAATATATTCTCATATATTGTCTGATGATCTCGCTCTTCAATTCTGGTTTCATTTTGCTTTGCCGATTCTTCTAAGCGAAATAATATGGGTCACTCAATGCTTCAAGCCTGCCAGGAGCGGGCGAAAGACTTAGTCCAAAAAGCACAATCCCTTCCAATATTCCAGGACCTTCTTCATAATCCCAAAGTTCTCGTCTACGCTACACTATTATTATGTTTGTCTGCGTGGTCACTCACCCGTGTTTTGAGGTTTCTCACCAGGTCAATTGAAGAGGACAGACCTAGTACACCAACGCTTGAGAAAGCAAATGTACGGTCATTTAAATCTCCTGAAAGAAAACCTGGAGGTAAGCAGTCCTTATATCTTTTATGATGCCTGCTTATAAAGAAATAGTTTGGGAACCTGTTGAGTTCCGACGACCTTACGCAAGACCAGCACCGGACTGGAACGTTCATACTACAAGGCCAAATCCCTACCGCCCATTTAGACATGGACCGTATCATATTACCATGGGACTGAGGAACATGCCGTGGGATGAATGGATAGGTATACTTCCACCATTTCACCTAAGCTCCCTCCTCGTCTTTCTAACCTTTTCAGAACTGGACAACCACTACCCCAAATACCACGCCGACAAAGCAAAACGCATCCTCGAACGCGGTTCAAAATGCAGCTACACCTCACCCGAAGCCTTCGACGGCGCCATCGAGCTCCTCGAAGAACTATGTTCCTACCTCCCTGAACGCTACCCCTCCCTCTACCAACGCACGCCCGTCGGCCTCAACAACCTCCTCACCGGCGAAAAGTTCAACATCATCGAACGTCCCTTGGTCGAAGACCCTATGCAAATGGCCGCCCGCCTAGTCCAAGACGATCTAGCCATCATGTTCGAAAAAGAAGACGGCCAGTACTATCTCCTCGCCGGCTCCATCCTGCTCGCGGGTTTTTGGCGGCTGGAAGATAAATTGGGTATGCCGTTGAGTGAAATCCATACTTCGGGCGATGTGCCGGGGTATAAACAAAAACTCGAGAAAGGGATGATGAATTTTTTTCGGAGGGTGCAGCCGAATGGACCTGTTCAACGTGTAAGCCCATCCCCTCTCTTAAATACGTTAGCTGATGTGTATGATAGAACAACTACTTCCTCCAAGTCGACGACTCCCTCCCCTGGTCCTCGTCCATCGGCCCCGAAGACGGCGAAGCAGGCACACTAGGCTGGTTTTCCGCCGAAAAGAACCGCGCGATCAACCACCATTATTTCCGGTCCGAACGCCAGACTCTGAGACGCCTACCGCGTAGTGGAGGTGTAGTGTTTACGATCCGCACGTACTTTCATCCTATCACAGAGATTGCGGAGGAGCCTGGGGTGCCTGGACGGCTGGCGAGTGCGGTTAGGAGTTGGGGGGATGATGTTGCGAGGTATAAGGGGAGGGAGATGTATGGTGATGTGTTGTTGGAGTATTTGGATGGGAAGCATGGGGAGCAGGTTGAGAAGGGGATTGTTAAGGAAGGGGGTGAGGAGGAGGGGAAGTATCCTTATTAGGAACCTTTTGGGGTAAGTTGGCTGCTTTGATGTACTCTCTCCGGTCAAAATTACCTGGTGTTTCTGATTAAAAAATGCTGATTATAAACCGCTTTGCACTCATTTTTCACATGTCTCTAAGGAGACTCGTCGAATTTCTTTTTACGACGCCCGGGGCTACACTCGTCTTAAAATAGGACAATCAATGCTAGGAAGCGTATATTTGCTCTATCTGGGAGGCTAGCTGAGACATTTAATATACTATAAATAACAATTTAGCTACGTATACAAGCATGTAACATATCTGAAGTATATGCCCAGGCGACGCAAAAGGAAGCTTACCACATCCGCGTTGGGAAGTGCCTATATAATAAATAGAATATATAACGATTATTTCGCAATTCAAACGAACATTCCTTGATGTTATTAATTTGCACCACCTTTAGCATGAACGCCGTATTCCAAAAGAAAACCTATCTCATATGTGTCAAATCCCTAGCAGAATTTCAATATAATGCTTGTAGAGCATCTTATGGCAATGAGACACACCTTTCATAACCTTAGAAATCTTCCTAGCAACATTGAAAACTTTCCACCATTGTTCCGCCATCTGGACGTTACACGCCCAAGGAAAAAAATAAAGAAACACACTACAATAATTGAGTTGCTGAGAGTAGAGCTACATACAGGATAGCATTTGTAGTGGCGACTCTTATTTTGCGCTTTGAAAAAGCTTCGCCGAGTCAGAAGGGACTGATGAACAGAAAATTGTGCTCTCCAGATTCCAGAAAATCATCCTTGAATTCAAAGGGATTTGATAATTCGGAGAAAGACTCGGATTCTTAGGATAGAAAGATACGAAGTGTTTTGAAAGTGCCGGCCTGTACCGCATTAGAAATCTACAACATCTATGCTCCGCACAAAACACATCCACAAAGTATCAAGGGATGGGTGGTATCAGTCTCACAATCCAAAGCCAAGCCACGTAAAGAAAGGTTTGTTAGTTGCAGGGTCTCCCATTTGGTATAGTATACCCTGGTACCAACCCAACTCAACTCTCTTTGGTACCGACGCAAGTATATCTTCATGGGTATGGGTACCAACCTATAAAGGCCTTGGGTATGGTTTGGATTACCAAATGGGAACCCTGGTTAGTTGGTTATCTAGGCATATAGCAAGACCTATTCTTGATTGGTACTAGCACAATGGGCATGTGGTCTGGCTGGTTACCAAAATATACCTTAGTACCAAGGATTGACTTCTTCAAAACCTTCAACACTGCGACTTATATTCATTACGAAATACTAGAAGATTGGTACCAAGACCAACATTAAACGAAAAAACTGTATCCAGGAACAGGGCTTTGGTAGGTACCAAGGTACACCATACCAAATAAACAACACTGTGTAAAAGTCGTTCATTATTATGTCAAAAGCCTACAGGTTATAGCACCAAAACACCACTAACCAATCCCTAACTCCTTACTCTGGCCCTCGTAATTCATATGCTTCTTCAGCAGTCTACTCCGAGCACTCAAGCCCTTCAAGCGCCATCATCGCCCTCGTCCCTTGACTTTCGAAAGTCGAAACCATTCTCTCACATTCTGTTTTTAGTCTTCCTTCAGCCGTTTGTGCATTATGTTGAATCCATTCTTCCACAGTCATCTGCTTTTCAGGACAAGTGAGGCCATCATTTTTGCCCTTGGTTTTTCCAAATATGGCTTCTGTGTCAATCATCAGGTTCTTCCCGCCGGGCGATTGAGTGAAAACAGAGTCAAGATCTACATTCGTCCATGGGTGCGAGGACTGAAGGCCAGCAATAATATTTCGTTTGGAAGGAGACATCACTGGCGTCATTGTGCCTAGAGGGAGCCTTCTCGCGGTCGAGGGTGTGGCTACCATCCTTGGTGCAGCAGAAGGCTTCGATGAGGGCGGGTGATTCTCAGCATCAGATGATTGCGGTGACTGAGAGGGTGTACTGTCTGCGGGAGGAGGTGGGGTGGCACTCCTCGGTGATTTCACAACTGCCTTAGCCTTCCCTTTTCCCTTGTTTTTCGCAGGTACAGGCGCCGGGATGTCTTCTGCAATAGTCGGCGACTCCATGTGCTCAAATGTGTGACCTTCCTCATGTTGAACAGCAGTGACTTTGGGCGTCGACTCGATGAATTCGTCCTGAAATCCATCGGGCGCTGGCGTGAAGAAAGCGTCCTCTGTTATGCTTCTATCTTCAACAGCAAGACTTCTCGCATTCTGAGAATTCTCTGGTTCGACACTGATGGCTTTGGGCGATGCTTCGTCCACGATCACCTCAGGCTCATGGGCCGCAGACTTTTTACTGCCTTTCACAGTCTTCGCGCCACTGGATTTTGGATTTCTGCCCCCTCTGACAACGGTAGACTGGCTAGCAATACTTTCATCGGACTCCTCGAGAGGTTCATCTTCTTGTGATTGGACTTCGACATGTGTCTCATTAGCTAGCATCGTTGAACCCCTCGTCGCCCTTCCAAGAGCCTTCTTCGCGGGCTGGCGACTTGATGAGCGCTGCTTCTTCGCCTGTATCACCGGCGATGAATGCTGAAGAGATATGCTCTGTTCCAACTCAGCAGCAACTTGGAGAGATGCCTCATCTACTGCAGTATTCTGAGCTTCGGCCTCAGCCTCAGCCAGAGCCTCCGCTTCTGCTTCCGCTCTAGCTTGTGCTTCAGCAGCCTTTTTAGCTGCTGCTTGTTGCTTAGCGGATACCTTTCGGGGTTGCTTCGCTTTTGTTGCCCTTGCTTTAGGTAATGGTTTACTTTCCATTTCCATGGCTTCAAGTTCTGCCTCAATTGCTGCCTCATCGACATCTGCTGGTTGAACTCCAAACATATGATGATCTGGCCTCGATGATTCCTCCAGGCCGGGTTTCTTAGAAGACAAAACAGGCTCTGGTTCCTCATCGCTCAATGGTCTCTCCAAGTCTGCCGCTAACGCTGCGTCGAGTTCTTCATCGTTTGGCACGGCTGCTGTAGCTTGCACAGCACTCACATTTGAAGTATTACGCTTGCCCCTGGCGGATGCACGACCTTTCTTGCCTTTCGTGGTCGACACAATTTGTGACGGTTCATCATCCGTCATCAATCCAGAATTTTCCACCGCCATACTGCCTCGGGTTCGAGTAGTCCGTCGTTTCGCTGGGGGTGGAGCAACATCAACGGGAGTGGGCTCGACATCTTGACTTTTTCGCTTTTTGCCCCGTGTTTGCTTAGGTGGGACCTTGACCGAGAAATCATCATCTTCCGGCTCGGGAGCGACAGCGACTTCCACAACAACCTCAACAGGCTCCTCCTTCTTCGCCCTCGTAGTTCTCCCCTTCGCCGGTGCCCTTTTTTGATTTGGCCATCCTTTTACTGGTAGCATTCGTAGCTGTGGTCAATATGCTGTCATCTTCTTCCGCGGGCAGGTCTAAAAGTGACGGGGCTTCTGAGGTAGCTGTGAACTGGGATTGTGTAGATAGTCGGGAGGCTTTTGAGCCCCGTTTTGCTTTCGATTTCTTCGGTGGCGGTGCTTTACTATGTTCATCGATGAGAATGAAGAAAGGACAATCCGTGGATCTCTTGTAGTGCTCATCGCTAGTCAGGTTTAGTACATTTTCAACTGATACGGCAGGCACGACAGAGACTTACAGTGGCTTGTCACAGTTTTCCCACCCGTCAAGAGCTAATTGACAATAATTACATGTTGCCATGTCATCAGACTCGTTGGTAGGTGTATATCGCCAACCAGCATCTGCCATCTACGATACAATTAGCAATGCCTCCGTTGAATGTAGACTAGATGCATACCTGCTTGGTCTTGCACTTCCAGCCTTTCTTCGTCTCATGGGGCCATTGGTTGCCAAACGTAGCCTTTCGCGCATCAAGCAACCTCTTACTAGCTGGATACTCCTGGGCGACTTCCTCAATTTGCATTTCCACAGCCTCCACAAGCGCCCATGCGCAATCCGGCGAGTGCTTCAAGTGTTCCACAAGCGGATCGTCATCCTCGTCCCAGCCATCAAGGCCTCGGTGGCAGAGGAAACACGCGGTATTGTCGGGCTTGTCTGGGCTAGGATGGTAGAAGAAGCCTGCTTTCGCAAGCTTTGCGCGTGTCAGCACATTTTATATACCTTTTCCCCCGCAATCTAACTCACCATCTCTGGACGCAAAGTCTTGTGCGGCCATTTTATGGACCGCGCCGATTTTGAGCTCGCGTTCGAAGCTCTGCGCTTTGGCATTGGATGCGCGACCTGAAAAGATGCAAGTCTATTTTCGTATGTGAAGTATTCTTCCGCAATATCATCTATAGCCATGATTGAAGAACTCCGTGGCAATGATTGGGTGTTTCGTTGCTGTCTATGCTGAAGTGTGGTAAAAGAGCTGGCGTGGACAAGTCGCAAAGCCGTGGATGTCGCGTAGTTGACTTTATCTGACGCACTCGCCCGTGGATTCGAATATTTAACAAATGTTCATTTCGAGGGAGAAACCGAATAAACTACTGGTGACTGTGAGAGGAGCGTACCGAAACTACGGGTGGGCGATTCTGAAATATAGAAGAGTAAGTATCGCGGTATAAGCTGGTGAAGTTTAGATTGCCTAGTTGAACAGCGTTTGGAAGTTTGTTTACATCTCGGTTGAAGTTCGGCACATGAGAATATCGACCCCACATAGGACTGCCCAGGCACGTGCCAGACCACGGTCCACACATCAACCCCACGACCACCAGCGCTGCAACTAACGTAGGGTTTTCATGGCACTTTGTAGCACTGTTATGTAGCAATTTCATCAATCTCCTTTTCGGCGCAACAATTGAAAGCGTTGTCAACAATCAGAAAAGATGATATAATTGCGGGGGGACTTCCATGTCATTCCGTCCTGTGGAGCTTCAAGCATACAACCGTGCTTGTAACTGGTGATACCCGAAGGTTTCATCTGGCGAGCATTTTAAAAATGTCAGTTTGATGATCGCGGAAAATCACAAGAATCGCATTATGAAGGTTCGGTTCGTCATATCAAATGCTTGATATATTCCAATTCGACCAAATCCCTACGACACATCCAAGCAAATAACCAACCCTTCCTCGCCTAATCACAACCACCGTCCACAGTATCCAAGCCGCCTCAAGTCCCCATACCAAGCACTTAAACCAGATTTCCAGCGTCCATCTTTAACGATATAGGTTCCCGCGAAATGAAGAGTCATCAGTAAGAAATAACTTATTTTTTGCCTGGAAAATGGTGAGCATAAGAGAAAGCCAGGGGTGCCACAAAGTTCTATGCTTGCTGTAATCAACTAACTATTTTATAAAGTCAGTAAAGTTTGAGGAGCTGGCCGTAATATTGAGTACTAACCATGCTTGCCATTGAACACCAACAACGAAGGTAACCTTTCCGTCGATGGAGTCCTGGGTCATGAGTCCGGAGGCGCCCGACTTGGTGGTGCTCAAGCGGACTTGAGAGTTAACGTTGAGTGGGAGGGAAGCTCCGCAAGGAGACCAGATGGTGGAAGTGAAAGGAATCTTATCCGAAATCAAGTAATCGCTGTCGAGAGGACCTTTGAAGGTGGACGTTGTCGCAGCTTGAGTAGAAGCTACAATGCGGAAACAAAGTCATTAGCGGCGGCTTACAGACTACTAACGTTGAAAATTGAAAATACGTACATCCAGAGAAGTAATAGTTGGCAGACTGAACCCCAGTGACACCAGCATCGAGATAAGTGTAACCACGGAAATCGGTACCGAGGACACTGTACTGGAAACCAGATGGATACTTGAGGTTGATGTTCAGCTGACAGTTGATTCTGCTGGCAGTCACTGGGACTCCTGGGCCAATGGATGCCACGAAGCTGTCAAAAATGAGTGTGAATCTGTGAAGAAACACTTAGGTTAGTGACCTGTGATTTGTGTCTAGTATGACAGTGATTATGGTTGGAAAGGATAATGTGCTGTTTTGGGTATGGTTATGGGATTCAACAGACGTCAGGCGATCCGCAGAGATGAAAGAGCCAACAGATCCTTGGGGACATCCAGTTCCACCATAGGAGATTGATTCAATCGTGACTTTGGAAGGATCTGGAACAGCGGCAGCTGCTGAAGTAGTAGCAGCTGGTGGTGCGGATCCTGGGATGTTTGGAACAGTGAGGACAGGCGTTTCAGGGGCTGGTGCTGGTGCCGCAAGAATGGTGGCCGCGAAGGCGAGGATTGGAAGGAAGGCAATCATTCTGATTGATTTTTGTGCTGGTCTGGTAGATGGACGAAGTTGACTGTTTGATGAGATGGTGTGAGAGCGGTGGTGAAATTTAGATGTGGAGGAAATGAGGCCTCTTTATATCTGCAGCTGAGTGCATGTTGAACAGGGGGAGAGTATGGAACGGATGATTGCCACCGATGTCGATATTAAATTCCAGGCAGTAGACTTTTGTTGCAATATGGTCTGGTTACCATTGTGGCGCCAAAGCGATATCCTCCCGCATTTTGGTGAGGACCGAGAAAACATGGGCCCGCAACAATATAGGTGCGCCACGATCGCAAAGTAATATGTGGATTTGGAGGTAGAATACGAGAAGAAAAGGATGAAAGAGTACATCGGCTAAACATAGGCGAACACGGAGTTCTCAGACTGTAGCTGTAAAGACAAGAGAGTTCGAGTTACAAGGCGACATACTGGTTCCGGTCCCAGCATCCAATAATGGTGGGGACCGTGCAACAACGTGGCTCATAGCGTGCTTGTGACTGCGATTCATATCGGGATGAAGGTGTCGTAAATTGGATCTTTGCTATGTATAGAAGGGGTGCGAGCCGTAGGAAACATGATCATATCCCAGTCTATGCATTTCGGGACACGGATACGGGCAATGTAGGTGCAATGTATGTGACCCTTGCCTTGAGCTCTGAATATCAGCGCCGTCAACACGTATTTTGATAACTGGAGCGCTTGCAGCAGCATTTTCAATATGGTCACACTTGCGCCTCCGTGAGTTGTTCCATGTCAAGGAGAGAGAGATGGTAGCTTGCGTTCTGAAAGTAACGCTTGCTCAAAGGGAAGCCTAAATAACTCGGAATACTTGATTCCAGAGACCTAGAGAAGCCATGTGGCTTAACCATAGCATGTAGGAACGTGACTGAACCTAGGCTTTAATCCGCTACCACACTTCCACAGCCGCGCGCCTGTGCCCTGAGGAGCCTCAAATTGCAAAGGACCCGACAAAGAGGTAAAGTGCTAGGTTGTCTAAAGTTCGCCGCAACCCCACCAACGGACTATGAGCCCGTTGCCCAACACCAAGATGAGTTCCAAAAGACGAAATAGGGTATGAAGCCGTGTTACCACTCTGATGAGCAGTAGCGAGTCTGCACAGAGGAAGTAAAGCAATTCTAAAGTGGTTCTTCATAGCTCTGGGCGATTCGCCGAGAACCCTGGGGGTTTCCAAAGACTGTACATGAAAAATGGCCCGTTTAGAGTCCGATGAAGCATAAGAAACAGCTAAGCAAGCATTAATAGATAGTAATTGGAGAATTTAATGTATCGAGTGGTATAAGTGGTGGCAACGAGCAAATGGTAAGCGGACGTAGAGATTGAATAGATGAGATGTCGTCTAGGATAAAATAAGGTTGGGTCGGCTGCGTCTGGGGAAGCACAGGGGTCGCGCGCTATTATGTAAGCGCAGGGCTAGTTGACATTCTGGCCTCTCCGGCGATTTTCCTTCAACGACGCACCATCAATAGCCGGCAATCTACAGATCTTTTGCCTAAGTTTCAACACCAACTTTGACCACTAAGCCGCCATTAAAAAAGAGCAGATCACGATACAAGATTGGTCAAAACAGCCGGCACTGTCAATTTCGGAAACCTGCGCTGGCGAATGCCAGGCACCACTAAACCCTCACCCAGGCCGGAAAATGACTTCTTTTTAGCGATTGAGGGCCGTCTGTTTTGAAGGGAAGATCAGTGTGCGAACCGCATGTTAGTGATCATCTAGATCTATTTGTTTGCAGAATACCCGCAGGCGCGTTCAGTGTTCCCACGCCGGATCATGCTCTCATCTTGGTAAGCTTTGCCATCGATTGAGTGCAGCTATGGCGGAGCTTACACTTACTCAATGGGCTGCTCTTGGTGCCTAATTCGTCTCGTTATAGCTATGCGGAACCAGATCTATCCTAAAAATCTGTTCAGAATCTCCAAGCGACCAACCATCAAACAGCTCGTCGGGAGCTGTTGGACCACTCATACACTCGATCTGAACCCCTGTCAAGTGCTAGAAGATGGCTAGTATCTATGCAGTGATCAGGTCAGATGACTGGGGTATACAGAAAACATTATTGTCCGCCCTAATTTTTAATCCACACGCCATCGTTTATTCGGAACTTTTCCTCTTGGCAACAAAGTCATTTTCACTTCGATATTAAATTTCCAGGCAGACATTTTTGCTACAACCAGACCTGGTCTATATTGGTACCTCAATCGAATCAATCACCGTCTACCAAATACTGAAAAGTAATCAATTCCCGGCGGGACAACAACTGCCCTTGACGCCCATCCGAGATACGTTCACTCCGAAAATTCGCAGGGCGTACCTGAGTACTACACAATAGCATACACAAGCTTTATGCGAATGCTGCCAAGAAAAGGCACGGTTATTCTGTGGTGTTGCATCTTGATCGAAGTTCGACCATTAAAAGAGTTGCCTAGTTCTCCAGGAACGGCTCAATACGAGATAGAGCTGTTTCGAGCTGCTATTCTCTCAACAATCATGGAACTCTTGCATGGAACTTTGAGATGTGAACACATTACGATAGTCACAAGCCAAAACGGGACGATTGTGTCCTACTCAAAATACGGGTACCTCCACGTAACCCATTCCGATCTCAAAGAGGTTGAAAATGGAAGGAAAAGATTTGAATAATCACAAGGCAACAGTCGGCGAAAGCCAACTCACTGCGATCAAGTACCCAAATCACAGGAATAGGTCGAGATGCAGGTCCTGGTGGGTTCCGGCTCATCGGAAGAGGCCATTGTGTTTGGTTGTGGATATCAGCCTCTTCTTTTACCGGTGAAGCTCAACATCTCAAGGTTCGGCAGCCGCCAAGCCTAAATGAGCAATCCTGATGGTTCTAACAGATGCAATGAAAACACGACGTTGATGAGACGAATGTTACGTTCCGCTACAATGGGCTGGTTATCACAACAGAATGATATACTATCCATATAGATCAACCCACAACCTGCTTATGGCGACACAACATACATTCTTAATAATCAAAGTCATGGACGGCCAACCGTCGGGCATTAGATCATCCATCGGCGGACTGTCGTGGGTGATATTCCGATTTCATCCTTGGAATGCAAGATATTTGTATTCCTACCCTTACAATGAGAGCGACCGCTGTTGGGGAGAATACTTAACATTCGCGTTCTGATCGGTGAAGCAACACGGCTGAGATCACAGCACAAGCTACATTGGTTCCGTAGCCAAGTACATTCGGTACCATATAAAAGTGCACATGATATGGGAAATATTTTCCCCACTGTGCTTAGAGTTCTGAAGTAAGGAACGGATGCCGAAGAGCCTAGACAGAAGATCAGCAAAAAGAAGCAGATTTATCTCTGATTGGGATCTCCAACCTTCGAAGCCGTCAATCTTTCAACGCTCTCGTAGCGGATCAACCCTCTCACCAGATCTTTCCCTGAACTATCCACTTCAATAAGTAGATCGTCCCAGGAATGTCCAGCGAATATCTGGTACCACTGAAAAGGTGGCGTGGAGAAGTGTAAAGCCTCAGGCCATGTGTCTTTTGTCGGTGTTCCAATCGTTTTAAATATGCTTAGGATTAGACCGAGTTGATTGCCGTCCTCAAACGTCTCCCTGGATTCGAAAAGTGGCTTTGGCGGGTTCCTTAAGCACTCAGCAAGCATTGCACCCGCCGCCCACATATCGAGGCTTACATCATACGATCTGTAACCGAAAAGCGTTTCTGGAGCTCTGTAACACGTAGTACCAACTTCAAGCACTTTATGGCTCACCGGCTCGTCCCGTAAGGAGAACGTTGGATGCCACGATGTGCCGAAATCTGAGAGGCGTGCAGGTCCAGTGGCTGAGGCGAGGAGAACGTTAGAAGGTTTGACATCTCGATGAATGATATTGTGCGAATGTAGATACTCCAGAGCTGAGAAGATGTCACGGAAAAAACTCCTCGTCAGAGATCCAGGGACCGCACCGGAGTTTATGACTTTTGCCAAGGTAAGTGGCATGTACGGGAACACTAACACCAGCCTCCCCTCGTCGTCTTTGAATGTTGACACAAGCTCGATGATATGTTTGTGTGATATTTCGCTTAGAATCTTAACCTCGCGAGCAGGATTATGTGGTTCTACATCTCGAGTCTCGGTTATCACCTTGAGAGCAACTGTCGTTGACCTGTATACTTCAGACACGAGTCCGCTTGCGATGTGTTGACAACCAGAATACTGCCCGATAGTGATACCTGAATATCCGATAGTATCGGACTGTGCCTTGCCGTTTTCTATCTCGGAATAACCTTCCTCATAGATTGTTTTGCAAGCTGCTTCGTAGGCTTCCTGCGAACAAGTTAGATATGACAGAGGGTGCAAGTCTTCATCTGCGTAAGTTCTGACGAAAACATAACGGTTTCCACTAATTTACTGTTTGAAAATTGGGAATGACAAATATTCTCTAGAACATCATTCTTGATTGAGTTGCAAATACTTACTGATTCGCGGAACCTGGGGGCATTGCAACGTCATGTGACAATAGAAAGTAACAAATTAAGAGAGTAAAAAGCTCACCCTGGAACTGGACGTATTGTATGCATCATTTTCTGCTGCAAATGCGGTTTTATGTGAAGTGCCTGTAGAACTGAGACCCTTCGCTTCAATGGCTGCTCTCCTAACAATCGACAGAATCAGATATTTCCTTTCTATTCATTTCTGAAACAACTCACAACCTCTCAATATGATCATATCTTTCGGCTGCTTTCAGATCTGACCTCCAATTAGAGGATGATGTGGGGTCCATTCCTCTTCACTATGTGATTCCGAAGAAGCCGAGCGGTTTAGTGTGGACGTATAAGTGCTGTAAGGCTAGCTGTTCGGTACTTTGGATTTGTACTTCAAATCGTCTATTCTGCCGCTGGATGAATGAATGGACTTCTTTCGAGAATAGCAATTATCCGTGCATGAGACTGATTCGAAAACGTCATTCAAGAAACAGAAAGCGACCCATCTGTCGTAATGTGAATATCGAGAAAAGAAAGTACATTGTCTGGCTTGGCGTGAAAAGCGTCCAACTTTTTACAGTCTTTCCGCCGAGGGATCGCGGAGCCGCGCGCCGAAGACCGATTTCTGACCCCAGTATTCGAGTCTCTCGAAGCCGCATCGCCAGCTTGATTCATCCCAACTCTCCCAATCACTCACGTCACCAAGTCCACGATATCCTCGTTATTTCTGCAGTTGTCCTTCTGATTATGCGCTTTCGCCGGCTGTAGGTTCGAGTGTCCGAGAGCACAAATATAAGCAAAATGGAGCTATCACGCCAGGAGTATCCGGCCATGCTGGTAAGTAATCGTCGCATTTAGCTGTTTCTTGTAGGACAAGTTTCAATGCTCAGCAGACTAACATGTGCGCAGGAACGGCTGCAACCAGCTAGCGCGGTATCGAAGTTCAATGAACGAGTGAAGCGGATTGGGAAGACTAATAGCGAAATCGCAGACTGGTTACAGGTATATTCAATTCCGGAAGAGGCTGGGACGGCACCATATTAATATTATAGTAGGAGCGACGCAGGATTGAGGATGCATATGTCCAAGGGCTGCGAAAGCTAGCTAAGAGGCCTCTGGCAGAAGTTGGGCAGGATCTTGGGTAGGATTGTTAATTGGAACGCGGAGCTTGCGCTGACCTCTGAAGTGTTTTCGACGTGCCTTGGAAAAAGATAGTCATCGCGACGGACGAAATCGCCAGCTCTCATCACACACTATCGCAGCGGATCGAAGAAGATGTCGAGAAACCACTTCGGGCCTTTGCGGCGAACAGTCGAGAAATGCAAGGCATAACAACCATACAGGGAAACTTGACATCAATGGCAAAAGAGCTAGATGAGGCCCAGGAGAAATCAGACAAATTAAGCAAGAAGGGTGGAAAAGCAAGCGCGGCAAAAGTGGAAAAGGCATCTACACAGCTGCAGATTGCCGAACAGCAATGGAATTCGCAAGCTCCATTCGTGTTCGAGACGCTCCAGGCATTGGACGAAACGAGACTGAATCATCTTCGAGATGTCCTTACTCAATATACGACTCACCAGACGGATCTCATGCAGAGGAACACGACTGCGGTGGAGCAAACCTTGAATTCTCTGTTGGAAATAAACACCAGCCAGGAGATTAAGAATTGGTCGCAAGCCGGTATGATGGGGAAACCAGAGAGGCGAATGACGAGACAGCAGTCCACCGCCGAGAGTACTACTGCTCCATCGATGGCAGCTTCGACTATGCCACCTCCTCCTACACCTGGGTCTAATCAAGGAGACGATCGGAGTCAACATTCTAGCAGGCCCGAGAAAGGTATGTACCAAAGCTTGGTCGCAAGTATCTTCAGTTTGAACTAGAAAGAGCGAACACGACCTGGAGAATGCCCAAAACTAGCCTGTACTAACTAGCACTGACAGAAAATCTCAAAAGCCGATTTGGAACTATGCTGGGTCGACGACGCCAAAGCATACATGGCTCTCTACCAACATTTGGACGAGCTCCTTCACCATCTAAGGGTGGCTTCGTCCCTTTCGGTCGCCCTGATCGATCGTCGGCGAGCAGAGATGGTCGCCCAAGCCCATCGCCACGTGCTTCATCAAACAATTTACGCGAATCTCCTTCCCGCGACAATAGATTGTCGTCACTTGCAGAATCTCCCCCAAATTTGAGCCCAACTGCACCAACTAATGGTACTAATGGCGTGACGGCCCAGTCTGCTCATATTACAGACTCACTGCCTCAGCGACCGAAGACTAGCGGGGCAAACGGAAGTGGGGACATGTCTGATATGTCTCAAATTATGCCACCACCTGGTCCGCCACCTTCGCATTTGAAAGAAGTGAGCAAGGACTCAGAAGGATTTAATGTACCGGCACCTCAAAATGATCCAATATCCCAAGCGCAAGCCGAAGCTGCTCAAGAAATTGAACAGCCACAATTTAAACTTGATATCAGGCCAGACCCTATCCAAGAACAAGATGATGATGCAAAAGCGGCTCTCTCAAATGTCGCCAATACCTTGAGATCATCTCAAATGATTACGCCGAATAGGAAACTAGGTACTGTTAGAGGCCGAAGAGATGTGCGAAACACCATTTTTGTGCCTTCCAATAGTACTATGCCGACCTCGGAATCGTTCAACATACCAACTACAGAAAATCCTCCTCCACCTTCTCCAAGTTTGATGCCTGGTAGAAGTGCTGCTCTGGCCGCATTATCCAACAGTGATCACAGAGCCGCACCTAGCGTTTCTGACACTACATCAATCCGCTCTGGGCACTCACTTACGAATCACGCTTCTGTGAAACATGCTGAAATGCACAATATTGGGTTGAATGCTTCCATAATAGAGACTGTGAGCGCGACATTTGAAAATGGGGTTATCAAGACCAGCAAAATTAGCGGTGAAATTGCTTTGGTGTATAACAGAAGCAACGATGACGATGCGCCTTTACCACCTGGTATGTAGCCCCCTAAACCAATACTCGAAAGATGCTAACTGCTTTAAGAACAAGAAATAATTCGTATCAATAACTTTCCTAACCTGGAGGCAATTGGTCCTAACAGAACCTTTCTCCATCCAGTATCAACAGAAAAATCCGACGAATTTACTATCGACCTAGCCCCTATCTCCGCTCGAAGCTCAGTCGGATTTACCTACAAAGGCCACTCCGATGACTCCAACGTTCTCGGCCAAGGGCCTCTCATAATAAAACCAGCATGGCAACAACTCAGCGACAAACTCCAACTTCTCGTCGAGTACAGCGTCAATCCCTCCTCAGGACTCGAGTCCATCAACTTCCAAAACTTCGTCATCGTCGCCCACTACGACGGCGCGCGCGCCACGGCCGTACAAACCAAACCAAGCGGCACTCACCTCAAAGAGCAAAAGTTGGTCTACTGGCGGCTAGGCGATATCACGCTGAATGTCAAACCTAACAAAGTTATCTGTCGTTTCGCCGGGTCCGAGGGCGCCGTTCCTACGCCTGGACGCATTGAAGCGCGCTGGGAGATTCAGGGATTGGGGATGGGCGAGGGGGTGTTTGGGAGTGGGATCTCGTTGAGTAGACTTGAGGTGAATAAGGGGAAGGAACGGGAGGTTGTGTTGAAAGAGGATGATCCGTTTGCGGATGAGGGGACGGAGGGGGCGAGGGGGAATTGGGTTGATGTTGGCGGGGTGAGGAAGTTTGTTAGTGGGAAATATGAGGCTGTTAATGCTGCTTTGTAAGATGGTTGAAAGGGGGTGGAGAAAGGGGCGTAATAGGCGAGGTGAGCGGGTGTTGATGGGTTGATGGGAGGGAGGAAGTTTTATTGTATGTAGATGTGGTGTGAATATTAGGATGTGTTGATGATTGAAGACAAGGCACGTCGCTTTCGTTGATTGAGAATTCGTTCGTGGTCTTTCATTTCCTGTAGGGTACTGATTCGTGATGACACGCTTTTCATCCAGTAAGGGATTCAAAAAGGGGTATTATTCCATATCAAAACGTAGATTACAACTTCCTCCTCATACCAGCCCATCTCGAACGCCAAAGCACCAGCAATATGCCAATCCATCTCCATATCTACACAAACCCCCTATCATAACATCATCATCCCGTGCCTCCAGGCTCTAAACGTTTACCTGTAACGTCCCATCTCTATTCCCCTCCTCATAAAACTCCAAAGTCAACGCCGCAAGCAGACACGGAATGCTCCCCCGCTCCTTAACCCAGAATTTAATCTGATCCCCAATCTTAACCGCAAACGCACTTTGAGGACCCCCACTAATCTTCATCGTGCCCCTCTCGCCATCGAAGAGGATACTATTCTCCTCTTCATCCTTTGATGGGTAGAAAGCAGAGGTAACTCGCGTCTTCCCATCGCGCATGAACACGATATCCCAGCCGAGCAGCGAGATGACTAGTTGGCGGAACTCGGCCGATTTGGCACCCCAGACTTTCTTAAGGCGGTCGTTGCGCTTGATGACGGATTCGAGCTCGGATTGCACGTCGCGAATGGATTGTTGCGCTGCTTCGAGGGCGGAGGCGGGGACGGTGGTGGGTGTTGAGTCGCCTTGGAGGCGCGCGAGCAGGTCGGCGTTTTCTTGGCGGAGGGTGGTTAGGGTGGAGAGTTTGATGGCTTCGACTTCTGAGGTTGGGTTTGAGCGGAGAGAGAGGACGCGGGTTTGTCTTTCGGTTGTGGCGGCTGTTAAACGCTTTTTGGTTACTGAAAGTTCTTTTTCGAGGACTTTTTGAGAGGTTTGCAATGTGCTTAGTTCGTCTTGTAATTTGCGGTTCTTTCTTGACAGAAGACCCAAACGTTCGTTCTCTGCCTCGTCATCTCGAGGACGTTTCGATCCAGTTTCGGGAGCTGGTGCCGGAGTTTGAACAGCTTTCTCTTGAGCAGCAATGTCGTTGTGAAGCGTTTGTACCTCTTGACGGTATTGTTCCACCATATCCTCGAGTTCTTGAATACGTTTCAGCTTCGCTTCATCAACAGCTTCCGGGGAGAAAGTATCATCTTCAGTATCGTAGGTCTTGAGTTGCGCTCGAAGATATTCAGCTTCTTTGATTGCTAGGGCTCGTTGTCGTTCAAGTCTTAACTGCGCTTTGTTATCCCCAGCACCACCACCGTTGGCTTTAAGCTTCTCTATCTCGGCCGAAAGGTCCAATTTTCCTGTTTGGAGGGTTTGAATCTGCAAATCCTTGTCTGACAATTCTGCTTCTAACGCCCCTAACCGTTCAAGAGACGTTGCGGTCTGCAATCTTTCGGTAATAAGAGCTCTTGCAAGGGCTTCCGGTGAGTCAAACTCCAGCTGTCCATCTGGGCCAGCTTGGCTTTGTAGGTACGCAGTCCAGGCAAGCCTCTCGTCCTCGAGTCGCTGTCGCTGGATCTTGGCTTCACCAAGCTCATTCTCAATACCTTCCAAAATGTCAATTCTCCTCTGTAACGATCGCTTTTCCTCTTCTGCGACCTCCACACTCTTATGCAGCTGTTTGAAGTGCTTGAGCTCCGCCGCTTGCTCTCTGTTCTTAGCTTCAAGAGTACGAATGTGAGTGACTTGTTCACTGAGTTCCTTTTTGATGATCGCTAATGTGTCCAAGTCTCCTGTTTGTGCTTTCAGGCGCAAGACCTCGGACTCCAAATTACCACAGGCTTTATCTTTCTCTGCAAGTTGCCGTTGAGCCTCGAGCAACAAGCTCTCACGTCTATCAGAATCCTGCTGAAGATCCTCTACAGCCTGCTGTAGTGTCTCATTTCTAGTTTGCAGCTCTTTGGATTTTCTTTCCACATTCCGGATATTTTCTTGTTGTTCGGATTTCAAATCCTCTACGTCTTCCTCTAACACGCGTTTGCTTTCTTCAACTTCCCTAAGTCGCCGATCCAGTGCGGCTTTTTCATTACTTCCCCCGTCTCGGAGCTCCGAGATCTCTTTCAACAAGCTCTCGCACTGTCTTGCCACTTTCGACTTCTCAGCTTCCGTGGCCTGTCGCGCCTTGAAATCTTCTTCGCCTTTTCGGCGCACATCCCGCAGTTCACTTTCATGCCGCAATTTAGTGAGTTCCTCCTCCTGATTGTGATTGTCTATCGTGTATTTTAGGGTCTTAATTTCCGCTTTTAATTCCTCCAGCTCCCGCCTTCGTTTCTCCTCCTCTTCGTCTGACACACGATTTTCATTTCCAAATTCGGTCGAGGGTGCTTTGCGCAACGTGGATTTCCTAAAATCCTGTCCTCTCGAAGGTGGTCGCGAGTTCACCGACTCGCCCGTAAGGAAATCAAAAGCAGGTTGGTTATGGTTTGTTGATCGAGCAAGAGCAATCTACGATGATTTAGTATAACGCGCAACGACTGAAATCAACATACTGACCCGAGATTGAACTCTAGGGATACTGCTGCCAAAGCTCGTCCGCAGATTTTGGCCAACAGAACTTCTTCGTCTTGCAGAGTCGTTCGGATGGTGAGGTGATTGCCTCATTCTGAAGTCTCTTTGGCGCTTTGCGCGCGCTGGTTGTCGTCCTGTTCTGGTGTTGTAGAAACTGAAAGAGCTGCTTTAGGAAGTTTGCGATCACGTGAAGCTGACAACAGTCTCGTTGCTACGGAAGCCTTATCGATAAGAGCATGCCGAAGAACTCCTCTGACGTCAAAATTGATGTGCAGAAAGAAAAGGATAGCAAACCGAATTGTTTACTGCAACTCTTATAGAGCTAAGTATAGTCATATAAGACGTGCCAACGAATTACCTATTTTTCCTTTGATCGCTTGTTGACTCTGGTTTCAATTCATTCGTGTTTAACCCTTCCCAACGGCGCCGGAAGGGGCCGCGTCGACCGCCCGTGGGACAGCGACAACGGCATTTCAAGGGAGCTGCCGTGAAATTCTGTGCCATTCAACAAACACTCCACTCCATCAAACCCGCGAATATATTCCATTTCCATGGCGTATGACAAGTACGACCCGTAACCCATCGCAGCCTCTGCTGCGCCAGCGAAAACACAGATACTGATAGTTCCATCTGGAATTTGCAGCTCGCAATGGCAATCCGGCATTTTCAGGTAAGCTGACAGCCATACTTCCTACCGCCAGCAAACGGCTAACAGCCATTGTAGTACATTCGCTTTATCAACGCGCCTCGGATATCTGCTAGAGCCTCTCCATTAAACAGCATATACCATCCAGCTCGGTTTGCGCTTAGTACAAGCAGGAATTTTGCGAGCGACGCGGATAAAGGACCAAAGCCCATTTCACCTATTGCAACCCCACCAGCAGATTGGGAAGACAATCCAAACTATGACATTTCAAACTTTTCTCAATTACCACATGACAACTTCGGCGCGAATCAGCATATAATCATCAATACTGAGTTCAGGGAAGCGTTGCGACAGGTTTTGTGGAATTTCCGAGCACCCATCCGTTATGCGTTTGCTTATGGATCGGGGGTGTTTCCACAATCCGGACCATCAACCTCAGTCACCCCATCAAGCAAGACTTCTATTCATCCCAAGGCACCTCTAGCGGTCCAGAAGGCACAAGGGGGAACTCCCAAGATGATAGATTTTATATTTGGTGTCTCGTATACTCAGCATTGG